CTGCCTTTCCCTGCAAAATAGTGCAACCTCTAGACTCTGAGGGCATGATAGACCATCTACAAACAAGAGAACTTGTTCGGGAACTTTCTTCTGCATGATGAATGGATGAAAAACATTAGCCACATAGCTGAAAAATGACCTTATGTCTTGCCATCCGTTCTTGGTCCTAGAAAAGAATGTTCCATTAGGAGCCTCCTGGTATGCATTTCCATCTATGAGTTGTTGAGCATGAAATATTAGCCACAAAGCTGAAAAACGACCTTGCTTCTTGCCATCCGTTCTTTGTCCTAGAGAAGAATGTACCCTTAGAGCCCCCTGGTATACATTCCGATCTCTGTGTTGTTGTAGACCCGGTAGAATAATCATTAGAGGTAAGAATTCACCTGTACCTAAGACGGTTACTTGCGTTTTTTCAGAATTTTTAAATTCAGGAATACGCTTTTCACCCTTCTCTGCTAATACACGATCACGCAACCTGCCACCCAAAGCAAATCCACTCTCGTCTGCATTAAATAGAGGATGTGGGTTGTGCAGTACTGAGAGGGCCCTCTCCTCTTGCAGATACAGTTCAAAATCCTTGAACCACTTATCTATCCTATGGCTCGACACCATGGCTCTCTCCTTTCCCATCGGTTGGGGTCTTCGATACACGAGTTTGGGATGTCTCGCCCTAAATCCTCTCCACCATTTGTCTCCTGGCATGTTGCTCTTGAGCAACTTGGACGTCCCTCCTTATCGAGAAATCTCACAACATAAATGAATATGAAAAAGTCCTCTTGCAGATACTGTTCAAAATCCTTGAACCACTTATCTATCCTATGGCTCGACACTATGGCTCTCTCCTTTTCCATCGGTTTTGGTCCCTCCTTATCGAGAAATCTCTTGATATCCTAAATGAATAGGAAAAAGTTCAAGAAAAAAAGATATAGAACGGCTTGTACAATTCATAAATTATGATCGAAAAACAAAATTGAATCAAATCAGTTCATATATGAAACAAATTATAACCCCATCCCTTCCTACCCAAACCACTGCAACTCACTCATCTGCACACGTACACATGCACACTCATATATACCCGAACACACCACAATAACATACACTCACACACAAAACGCCCTCGCCTATGACCTTTGTGCACCTCCAAAGCTCTCTTCTTAGTCCCGAAGTGGGCAGATTCCAGACCTGGCAGTCTCTTTCCTGTCCTTTCTCTCCATTCTTGAGAAAGCTCTTTTACTTTCATTTCTGCCCAAGCCCATTCTATTACAAAGAGACCCTCATTACACCTCCACAGAAAATGCAAATACTACTTTATTTTTGGTTTTGAATATTATTATGGTGCAGGTTTGCCTTCCTGTTATACATCTCCAGTAGAGTTATCTTGTCATCCAGCTTTGAGATCTCTTCTTGGCACTGTGTGCAGGTTTTGGAGATGTCTCTCTTCGAGGTTAATAGGGTCTTTCTTCTTTTTGAGGTATGCCATTTCCCTCCTCACTTTGATCTTAGTTGTGCTTGTCATCGCATCTCTGGCTACTGTTGATTTTAGAAGTATATTGAATAATGACCTGTACTTGGATTTCTGCAAGAAATGCTGCGCTCTCTTCTTCGTGCGGAAGTGGACAGATTCCAGACCTGGTAGTCTCTTTCCTGTCCTTTCTCTCCATTCTTGGGAAAGCTCTTTTACTTTTATTTCTGCCCAAGCCCATTCTATTGTTACAAAGAGACCCTCGTTACACCTCCACAGCAAATGCAAATACTACTTTATTTTTGGTTTTGAATATTATTTATTGTTTTGAATATTATTTATTGTGCAGGTTTGCCTTCCTGTTATAAATCTCCATCAGAGTTTATCTTGTTTTGTAGCTTTATAGAGATCTCTTCTTGGTACTGTGTGCGGGTTTTGGGGATGTCTCTTTCCAAGGTTAATATGAAACATTCATTAAAAAGGGTGTAACTTTTGTGTCAAGTATTTGTTGAAGGATTGTAGCTTCAGGTAGATGCACTGGGCATTCAGTGAGTTTCTGTTTCACAGGAGTATCTGCACGTCTTGCATTCCGATTGACACCAGGAATTCCTGCCAAGACATTGACAAGCTTCTCAGTCCTCGTCCTTTCTTGCTATTCTTGCCATTCTTGCAAAAGCTCATTAATCTTCCTTTCTCCCATCTAAAAGTCGTCCAGTCGAATTTGGCCTTCTGGTTCCTAGTGTACAGGTTTTTCTTCTTTTGGAGTTATGCCATTTCCCTCCTCACTTTGATCTTAGTTGTGCTTGTTATCGCATCTCTGGCTACTGTTGATTTTAGAAGTACATTGAATAATGACCTGTACTTGGATTTCTGTAAGAAATGCTGAGCTCTCTTCTTCGTGCGGAAGTGGGCAGATTCCAGACCTGGCAGTCTCTTTCCTGTCCTTTGTCTCCATTCTTGGGAAAGCTCTTTTACTTTCATTTCTGCCCGAGCCCATTCTATTACAAAGAGACCCTCATTACACCTCCACAGCAAATGCAAATACCAATTTATTATTGGTTTTGAATATTTATTGTTTTGAATATTATTTATTGTGCAGGTTTGCTTTCCTGTTATAAATTTCCATCAGAGTTATCTTGTCTTGCAGGTTTGAGATCTCTGCTTGGCACCGTGTGCGGGTTTTGGGGATGTCTCTTTCCAAGGTTAAAACTTTTGAAGAGTTAAAATCAACCGAATTTTTAATGTCCACCATCCGTTGGTTTATCGAACTAACCTCTTTTCAAATACTCTTGTTGAAAATTTGGAAATATAGTTCTATAAATCTGCCAAGGTAACAGTGGCGTTTGTGTTTTGAGGAGAATGCTCATGCCATCCTGGCAGATCTTTCTGGAGGGCTAGGCCCAGGACCAGCATGGTTTTTTGGGGGCAGTAGCTCGATCGGGTTGTGGAGCGCGATGAATTTATCATATTAATAAAAAGTCAGGTACTATTTGGTGAAAATAAGGTAAAATTGGCAGAAACCAATTCTTGCCAAAAATGAGTTTGAGTTGAGAGAAAAAAGGCAAGGAAGGCTACCTAAATGAAACAAGTTTCTTTCACTTCATGAAGCAACGTTTCTGTTTTATTATAAATAAAGTTATATCCATCCAACATGTAATAATTTTTATTTTCTAAATTTAGCCAAGTTTCTGTTATACCAATAGCTGTAAGAAATTTAAAGAAAGACTGCTAAAGTAGGCAGAAATTTAAAGAAAGACTGCTAAAGTAGACAGAAATTTGATCAAAATTTTCGGCCATACTCCTCGAGTTAACTCATGCGGGATGACTTGAATCCCACATGTTCTTCATGTGAAACTGTATTCGTTGCAATTAATATACCTAAAAAAGTATAGTAATTGGCGTAATCTACAGACCCCCGAAATCCAATTTGTTTAATTCAACAAAAAACTATTAATTGTTAATCGTACTGAATCAATTTTATAGACATCTGGTCATAGCATCTGTGGCTACTTTTGATTTGAGTCTGACGGAACTTTCGAACTAGAAAAACCGGCTCAGAAGCTGGTGTTATTCATATTAATTCAAATACAGTAACACGTACCTCCTGTAGAGCGTGAAAATACGAAATGTGAAAATTTAATTGATAAAAAATGGCTGATAAAATGCACCTCAAACTGCGTTTAATGATGCAACTTTCTTTCACTTTATTAAGCAATGAGCACACTGATTTTCTCTCCTGCCTCAGGTTTATAAAATAAGCACAAGCTGCCCTCATTGATGCATTCACTGCCTTAAGAAAAGAGGGGGAAAAGGTGTAAATATTCTTATGCAGCTTAGATCAGGGTTCTTCATTACATGTAGAGCATAAACATACATGTATTAGGGTAGGCCAGAAATATTTCTAAAATGTAGTTGCAGGGTCACTGGATTACTCAGTATACATATTAGTAGCCCCTTTCTGGGGACGGTGAACATCTCTTCTCTCCATTATGAATGATTTTTGTCAGTACATATATTAGTTTCTTTTTTTCATTTAATTATCAATGTTGTTGTTTAATCATTGGTGGTAACATAATTGGGACAGATAATTGTGATCTAAATTTTCAGAGAAAAATGGTATCCTATTTGCTTGCAGCATTACAAGTGTAAAGGGTCATTTCTATGCTTGTTACCGAAACTGCACTCAAAATAGGGTTTAAAGGCCCGGTCACACAGCCTTTCGCGTCTGTATCGCGGGTAAAATTTCGCGATTTTTTTTTTTTTCGCCCGCGGTTGCCCGTGGTGGAAAATGTGCAAAATTGGCTTACCCGCGGTTTACCCGTGGTATGCCCGCAGAACAGACGCCGGCGACTGTTCCGCGTCCTTATCGCGGGTGAAGCGCGGCGGTACCGTGGCCTACCACGCTTACACGCGGTACACACGCTAATGCACGTGATAACAACGCGGTACAGACACGGAACAAACGTGCTATGACCGTGCTCCACCCGCGATTACCCGCTAAAATTTCGCGTCCAATTCCGCGTCCAACAGCGTCTGCTTCACGGGCAGAAATTTTCTTACCGCGTGTAACTACGGGTAAAGTACGGCTGTATCGCGTCTTTATCGCGACCTCAAAGCGTCCAACAGCGTCTGCTTCACGGGCAGAAATTTTTGGCCGTGATTCGGCCGCGATACGCCCGTGGAGGGCTGTGTGACCGGGCCTTAAAGCAGAGTGTGGACTACATTTATTTCATGAACCCGCATGTAACAGTGTAGAGTTATGATTGTTAATGCAATATCAACTGAAATTTTGTATACATGTGTCTTTTTACTGTGAAAATGCAATTATATGAATAAAATTTGTTTTAATAGTGTGGGAATCTGTCCGGAATTTGGCCTCCTATTTTACCCATAAGATTGGACTGCTCAGTTACTTGGACCACGTTTCATTTTTTAGATGGTCCAAGTAACTTTGAGGGGTTAATTTGTATGTCTGTGTTTCTGTTGAGTGATGGTAGATATTTTATAATAAAGTGAAATGAAAAGATACAACAAATGGGTCTCATATTATAATTTATTTTCATTGGCATACAGTATAAATACATTCTTCTTTTTGAGGTACATGTATGCCATCTTCCTCCTCACTTTGATTGCGGTTAATTTAGTGATTCCATTTCGTCTATGAGATTTGACCCCCTAAACTTATATCCATTGCCAAAAAGGTTGTCGGCCGAGTTTATATATTTTTGTAATATACAACCATTCTTCTAGTAGGACCCCAGTTTCTAGGGGATGTCCGACTACTTCCTACTGACAAATGTTGGTGTATAGGGGTAAAATCAATGTTCTCTGGGGGCTAAACCTGTTGGCTACAGTCTGGTTGACAACCTTTTAAGACCGAGTTCTTGTTAGTAATTTTGAGGGGTCGAATCTTGAAGTAGAAAAGGAGCCTATTTCAAGGCATTCACATTAAAAAACATTACTTTTCTATACAAAGAATAAGTACTGCTGAAAACAAAATTTCATCATAAACATACACATCTGTCATTTCTTTTTTATTCATATTTTCTATACAAAATAAGTACTGGTGAAAACAAAATTTCATCATAAACGTATCATATGAAAAAGTATTGAGCAAGTCGAAGCTATTTTGTCCCACACATACTGATCATATCTAAGATTTCACTGGTCGAGATTCTGTGCAAAGTGTCCATTACAACATATCTATTTCATCAAAACATGAAAAGTGTAGTTCTGTCTGGTATCTATCTAATATTTTTAACTGTAGTTGAAAGCCTACCAGAAGCTTGGATCAGAGAAATATATGTATGGGGCTGGGACTTGCCCTAAAATAGAATATTTAGAATAAACTTGACTCATTTATTTAAGCAACTGGAATTATATTGCACATACATGTAATGCATATTGTGAAAAAAAGAAGAGTTGAATAAAAACTATATTTTCTCTGAACAACAAATTGTTTTCATTGAAAATTCTTGTACTTCTGAAATCCCATTCCATGGTTTCAGTCTCACAATGCACTCTCTCCGAAAACAAACATGATTTTAATTTTCCAAAGAAACCCAAGAACTTTACACCAGTTACAGTACATGTAACCCAGTAAATGGATATAGTTCGTCCACTTATTACGGTAATGGAAGGCCGAATGTCGACCTTTGCATCCTGTATAGTCTTGCTGGAAAATAGTAATCACGTAACCGGTACCATTTAGATTACCGGTAGTTGTGCTTTCATCCTTCCTCATCCCACTTTTGGGATAATAAACAATCTAAACAACAACACAAATGTTGCCAACAGCCCAGAAGAAGACTGTAACAGCTTTCTTGAGGGATGCTCATGATGTACATATACTTCCTCTATGCCCTATAAATATCAACTTCCTTCTTTTAGCTGTGGATCTTAAACAACAGCAAAAGTTTCATACATGAATATTGAGTCAACAGCTTGGGATCCTTTCGCTAAACGTCACCTAAAAACACTGCCCTGTATGTTGGTTGGTAGGCATGAAAGCATCAATCCCAAGTTCCCAACTGAACATGTCCGACTGTTCACCTCTGCCTTCTAGCTTCTCTTTCACTCTCCTACAGCATGAGGATGTCTCCCTGAAAATGTGTGACTGCCTCTAGCTGGTTCTAGCTGGTCCTCTCTTCTTCAATCTTGCTTTTTGTTCAAGATGACTGCATAGACAAGTCGCAATAGTCGGTACACAAGAAGAATCGTCAAACTAAACAACATCTCCTTCTTGCTTCCTAAGGCATCCTACGATCATATTTTTACCAGGTCATCGAATCTCCACCTGGGCCTTCATGTAGGTAAAATACCAATGCTACACAAGCATTCCCAACAGTCAAAGCACAATGCCCCATATATCTAGAATGTAGTTTGTTCAAGTTGATAATAGTTGTTGGATTGATATCATTTCTGCTCCAGGATGTGGGCTCCTCCTTCATCTTGCTGTCTCTTCCACACAATCACCAAACCCTGATATGAAAACAAAGAAAAATCAAACAAAATTATCTTTTACTTTTAAGACAAAGCATATTTGCTATGAAGGGCAGCATCAACATAATACATTTCTTGCATTTAAGTTATAATATTAAATATTTTATTAAAACTCTTGGGGAAATAAGATGATTAAATGAAAGCCATTAGATTAATTTGAAAAATATCAACTTCGTATTACAAGCTTAGATTCATGAAAGAAAGATTCATGAAAGATTCATGAAATAATTACAAAACTTCTGAATAACTAAATACTAAATAATTTCTGATATACGGGTACACATCTCATCATCATTTTTCACCGTACGAGGGGTTACTGACTTTGGTGCCATGATGACACTCCCTCCCTCCACTTCTTCTTGTCTCCAGAACCCTCCTCATGAAGACTAACCATGCTGCTTTCTTTCGTCACCATATCTTCCCATGAAGATACAAATACAGTGAAACCTGTCTATAAAGACCACCCAAGGGAGACAAGAAAAGTGGTTTTTGTAGACAGGTGGTCACTAAACCAGGTTTGACTGTAATACTATTCATATTTGTATAATCTTGTACGCATACCTTCATCATTACAACAATTTTGAAGGTGTTCAAACCACATCTCCTTATACTACTACACAACATTCTCACCTCAGCATCTGATGTAGCGAGCAGACTCTCATCATAGTTGAAGCTGACGCCCAACACAGGAGCAGAGTGACCCTGGAGCTTGTTCACACATGGCTTTAGTTTACGCTCAATGTCAAAGAAGTACACACTCAAGTCCTCACTGCCGGTCACTGCAGAAGAACACAAAGGAACAGTGAAGTTTATAGGGGAAATTTCTGGTGTTGTTCTGCTGCAACAGTACCTTTAAATTACACAACATTTAAGTATACATATTATGCAACTGCAACATTCTGAGCCTCTTTCAGCAATGTCTTATGTTGCATATTTTTTATTTTAGATCACACAATCGCATAAGCAGAAGTAACAAAAGTGCCTGTACATATCCATTTAATAGATTCTGCAATTAGGCCTTTAAAAAAAGGTATTGTATTGCCCTTTGCGACCAACCTAAAAATCTTGAAATATACAGTCGGGTTTAAAAAAAAATGTATTAAAGTATTCAAAACTGAAAAATATCAGCCCAAAGAGGGAGTAAATTTTTTTAGGCCTTATAGAATATAGTTTCTTATCAAAATGAAGCACCAGCAATCAAATAACAAGTATCAAACTCTTAAAATTGGCGACATGCGAAATGCAAAAATCATTTCCCATTTCTTCCTCTCTGCTGCATCGTGTATTACTAATTCCACTGAAAATTAATATTCTGCCAAAAGATTTAAACCCGATGCAAAATCATATCCATGTTGCCAATTTGAGGAAACAAAGTGTACGATAGGGTTCAAAGGTCATCCTTACCCACACACGCTCCTTCTCTGAACGACATGAGAGGACAGAATGAGCTCCTGATGGTCTCCTTGCGATGCTTGATGGAAAACGTCTTCTTGAGACTCACCTCGCCGTCACTGCTTGTTATCCTGTTAGCAAATAATCATACATGGAGTAATTATAATAATAATAATTGCTCACAATTTATAATGCGCCTAATACTTTGTTTCTAGGCACAGCACATATTATTACCCCGGTCATCAGAATCAGGCTTAACCACAACACAATGTACATGTATGCACATTTTCCACTCCCTGATACTAGTGATGATGACAGTGTCGATCGATGGTCATAAAGGTGTGATGGTGGTGGAGATGATAAGATGATGGTGGTGATGATTATGATGGTGCTGTTGATGACTATTATGATCATCATCATGATAATGATAACATGATGATGGAGCTGATGATAAAAATGATGGTGATGATGATGGTGGTGGTGGTGGTGCTGATGCTCTTTGTGATAAAAATGATGAGGATGATGGTTATATTATTACCGGTATACTGTTTTCATAAAGAACAATATAAAATAAAACGAGATATAATTAATGCTGAATTGAAGCAAGTGCACTTTTAGCAGTTTCATATTTGAAAGATTGAAAATTTACTAACTAACCCCTTGCATTTTTAGTCAAAAAGAGGATGTTTTTCAAATTTTTCAAAAAAAATTGACCCTGGTACCCTTTTTTATGAGCTGGGATCAAAATCGTATTGGATTGATGGAAATACATGAAAATTTGAAGGATTAACAAATTTTGATGATGGGCCAAAATGCTGATCTTCGGTTCAACAGTGTGACCGAGGTATAGTATCTTGCGGTTTTGTCAAAAAAGGGCATTTTTCAAATTTTCATGAAATTTTCCCCAGTACCTTTTTTTTCTTCAATGAACTAGGGTCACATTCAACCTTGATTGATGAAAAAACACGCTGACAGCAAATGAAATGCATCAGGCTTCAGCAGTATTGTGGAACAGAGCACTTATCTGTTACATAAACTAGTAATTGATGACTTACTTGTAGAGGCAAAGTTGGTTAATAGCACAGTTGATGAGCAGCAGAGGGTCCCTTGCTTCTCTAGATACCCAGGCACGGAACGATATACAGGTGATTGGACTACCTTCACATACAACCAACCTGATATAGCATACAGCAAAACATACAGAATAATTGGTAATAAACTGATGATAACAATATAAATCACAGTACAAGTCATTTGCAAACTGCCTTAATTTTACGCTAGATACCCAGGCACGGAAGGAGATACAGGTGATGGGACTACCCTCGCATACAACCAGCCTGTTTTATCACAAAACAAAACATATAGAATAGTCAGAAATATACTAACAATATAAATCATAATATATGTAATTTGCAAAGTGCCTTAATTTCACTATAGATATCCAAGCATGGAAGGAGAAACAGGTGATTGGACTACCCTCACATACAACCAACCTGTTTTATCACACTACAAAACAAACAGAATAATTGGTTATAAACTATTGATAACAATATAACTCTCAGTTAATGAGTACAAGTCATTTACAAAGTGCCTTCACCACATGTACCGGGTAGAAGATAATCAGTCACAGTTAATGCATCCACACTAAATATACTAAGCTAGAAATGGTGGGGGAGAGCTCTCGCAACGTTTTTTTTTACGTACTGAAAATATTGATTAAAGAAATGGAAAATGTAGCAAATTTTTCTTCAAATGCATTCAGAAATAAGAAATTTGTCACAATATTTTTTTCAAACGGTACTGAAAAGTAGCGATTACAAAATTAGGAAAATGTAGCAAACTTTCATTCAGATGCATTCAGTAGTAACAATTTTGTTGATATTAATGGTGTCACTTGAACAAACTAAACAGCTCAAGGGTACATACCTCTTGCCCTTTGTGAGCTTGCCAGTCGCCATGTCGTATTGGAATGATGAGATAACACCCTGGTGAGGGATAGGAAATAGTATATTTTTTATTAATGAAATCATGTTCAGTGAGTGGTGAGCATAGCATCATGTGACCAAACATAACACTGCTATGATGTTACAGATAAGAAAATTGATGGATGATGTCATAGATATGGGATCGATCAAGATCAATGTGCTATCGGTATCAGCCATGTCTCGGTACGGTTGTCTGCGGGGCTCTCACTGAACTCTACACTATTTTTTATAAAGGTTGGTTTGAAAAATATAAAACAAATATATCATGCACTATTTCAAGCCACTAGTGAAATTATGGATTCCCCAACAACTGAAAAAGCACTATTCCTGCCACCTCGACCCATAATTTCAACTAGAGCATCTCAGTGCATGGTATATTTGTTTAGTATACAATTATATACTGTCATGAGACGGTCCGATTGAAACTATCTTCCCCAAGGTTGCGTGACTACAACTATTTTCAAGAGGTGTGCAGCCCGAAGGCAAATGGTTTTCTTCACATCACCGAGGGTTTCATATCTTAACCTGAAGCTCGAATACAAGCAGTATATATTTTGGTTAACATTCATCATCTTTAATTCAAAAGCCTAAATCTGCTGATCTAATCATTTGCGAGACTATCATATCTGTGATAATGACATCATCACGTTCAGGTGCCTAAAACAAAAGATATATGTACCGGTATGCGCAAATTTATATCATCAAAAGACAGGACGCATTTTTTGTGTATGATGTCATATGATGTATATCTGTGCATGAATCATGATGTTGGATGTTATTCCTGATGGCAATGTGGGCTCATAAGCATAAGTTCTGTGTCGATTGCATTTCATCGCATGACGTGCACTGGACCAATCGATTGCGCAGATTCTTTTTATGACGTATATATACTGGTAAACCAAAATTGAAGAGAAACATCAATTCAGCTATTCACAAAGTGTTTTACATGACTTTAAAATGCAACTTCTGATCATTATATTAATTCCTGCTAGATTTAATTTGGATACAAACAAGTTGGTAGTTGACCAAGTAGGTCACAAACAATGAAATGCCATAATACTTGGTGATGAACTGGGGGGGGCGTTTCACGAAACTTGTCATCAGTGACAAATGACAGTTTTTGTTATAATTGTGAAATCCTTGCTTCCGATTGGTTATCAGCAGATTTGTCACTAATTTTTGTCATTTGTCATTGAAAAAAGGCTTTGTGAAACACCCCCCTGGACACAGAAAAACCAAATATCTCAGACTTTCCTTACCTTATCATCCCCTCCCCACAGGAGGGTTCCCGAATCGTTGAAAGCCAGACACAGAACCTGACCGGTCAGTTTGCCATGACCGCCCTTGGTAGGTTTTCCTGTGGATACATTCATGACCTGAACGAGACCTCTGGAATTGCCCGTCTAAGAGAAAAAGACCGCTCAGGAAAGTGTACGCAAATTTTTTCTTTATTAAAGAGTTTATAAGTCCTGGGGGTGTTTCACAAAAAACCTATTAAAGTCGAACTTAACTCTTAATTGGACTTTAAAATCATGGAGAGCCATTTGTAGCCTTACAATAAAATATATTCAAAAGCGAAAATTCAAGTATTTAAAACTTTTTATAAATTTCATGTCAAGAACATGAAATCTCCTTGATAATAGAAAACATGAATGATTTGAATCAACATTGTATGCCTTTATAAAATAATTTTCATAAAATATTTTCATAGATGCCATTTTTTCCAAAGTGTTAAGTTCAACTTGTGAAACACTTTCCTGGTTATGTAATGTGAGAAAAATTGTTACTCCATAAACTTGGAAATCTTGTTGGTTCATGAGATAAATAATAGATACAGCTCAACAGGAAGGATTAATACTTGTATATAAAATCTGACTTCAACCTAATGAATTCTAACTTTTCTAATTCCCCTAAGCTTAATAAAAAAAACCACCAAGTTCACATAGGTAATTGGTTACATATGAAGATGTAATGTACATGTACATGAACATAGAAATAATTAGCAAATGACAAGCACTCAAATCTACAAAGAAAGGTGTGCTGATGATTGATGAATATTTATAATTAGTTTTAAAATCACAGAGCTACATTTTAATTCAAAATGTAAGATCAGACAATGACTAATCAAACAAAGTGAAGATAATATCTACAAATTTTAATTATTTCATATTTATGAACTGTAGAGAAAAAGTACAGCATTTCATTCAAAAAGGTTTTTTAAACATTTGGTTACCTCAAACAAAACAATTTATAAATCAGGTTTCAGAAGGGCCACAACAATAAGCTAGTTCACGGTTGCAGTCTGAGCATGAGCAGATAAAGGTCATTGCAGAACAAATTTTGAAATACACGGAGATGAAATAATGGATACGTCCTCATGAAAGTTATGTAATCATTATTCATTCATGCACATTCAGTGCACTCCATGATACACTGACAGTGGTGGAAGTATTCTTTGAAAAGGGGTAACAAAGGCTATTTATATTTCAAAATGTACAAATTGCTAAACGTGAACTGCTCAATAAAGCTATGGTTGAGGTCATGGGTCATAGGTCATAGTAAAAAGGATACGACCACCATGTTGTTATTGAGAGGCTGGAAGCAGCACGCATGCAGAGGTGCATGCTGGGGGTCTGAGACGGTACGAGCGCATGTCCCGCTGCTCACCGTCCACAGACGGGCTGTTGCATCAAGGGAACATGACAAGATCTGGTCGTTGGACAGGGACCAGCTAAAATCTAGAAGTAGAACAGATTAAATCATAAAAGTGGAATTTGTAAGAATATATTTCAATGACATCATGTGAAAAATAGATGAAAAATGCATTTTCTCCCTCCAATGCAGGGAAAAAGTAAACCAAATCCAACTCAATAATGAATAATCATGAAAAAATTGATTTCAAAAGGATATATATTTTATTTTATATTATATATACTCCTAAAATTAATCAATAGATAGCCTATGGCCAAGGCTAGGCTGGAATCTAAAAACCTTGTAGGAGGTGAATTAGGAATGTGTTTTAATTTTATCATCAAAAACATCCTTTCAAACATTAAAAACACTTTTTTTAGCTGAATGACAGAAAACCATTCAGATGAACCTAAAGCTTATTTACCTAAAGAAAGTGAATTGTTTCTTAAAGAACCATTTGTGTGTCTGATGATATTGGCCCATAAATACACATAGACAAAATTCAAGTCTACAGGAGTAATCAAGAGCGTTTCACAAAACCATCAAAAGAACTAGTTTACCAACATCCCATTGTAGCATGTGTATTAAAATTAACACATGATTCAATGGGATGTCAGTGTACTTGTAGTTAAGAATGGTTTTGTGAAATGATGTCCCGAGCATCATAAACTCCATTTTCATCCTCCTCGTTTATTGTACAGTGAAACCTGTCTATAAAGACCGCCCAAGGGAAACACAAAAAGTGGTCTTTATAGGCAGGTGGTTTTTAACTACAGGTTCCTTTTATACATGTTTCAATGAGAAACTATTTTCAAGGGAAACAAAAAATTTGGTCTTTGGAGGCAGGTGGTCTTTATGTACAGGTTCCTTTCGTAGATTTTTCAATGAGAAACTATTTGAGTGAAACAAAAAATGTGGTCTTTCTATACAGGTGGTTGTTAATACAGGTTTGACTGTACGTACCTGTGATTCCTTTGGTGTGTCCCTTCAGGATACAGACCACGGTGGCCGGTGAAGGCAGGACCTGACAGACGGAGATGGTCTTATCCAGGGAGCTGCAGGCTATTCTGGACTTGTCATCGTTGGCGAACTTCACCGCAGTCACTGAAATCAAGAATGTGTGATCGAATCACTCTCTGTTAAAAATCACTAGTCTTTGAATTCACTTCAATTGCATTAGTTCTTTTTTATAATCTTTAAGAAGAAAAAAAGTATTATTTTTCAAGGTTATTATAACATATTTATCAAAGCTTCTACCAACCAAAATTTAGCATGCAGGTTTTCATTCACTTCTAAGGACTTTCTAAAGCCAAGGACCTTGTTGTCTGTCTCTTTTAATCCACATGGACTATTTCATCTTTCTTGTCTAAAAAATGTGTTTCAAGTTTATAAAGGTATCATCCTATCTAATATATGTACTATAGAGGTTTTAGTATTACCCTGTTGCATAGCCACTAACTTATAAATTATCTACGCTCTTTGAAAATTTCCCAACGAATGGTTATTAACCCATTAGCAACTAGAGATTTTGTAAAAATGGCCTATTACTCACTGGAAGATGTTGCAATATGGCTCTCATTTTGACATTGTTCTGAACAATATGAAACTTGCGCTATTTTTCTAAGAAGAATCCTACTGTAGACTTCGAAAGGATTACGCATGTATAACATTATCACGGTAGACCCTAGAACGAATACCATAATGCGTTGAAAACAGGCGGGCAGTTTTGGGCGGTTCAGTGAGTAAAAGGAGGGGCGGTTTAGTTGCTATTGAATTAACAAAAATAAGCCATTTACAATAAAATTCAGGAAATTATTGAAATGAAGAAAAAGTGTGAAATGTTACCTGCTCTTTGGTGGTGATCAAAGATGTGATGCATGCCGGTGAAGGCATAGTTCTCAGACAGCGAAGTCCCTCCAGCCATTGCCCTGTGAAACGAGAGCATCAAACATTGGTTAATTTCAACTTTGTTTGGTATGCCAAGTACAGAATACAACAGTTTCTTGCCAAAAAATGTGCCACCTAATGCTAAGTACATGTTGTATCTCTGATACACTATAGCATGAATGCTTTGCATGAGAGTTAAGGGAGTGTCCTTTCTACTTGGCTGTTGGTAGTGAAATGGCTTGGAAGCTCACAGCAGTGACATTCTTTCTATAGTGGCATATGGTATGCTATTCAGGTATCCATCTAATTGTCACTGGCCGGTTTAATTTGGTATGTGAATTACAGCTGGCATGTATGTCATGTTCTTCTATAACAACTTGTACATTATATACGCTACCACATGCTACCTTGAAAAAACCATTGGGATTTTGAACACATTCACTGAAAACTGCGCCTTGTAAGGAAATCTCATCATCATTGTAAATTTCTCTCATCCTCGACATTTGAAGGCAAGCTGGGGTAATTTTCTGTTGGGCAAGAATTTCATTGCATGCATGACCAGGGGCAATGGGTCAGAAAACTTAATTGTTATCAATAACAAGTTAAACTATCTGTTATAAGCTACTGAAATCATGGCACTTGATTGGCTGAGAGCAAATTTGTCATAGAATATCAGCATATGGAAACAGGACTCACTTGCTGGCCCCGGCATCTTTGGTAGGAACCAGTCCAGTAGGGTCCTCTGCCATAAGGTCCAGCTTGTTGCCCGAGCCACGGCTGTGCTGACGACGATGGGTTCGGATCTCACCCAGACTATCATCAAGCATCTACATGTATAACAAGGCATCAGAAAACCAAGATATTAACATCTGAATGGTGAAAATTATTAGTATATCAGTGCATATATTAAAACAAATTGATTTATATATTCACTATTTCATCTATATTGTGAAACAATATGATTTAATAGACAAAATAATTATTATCCTGACCCCTTACCCCTTACCCCTAATTCATTACTTACTGTATATATAAATACTTATATATGTATATTAAAAACATTCCTTACATGCAACTCTCCACTCCCTCTGAAAATGTAAAAAACACAATGCACAAAATTACTGTTTTTTTTCTTTCTTCTCTCTTTTAAGGAGATGTTGTTGTTTTTGGGGTAATATTTTTTTGTATTTTTCCTTTTTGTATTTTTTACACTGCAAAAGGAAATCAATTGCTCTAGGTACATACATATATAATGTTAAAATTACATTTTGGCATATGCCAACATTATATATGTTTATAGTATATACATCATGTTGAAATATCACCTACAAACTCTTTTTATAATAAGTCATATCAAAACTACGGCAATGAGCACAGGAAGAATGAATTCAGAATTATATACAGGATGTGAACAATGTGGAGAGTATATGACCTCTCCTACCCTAAAATGTAACTGGGGGGTGTTTCACAAAGACTAAGATCTACTTTAAGTTGGACTAACTACGGCAGGCCTTTCATGCCACTGGTTGCTCACACTATTGGTCGCACAATTATGATTTTTAAATAATATTTTTTCCTTCAATAATGAACTATCAAAAAATGTGAATTCTGTAAATGTGTGACCATGATTTGTATGTATCTTGAGAGACCGATGCCAGTAAATGGTGAGAGAAAACAGTGGCATGAACGGCCTGTCGAAGTTGAGTCCAAATTAAAGTCAATCTTAGTCTTTGTGAAACACTCTACTGATGTGATGTCTGAATCCAATACAAGAGTGTAGAGTAATGAACATCTACATGTTCATTGTAATAGATACATATGTAACTTAAATAAATAAGTAACTATTGGCCTTTATTTGATAAAAAAAAAAGATTTTCATTACCTTGATTATTTCTCAAGAATCTCTGTTTGGCAAGTAAAAGACTAGCAAAAACCAAGTCCACACTGAACACTGCATGTACTCACTTTTTAATGCATTATGTTCCTTTCTAGTATTTATTAAAGCAAAAGCACAGAAACGTACAACTTCATTACATATCAACATGGATTAATACTCTCAATTAGAAGAAATATGAATGAAATACTTTGAAATTAGACTTACATCGAGATTGGTGCGGCTCCCTCGAATACTGGCGCTTCTGCTCCACAGACTGCTACTATGAGAGAAAATGAAAACAGGGTTCAAACAGCACCACTCCCAGACACATTGAAATGCAGATATACACTCAGCTGTGTTTTCACTTTCACTAAATAGTGTATTACCACAGACTATGAAAACAGGAAGCTTCACCTGGGACCCGTTTCACAAAACTTGTCATCGGTGACCAATAACAGTTGTTGTTATAAGCTACTGAAATCCTTGCTTCTGATTGGTTATCAGCAGATTTGTCACTGATTTTTGTCATTCGTCATTGAAAAAAGGCTTTGTGAAACAGGTCACTGGTGTTAAAAGTTTGATATGAACCTACCACTGGTTCCATCAACAACGAAGTGCAAATATAGTTCAAGCATTAATTGAGCATTTGACTATCAAGTGGATTTGGCGCCTTATAAATCATATGTATTATTATTATTATTATTATTAATGAAAGCTGTAATGCGTTGTCTTATTTTATAGTTTGTATAATAGATCAATAAAATATTATTCAAACATATTTGTGGCTTATACATGAAATATTATAATACTGCAATGTAATATTATAGTATTAATGACTGCTTTGAGAGAAATAGTTGTTTTATTACGCTCAAGGGAAGGTTAGAATTGTGCTATTCCCCGAGGCTTGCCGAGGGGAATAGCCCAATTGTAACCTTCCCGAGAGCGTATGAAAACAACTATTTCTCGAATATTAAAGCAGTCATTAATACTTTTATATGCCGAAAAAAAATAGACTAAAAAATGAAAAATTAAAAATATTTATCATTTTTGTCGAAGACGGGATTCGAACTCTTGCGTACAACAAGAGGTGTACCTAAAACCAACGCTTAGACCACTCGGCTATGGCCCGCCGTTAACATGCTTGGCAGTTTTCTCCAATATATACATTAAAATGGATTGAAACCGGCTTCGCGTGTGATGAATGCTTCGCAAAAGCTCCATATACGGACTCTTCTTTTACTTTTGCAATGCATATTGGCACGAACTTAGATCAAGATCTATCGGCAGATGTTGTTTTTTTGTTTTTGGAAGTTTATTTTCGTCTTCATGTCAACAATGCAAGATAAAATTGTCGGTAAGATCGATCGAGATTCAATTGTATTGAAATTACCGACCAATCCTTCGCACACATACGGCATCCTCCATCGCTCAAACCATTTTTTAACATGTAAACCTATGGGGTAACCATGGAGGCTGACCAACTTTTTTTAATAACCATGGTTATTAAAAATATTGAAATGTTTTATGCATGGTTACCGAGAATTTTACAGGAACAGTTGAAGTTTATGAATGCAATTCGACCAATCAGATGGCTGGATTTCTTAAGTGAGGTATATAATCCCTTTTCATTGTAATCACATGTCACTTTTATAATAAATACTTTTAGTCTTAGTCGTATCACATCAGGAATAACATTTACATTATAAAAACAATTATGTTATTCTCTAGTTTTCAAACAAAAGATTTCCCTAAACATTTGAGAAATCATAACCAAACAAGATTTTCTCTGGTATACATGTTGTAACAAAAAATAGAAACTGAAATTTTGAAGAAATCATGGCATTTGTCTTCAACTTATCTTCATCAAACATTTTATTTGCTCTTTTGAGATGGAATTTACAACTCTTTTATTTGATAATAATAGGGTTACTACCAGAGAATGAAATAAGAAAAATAAAAAATAAAAAATAAAACACTTCCAGTTTCCCAATAAAATTAAAATAGATCATGAAGACATCATCAATTTTCCCATATATCTCAAATTATTAATGACAACACCTCTAAAGACAAAACATTCTAATTAATATAATACTGACTAACCTTTGGTCAGAGAGTGAGATACTGGCACCATACTTGTCAGTTAGAAGCTGCATTCTTTGTTTGAGATATTGCTTTCTCAACTGGGGATCAAACTGTTGATATCAAGAGTACAGCAAATATTTTGAATTAGAAACAAAATATTTCATAACGTTCCTTGCATCAACTGCGTTAAATTTGCATGTGCTGTAGCTATTCCACTTGAATTACAATTATAAACAAGACAATTTTATGACATGAAACTTTTGCAAATTGTTAGTGATGGCCATTTTAATAATCAGCAAGAAACTTTCACAAATTGCAAAAATTGAGTGTTGTTATGTCGATTGTGATTCAGTTATTTTGTGGGATGAAACTGTCACAAATCTGAACTGCTCATGAAATTCACAAACATTTCATTCATGCATAATTGTCTGGTTTTACAGTAATTTGATTTCTTTAATTTGTGAAAATAAAAAAATGGATGCAAATTGCTGCAAATAATGCATTTTACTAATCTTCTATAAATACATTTTTAAAGATAGCAAAATTAGGTACAACTCAGTATAATACAACAATCCCAAACTGTGTACTCCATATTTGGAAGAACGTGTTAAGATTGGAACAATTTACTTTTCAAATCTAACTTTTTTTTTAAATTGGCAGGTGGCAACAAACGTGACTTGCACTTTCTTCTTCAATCTCTCTTCATCAACTTAGTGCTTCAGCGACAGTGAAAGCCAAGGTAAGCATTACCAGTTCATCTGTTTAACTGTATCACTTTTAGTGAATTTTAGTACATGTTAATGTACACTGTAATTGATGATTACATTTTTATAAATAGAATCCTAAAATGTTATTCATTATAACTGTTTTCTTTTTCTTACCCCAGCCTTGGCACTATCTCTTAACAGCTGACTCCGTCTTCGGATGTACAGCGTTCCTGTAAGATGAGAAAAAAATGGTCAGGGCAATGTAGACTAGACAGTCTACATGTATTCAGTGACAATTTGGTTTTCTATGTTTTACAAATCGCTATTTCACAAGTGTACAATTTTTGTACACTTGTAAAATAGCGATCTGAGACATTACGGCAGTGATAGATAACTTCACACAGGCGCGCACGCCTTCCCGCAACCAACCATCGGTATGTACTTGTATTGTGCAGCGGTTTGCCGTGAAACCTGTGAAAAAGTGTATACTAATATCGACGTTTCTCCGAAAAATAACAAGAACCTGACACAAAACAGGTAATGAACATAACAAATTTTAACTCATGATCTTTATTTGGACATTTAATGAATAGTTATTTCATCTCCACGCCGAAGTTACGGGTCAAATTTTATATTGATTTCTGAAAAAGCACTGAACTAGATCTAATCGCTATTATAAAGCTATCATCAAATTGGCAAGGCAAAAATCAGCTGTTTTCATACACCGGAATGTTATGTGTGTTCCCACTTCCCAGCCAGGATCAACATCGCAAACTCTAAAAGTTTAACATGTATAGAATGTCTTTGTTTTTTCTACTCCCCAAAACTCAAAAGATAAGAAAATTGACAGGAAACTAGTAAGAAAGATAACGACATTTAGTTTTAAATCATGACTTCAATTAGACTCTAGACCTTCTAATTTAAAGCCGCTATTTTGAACAATTGTGGAGGATTTAATCTAGATGATTTTTGGTGTGTTATAGTTGGGTATCTCCACGCCGGAGTCACAGGTCCAAATGGTCACAGTTGTGAACAAGCGCCAAGTTTTCACCCCACCCGGCCCGATCCAAAGTCCAAACTATAGTGACTAGGCATAGGTACTAGGCACTAGCATAGCACGAGACGAGGTGTCGCCCGTCTCTCGGGCAGATAGTCTATGGCAGAGCCGGTGGCTGGAGATAGGGCGTGTCCCTCGCACGGAGATTAGGAGGGATAGAGTCTACTTACTAAACTGTGGATTATTTGGCGTTCTATATGTGTTGTATTTAGCATCTATAGCTAACACTTGCTGCCACATCGTAGTCATGTTTGATTCAGGATATTTTCCCTGTATTTTTGTGATTCTTAAAATTGTGTAAACAAATGTTGGTTGTTGTCCCTTCACTTCTGGAATACGCTATGGTGTATGACATGTGGAAGTGCGAAAATGAAAAGGGAAAGAATTGCATTCATGAATACGGTGGTGAATGGTATTCGGCTTGAACTGTGAGATTGTTGATTTAATAGAATTAACCACCCCAGCCCCTCTGTTCCCTTCAAATAGAATTCTTCAAAACAATGTTACATTTATTATGAAGTAAAGTACATAAGTGTCCCCGTCAGTTTTCCTCATTTTTCTCTCTGTCTTTGGCAAATGCATGAAGAAAAACATCCATGCTAGCTCTTCCTGTCGTTTCAACAAATTTTCAAGTTTCTTTTTACAATATCTATTGTTTCATTTTTCCTGCAAATCCTGCTGCACATACCACTTCAATCATATTCTAATACACATCGTTCACAAGCAAATGACACACATAATCAATAAAACTAGCATTCTTTCAATCCTTTGAAAATTATGACAATTTCATAAAATGTATCGAGACCTATGGCAGAGCTCAACAAGTATACAAGACAAAAAGGGGATCCCCAATATTTTGCTTGGTACCCAAGGAAAAAGTGGGAGTACTGTCCCATTCTTAGAAATGTATTCAATGGAAAAGCATGTATTGAATTATGATAACCCCTCTCTCTCTCTCTCTGTCTTCTTCTCTTTCTGCTGTTTTCCCCCTTTTTTATATTTGTCACTCTCTCATTCTTATTTTATTTATGTATCATCCTCATCTTGTCATCCTGCTACCGTTTCTTATTTGTCTTTGTCTCGTTAATTGTGTTTTGATTGTCTGTCATGTTTTGTTTTATTCCGTAATTTAAAAAAAATTTAGTTATGTATGAAGTTAATTTATTAATATTGTGCGAACCTACACCTAACAGGCATTGCTTTCAAGTAGGTTTTTTTTTTCATTTCCTGTAACCAAATAATTTTGCATTACAATAACTAAAAAACAATGTCAAAGAAATTTTAAATGCTAATTTCTGTTATATCATTGTTTATTATTGTCTGTCATTGTTTATATTATGTGAAAAGAAATGAAAATAAATTTGTATAGAGCGACTGTATAGAGCGACTACTACTAATTTCTTCCTCATGCGTACATATACACTACACACAGAAGAAAATAACTAATACGCCATTGTTTGTTTTGTAAGATATCCTGATTTATTTCTCTTAATAAAGTATAGTCATAAGAAACAATATCATATCAGAAATTTATACTCAGAAATTTTAAGAGAAAATATTTGAACCTAGTTTCTCATAACGTGGAAAGGAAGAAGAAAATTCACATTGCTTCTTCCATAATAAAAGAAAAGAAAAAAACATATACTGTGAATAGATACACAGAAATGTGTAATAAGGTTTGCTAATTTAGTGCTATATCCACATTTAAGTTCCAGTAGGTACACACAAGCATCGTATTCAGCAAATGCATTACATCCATCTGGAAATGCGGGTTCACATGCAGATATCATAAATGTCACTACGTAATTTAATCAGAAACTTAAAGCTACGGTACGTTTATTTATTGTTTTACATGTTTTTGTTCACATATGCAGTCCTAAAAATGATTTTAAAACCATATTTCTATAATATATGCCGTGTCGACTGTGTATGGCATGATCGACTATACGTTGTTGCATGAAGTTAATGAGATGAGAGATATTCTGCACTTACATCTAAGCATGGCTTCCCCCAAACTCCCCTCCCAATACTTTCACAGAAAGTGATGCAGGCATGCTCAATACCTTGGATAAGTACATAACGTTTTTTTCCACATAGGAAAGTGGAGAGCATCTTAAAAATAATGTATTCTTATATATCACGAGGCAACACCATTTAAGAGCAACTCTGCTTTGTGCTTTCGTGTTCCTTAATGGATCATTTATCTAGCAGGTGAACATATAGGGGGAGAAGAAAATATAATAGAAAATATAGTGGAGAAAAATTAACATTTATGACTGGAATACCTGTCAAATTACAGCCAGTGTCAGAGTGCTGTATCGTTAACACAGGGCACCGAGGACAGATTTACGGACGAGGATTATAGTCGACCCCGACACCACAGGTCTCTCGGAGAAGACCTAAAGCCGTTGGTCCTCTGATTGCTTACTAAGGAGCATTTATGCTTTCTTAGCAGTCAGGTAAGCAATCACCACTACCGCTGCACAGTATCACTGTTCTTCTCAAAGTTCTCACCACCAACAATGTTCAACAAAGCACCTCATATATGAATTGTTCCTCCAGGATCAGAATTTGCCATGATTTTTCTGACAGAGTGGAATGTCCTTCCCACAACAGCACGGCTATACTAAAGGCTGAAGTGACCCATTGGCAACAGAAGTAGAGTTAGTGGCCCAAATTCACAAAAGAGGTTTAAACCTTCATTTACATAACCCATGGTTTAAAAATGAGCGCAAAATAAGCGTACCTTGCCTTGCGCGCGTCTAATATTGGACCTCTTGACTGTGTTGCGTTTATTTTGCGCCAATTTTAAACCAGGGGTTATGTAAATGAAGGTTTAAACCATGGGTTAAACGTAAACCTCCTTTGTGAATTCGGGCCAATATGGATAAACCAGTGGTATTTCAAGCTTTCGAGAAGTATATTGCCTGTCTTCAAGCAGTCTTAATTAAGTTATCTTTCCTCTATCAACTATGCATATGCAACTTGGAATCACTGGAATACTTAACAGAAACATACAGCTTTGGAGCTTCCCTTCCCTTTCTCCAAGAAATTAGACAGATTGGTGCATCTTTGCAAATATAAGTATATATATATATGACCTATGAAGTGTGGACAGTATTTGTTGGGGCCCATTAATGATTTGATACCAACATGGAAACCATGCAAATTCTTTTGTTTTTGTTTTGTTTCACTGATTTTTACATACATTTTCGTACCCAATTTAAAATTGAGAGGGTGTATATAAAACAATTCAGCATTTACCACAAAATAAATTAAGACACGTTGTGGACAGAATGGATATTTCTCTTTTTTTTCCTGTCAAATTTAGCTAATCACAATCAAGGACCTAAACAAAAAATACAAAAAAGAAAGAAAATCTTTCATCATTAAGAACAAAGAAAAATCTTGACAGGATGACATTGATACACACTACATCAGTTAAGTGACATCACTAATTTTAGTTAATCTAAAATATTCATAGTGGGGTGCAGCATTTCTATTAATAATACCTTAATTAATATAAGAACAGAATAATAGATAAATATAAGCCAAGGCTGTGATTGTCATTTGCACCTTGTTAATAACTAAATATATTTTGTTATTTCAAAAGTATTTGCCCAGTGTGGTCTAAAGAGGGGTTTAAACATGTACATGTAACAGAGATAGTTTTAAATCTTTAATGTACAGGTTTGAAAATTAGCTACAGGTTTTCATACTCTTTCCATGTTCCAATTATAAATGTTTGAAGTTTTGTTTGTGGAGCGCCCTGTTTTGCCCATTACAAACAGCGCTATACAAAGAAAGTAATACTTCATCCAATAAAGATGAAAGCAACAAAATATAGTAAAGTAATTACAAGGTTCCCACAACCTGGACTTTGTTTACATGACTTGACAAGTTTCTAGTCAAGTTTAAACCTCTTTGGAAGTGCTTTTTTTATGACATAGACGGAAGCATCTTCAACAGGTTAAAATGACATATTTGTGGCATTTTTACGCTATATTATCACAAAATGACTCTCATCATCATGCTCTTACTCAATTCAATTTGAGTTTTGCTCTTTTATCAAACTACCATCTTTCAGGATATAATGTTACGACTAACTGACAAACAACTTAAATATACATGCACTTCTGGGATACATCACTATTTAGCAGGTCATTATCACTTGTTCATTAAACAATTTTGTTAAAACTTTGGCAGTGGACACCTTACCCTTACGGTTTTACAAATGGTTGGAACAGCCGATGAAAAATCCATTTAAACTCATATTTTACTGAAGGGTGGTACATAAGCAACAATTTAAAGCCTGTCTGCACTAGCTTGGCCAGGGGGATTAGACCTCCCTGCAAGGTTACTGACAGGTGGTCTTCTCATCAAATCAGCTCTCAAATAACATAAGAAAAAGAGCATCATGGGGGACCAACAGGCACCTGTTAGGCATTGTTTGCTATGTAGAGGGCGCAAGTAGCTATAAGTAGTGCAGTGGGGCTTTAAAATGAACAGGACATACTTAAATTGATCATGAGCTATGCAACATCCACACTGTTGGCCAGTTCCTTTCACAAGCACCCTCCATTTTTAAAAAACATGTTATGTGTACATGAAACTGACTCTAGAATATTAAAGTGATGATAAATATTAAGCGGAGTCTGTAGGGAGAAAATAAGAAATGCAGAGATATCGTGCAGACTTGAAGAGTCAGAAACAATGATGTGATGTAAAGAAAAAAAGAGAAAGTGAAGGAGAAAAGGGAAAGAAAGAGAGAGAGAGAGAGAGAGAGAGAGAGAGAGGGGGGGGGAAGAGGAGATAGACTGCAAAAGAACATAGTTTGATTCCCCAGTAGTAGTAATATAGTAGTAATGATGATGCCGCCTAATAATGGCTGTTATTTTCACAACAGAAAAAGTGAACAATGCTTCTGGAAATCTACGACAGAGGCACGACACGTTGATGTCTGCTTTACATGATTGGAACGAGTGAAATAACTACAGTTGGGAAAGAATATATATATCTATTTCCAATTTAAAAGACCTTAGCCTTGCAGTTTCAAAATATTCAGTCTAAAGCCACAAGTTCCTTGACTAACCACACTGTACTTCTTCCTTCCCTCCTGCATCTTGCAGTATAGCATTAGTCATTTTTGCAATTTAGAAGGCAATGACGTCATAGAGGAGTGAAGAGACAAACAAAAAATTAACTAATTCATGTAGTGGTATCTACAGTGAAAACATTTATTACTCTTAGAGAATAGTCTTCACAATACAACAACCAAGATTTTATTCACTATCCAAATACTACAGCCATTTAACCTCGTTTAAAAAAGAAAAAAAAAAATCAAATTCCACAAAGAGCAAAATCGACCCCTCAAGGCTCAAAGTACATCTGCAGTGGTCCACTCATATTACTACTGTTTTCCAACCTCTCTTTGTTTGTGCTCTTAAGCATTGCAGGAATTATACTGGAAGACATCTCCAAATGATCGAAGCAAGGGTCAACAAACCTGCACTTTATTCCAACTACCAGCCCATCTAAAGTGATACCACAGTCACATCGGCGAACAGACACCAGGGGGCGTTTCACAGAACTTGTCATCAGTGACAAATGACAGTATTTTGTTATACGCTACTGAAATCCTTGCTTCTGATTGGTTATTAGCATATTTGTCACTGATTTTTGTCATTGGAAAAAGGCTTTGTGAAGCGGTTCCCAGGGGGTCGTTTCAAGAAACCAACTTCATGACAATAGTATCTTTGTCCGCGACCTACGGAGATGTCAGGAAGCGGACAACGGAAGCGACGAGTCTCGTGTCGAGGAAGTTGTCGTTCCTCCAGGCAAAGATGGTTATGTGAAACACTTAGCGGACAAGTCGAGTGACAGCGTCGAGACATTGTTGATCTTGTACATATGATGGTTTTGTGAAACAACCCCCAGACTGACAACAGACCAAACATGAATCAATTGCTTTGAAATCAGTTTTGAGTTGATTTGTCGGTGTGACTGAGGTATCTGTCTTGACATGCTCCTGTAAACTACATTTCTTCCTCCACTAAAAATGCCCCCTTTCAATTCAAACAAAGACTGCATGTGACAAGTAGACAACGGGATGATAAACAATAAATAATACACACAGATTCTCTCTCCAAAACAAATTCATACTACGGGAATATTTTAATACGTGTTGATCGATTCCATTTATACAACATGGACTGGAATAACTATTTAGGGCTCCTGAAGTCCATGCAAGCCGTGCGTTTGTCATGTCCACGTTCCACTTTGTGAGCTCTGTATTTGGCCGCTAAATAGCTAGTAAGGCACACCTATCCCTACAGGCTCGCATGTCAAGCAACCATCTCCATGACGTTGCTCTTCTCGTGTTTCCTTATTAGAGCACTGGCTTCTCTGAAGTCCTTGACCGTTCATCAAGATTGAACAGAGCATGTTCGCTTGGAGTGAGAGTGAACAATGAAGTGTTTTGATGGAGTTGCTGCTTCTGATGTTGCCGTTGTTCATTCCAGGTGATGCAGTTTGCCCCAAAGGATAGTGTTTACTGGAGTGCACTTGATGTGAGGGTCACCACGAGGTGTTTCTTGCTTTGGTGGTGGCTTAGTTTGGAACTGTTATTGGCGATAAGTGTCTCGGGTGTGACTCGTATTGCGACAATGTCCGGTGGTTGAGATCTACAGCAGCTTCAGCACCTTGCCGATTGCAATGGTTTTACCTGCAAACATGAAGGGATCCAAGACAAGAGAAGTTCTGTTAGGAATCGCATAATTAACATTTTCACAAACTAATCACATGTGCAACAAGAACAGCTGGTAGCAGTAAATATCAACAACAACAAAGAAAAGATTTAGGAATGAAATACTTTTTTAATAACCTACATGTAAACTGACATTTAAGACGGCAAACCATGGACTTATAATTACTCATAACAAACCTAGCAGTCGGTGGATTCTAAAAGTAGAATAAATAAGAGAAAAGGAGAGTGTGAAGATAAAGAACAGATAGACAACTATGAAGGATAGATGAAGCATATCCCTTCAACAGACCTGCCAACCTCTGGAGTTCAAAAAATGTATTCTTTCATCCCAAAAGTTGTATTTTACTGACAAAAATTGTATTAAAAAAAAAAAAAGGATAAATGCCTCTTACAGTTCCTACATACAGGAAGAAATTTGTTCATGGATCATTGGTTGAATATGCATCACTTTGTCATGACTGGTGTGTTTCATGAAAAAATGAACATCCCCAAATTGCTGATGTGAGATGCTAGAAGGATACTTTACAAGACAGAATTTTTTTTTGGAAAATCATATTTTATTGAGGAAAATCGTATTGTAGTATTTACTTCTAAAATTTGTACGACATACGATTAAATCGTACTGGTTGACAGCTCTGCTTCACCCTCAACAAGAACCAGCCCATCATATATTTGATATTTATACAAAAATGAACTGCATGAATCGAAAAGAGCAAAAGACGCATATCCTGGACAAGAAATCAAAATCTGCATCGGCACCGAGAAAATCGTTATACCTTCATCTCTGAGAGTGAAGCGGCCCATTTGTGAGAATTCTTTGAAGGTTTCCATACAGAGGACTCCCGTTGTCTCCAGCCTTGCAATGGCTACATGATCCTGCTTGATGAAGCGCGGTCGCTGCTTCGTCTTGGCCCCCGTCTTCTTGTCTATCAGAGCAATGATTTTCTGAATTACGGAATGAAGAGAAAGAGACAAAGTGGTAATGATAATGTCCTTTGGCAATACATTGATCTACATTTGCCACACTCAAGCCAGGTGGGGTAAATGGGTACCTGGTAGGATTATTCCTTGAAATGCACTGTGCGCTGATAACAGCTACGGGAGCTCAAGCTAGGGTAATCATTTCCAAAGCTCTTTGGAAGCGCATAGAGATGTTATTTCATAACATATTATGCGCTATACAAGAACTGAATATTTTTATTTTTATACCACAGATAGTGAAATTACCAGAGGCAAGACACCAACATTTTCATCGAAGATCCAGATGGAAATTTTAGGGGTTCAAGTACGATGAATCCCATTAAAGACTGTCAATACTACTCCCAGAAGGGATTAGACCACACAGCGAGGTCACTGACAGGTGGCTATCTCATTAACTCAGCTCTCAACTAACATCAGAAAAAGAGGATCATGGGGGACCAACAGGCACCGATTGGGGAAGTTTTCTATATAGAGGGAGCAAGTAGCTACAAGTAGGACAGTGGGGCTTTAATGCCTATGAAGGTTGATCAATACAATATCTACACATCCTTGCTGCAACAGTCAAAGACCCTAGTATCAATTGAAGCAAAGTATATCGACATCCTTAACCAAGAGATAACTTCCTTCTATTCTACAAACCTTCTACTTACAAATTAGATTTGTCTTAGTTCCCGCCCCCCCTCCCCTTCATTCCTCCTGCAACTCTGCGTGTGTGTGTGCGTAGGAAAACGCCAGCAACCGCGGACCACTCCATAGAAAACTACCTCAAACCGCGGATGTACCTGCAATGGGGGACCGTCCACGGTTGCGATACCGGTTCCGCCGTATCAAATTTACGACGTAGGGGGCGTTTGAATATTAGATGTCACAGCGTGTAGGCAACATCGACTGGATCAGTCCGATGTGTATCGCGAAATGTCACAGAGCCCCCTTTTGACTGCGCGGGAGAGGTGCTCGCTACCTGGATCATCCCATAGGAGGTACGTCCGCGGTTTGATGTAGTTTTCTATGGAGTTGTCCGCGGTTGCTGGTGATTACCTACGCACACACACACAAGTACTAAACTTGGTCCGCGGTTGACGCCATTTCCCTGTAGTGGTGTGTGAGTGTATTTTAATGTTTCAATCCCATGTGATTATTTGCGTCCAGTCTAGGATCGGCCTTCAACGTCACCACCCAAAAAGACGCGACTCTGATTGGACCCAGGGCCCCGTTTCATAAAACTTGTTATCAATACCAAGTTACAATAACTGTTTAATACAAGCTCCTGAAATCGTGGCATCCGATTGGCTGAGAGCAAATTTGCCACTGAAAGTTAGCATTTGTTATTGATAACAACTTGAATGAAACAGGGCCCTGGGTCCAATCAGAGTCATTTTGTAGATGAAGACAGAGAGCTGATCATACCACGAAAATATCCTCTAGATCCACTCCCAACTGCCAAGTGAACGTTTCTTCTGATTAGCATATGAAGTCGTAAAAGCCATACCGTATTTGCCGGCGTAAAGGCCGCAGTATTTTTGGAAGAGAAAATATCAAAAAGTCGGGGTGCGGCCTTTACGACGAAAGAGTAAAAAAAAAACGAAAGTCAAAACCAGCACGAATTTCCACGTATGGGACTAGAAACGGTAAAAATAACAATACCACTATGGTACAGGAAATTTCCAAACATCTTACCGACAATTTTATCTTGCATTGTTGACATGAAGACGTAAATAAACGTCCTAACACAATATTTGCTGATAGATCTTGATCTAAGTTCGTGCCAATGCATTGCAAAAGTAAAGGAAGGGACCGTCTAACGGAGCTGCCGCGAACATCCATCCAAAGTCGCCATTTTGTTTTTCCATTTCATGCAGTTTTGCATTACAGCGTACATTGTGGTAGGGGAATATAGGACACCAAACCTGCCTGCGATCACTTTTTTAGCTAAATTTCCGGTAAATTATAAAAATATGGATGAATTTGGTATCAGTTTGTAAAAAAAAAATATATAAGTTTTGAGAAAATTATGATTATTTTGTTTTGTCCGTTTGTTTTTTTTTCCTTTTTTTTTTTCCTCTTTGAAATGTCAAAGTTGGGGTGCGGCCTATGTGGCGGTGTGGCCTTATCGCCGGCAAATACGGTAGTTACTTTGGGTATCTGGTCAACCCTCGACAATATGCAGAGGTCATACTTACGGTGATTTGAACTTCCTCACAGGCATTATGGATGTGAAGCACTGCACCATAACCTGGACAGATAATGGACTTATATTCTACAATTGCAATCTGTAATGAAAGAAAGAAGAAAATGCATGCATAAATTTATAATATCAAAATACAGCAATACTAAACAAGCCTCTAAATGACATGGATTAAGTCTTTCAGTAATCCCGCCTACGATTCAAACAAACTAGTCGCAATTTTTTCTATCACTTCCATTGCTTATTCAAATTCCAAGAAAGTATGGCTTCCACGGTTTGTACAAAAATGAGGAGCCGAATTTTTGGACATCATCTTCGGACGAAAATATCTTTCCTGTACAAAGCTTTCATAGTTTTCATAGTTTAGACCTAAAAGTCTTCTACATAATATTTCATACCAAATATAACATTTCGACAGAGCGTTAACTTAAAATGATACTGAATCGTCAAAAAAAAATATATAAGAGAAACTAATTGGCAACAGGCTTAAAAGCCTTGAGGGTTGAATTGTCCTTCAGAGCTAACAATTAATCTTAGATACTAGACAGAAGTTACGAGAGGGCATGAAATCATCTAAAATGAGCTTCTTGTAGCATGGAATAAAACAACAATAATTGCTAGGGCTTGAGTTCAGGATTTTGCCTGAAGACTGGCACCCCTGATTAATAACAACATGTTGTATCCATCATCTTAATGTGAAGCTCACCTGTGCATCAAACATTTTGGAGGTATGGCACACATCTGTCGTATCACACAGGACAAAACCAGGACACACGTCCTGTCAAGAAGAAAAAATCCATGACAAAAGAAAACTATTCAAAAAACAATAGAAAACAAAAACAAAACCTGCTGCATCTGTATCACTCGAGAGTAGTTTGTTCTTATGATTATATTGCAGGTATAGCAAAGTATACATCCCGGACACAGCACTAATGTCTTTTGGTAAAGCATTAATCTACATTTGCTACTCCATACCCAGGAGAGAAATGGGAGCCTGGTAGGATAACAAAAGCCTTAAAGGTACTATGTCCCTTTTGCAGCCAACCTCAAATGCTGCAGAACTTTGCAGGAATTATGAATATGTCATGTATGTCCTATCTGTGAAATTTAAACGTTAGCAGTGTCCTCATATTCAAATTATGCAAGGAAAACCGTTTACTTGCTAGACTTCACTGCCAGACACTATTGAGTGACTGACTGGCTTTTTTTCTTCTTTGGTAATAACATACATGAAAAGAGTTGTAAAGGGTACATGAGTATTTTTCTACATCAATAACCCACTTCTTGTGATGGCCAAGATTAAACTGATTGAATCTTTGGGCAGCATAAAACGTATGACCATTCGGTACAATTGTCTGAAAATCAAGACTATTACTTTTGGGCTCTATAGCCCTAAAGTCGATTTGACAACTAATAGTCGTTATTTTCCCACTTGAAGACATTTTCAAGCCCCACCTTTTTTAGGGAAGTTCTAAATTAGTATTATCTTTCAAATGCAGTTGGAATTTAACTTTTTCATTTTTTGGGCCTGCAAATGGGACATAGTCCCTTTAACAATGATAATGCTCATAAATTATCTTTCACCTTTCCCAAGAACTCAACCTTCTCTTTAATGATTTCAATTTACAATATATCTAAGCCAACTGTATTTGAAGTTATATCATTCAAACACCATTACGCGTAATAAATGAGGCCCAAATCTACCAGTATCTGGTTTGTACCTTAAGCATACTTCATCACAACAGAGCAAAATTATCACAGAAAAAAAATTCAAATACTATAACTTCTTTTTAACTGACTGACATACCAAAATCATCCCCTGCTCAATATTCACTTAACTGGGCCCTGTCTTAAAAAGAGTTGATATCAGTCAACTATGTACATAAGAGATAGGAGACCTCAAACTTTTGATTGATAAGAGGACTTGCGATTGATCCAAATCAATCACAACTGTTTATAAGACAGGGCCTCATCGGTGTTGCATGTTAAAGAAAAAATTCATGTTTTCCTTTACAATGATATATCTTGCAATAACACTTACATCTTCTTCTACCCCCCTAACTTTTAGTTTGACGTTTTCTCCTGTTCTTGCAAAGTTGGTTTCGTCTTCATCTGAGATGATTTGAAGGACTTCTACGTTTGTCTGTAGGAAGAGAAATACAAGTCAGGGAAATAAAACATTACATTTTGTTTTCTAATTGGAAAGGTGGCACCCGGTGGGCTAATTAAAGGCCGTCTGAACTAGTTTGGCTTAGAGGGATTATACCTCACAGGAAGGTCACTGACAGGTGGCTATCTCATCAACTCAGCTCTCAATTTACACAAGAGGATCATGGGGGACCAATGGTCACCGATTAGGCATTGTTTTCTATATAGAGGGAGCAAGTACTGACCTGCCAACCTCAGGATTAATCCCAAAAGTTGTATTCTACTGACAAAAGTTGTATTCTTAAAAATAAACACGGACTGTTACGTGGATCAATGCGTCTTACAGTTCCTACATACAGGAAGAATTTTTTATGGATCATTTGTTGAATATGCATGATTTCGTCACAACTGTTGTGTTCGATGAACCAATGAACATCCCCAAATTGCCGATGTGAGATGCTTGTAGGATACTTTACAGGACAGAATGGGCATTTTGCCATTGAAAATTGCAAACACACACACACATAAAAAATAGAAAATATATATTTTTTTTTAATGAAAATCGTACTGTCGTATTTGCTTCTAAAAATCGTACGAAATACGACTAAATATATGTACTGGTTGGCAGGTCTGCTAGTAGCTACAAGCAGTACAGTGGGCCTTTAAGATTTGGTTTCTATTTAAAAATCTGTTAATTCGATCCCTTATGATCATGCTGTCATAGTTGAACTAAAACAAACCATTTCTTTCTACTTTTAGAAGATACCGTAATGTTAAAATATGGCATCACTTGTTTCAAATTTTATGAATAATTCATGGCAAAAATTGCCTTTTAACAACACCGGAAGTTACATGACACACTCAGCAAAACTAAACGTATCAATGTGGTCTCCATCCACATATTCTTTATCATACATTACATATAGTCAGTTCAACTCGGTAACAAGGTCTTTGGGAAGAATATGCATAAATGCGAAGACATCTATAACAAATCAACCCATGTTTTATACAAGATGAAGATGAAACAACGTTCAGACTTACTTTGTTGGGCATTAGGGTATATGTTCCTCCTCTCCGTAAGTTCCCAGATTCCACCTTACCTAGTAAGATCGTACCCATGTCCTGTAAGAGAGAACGAGAGAGAGAGAGAGAGAGATGAGAAACATACACAGATGAATGATAATCAGGGGGGAGTTTCACAAAGATCCTAAGTTGAACTTATCTCTAAGTTGGACTTAACCACTGTGGAAAGCCATTAGCATCTTTGAAAATATTTTGTAAAAAGTTATTTTTAAAAGGCACAAAATGTAGAATCAAATCATTCATATTTTCTATTATCAAGGAGATTTCATTTTCTTGATGTGAAATATGAAAAGTCAAAAATACTAGATGTTTCTCTTTGGAATAGATTTTATTTTAAGGCTATAAATGGCTCTTCATAATTTGTTAAGTCTAACAGAGTTAAGATCGGTATTAACCTGGAAGTCAGGCAGACACTGGAATTCTTCTGATGTAAAAGAGAGGCACTCATTGCAATGAATGCATACTTCATACTTTAATAAGCAATTTGCTGTCATATAAAAGTTGAGTGTCACTTTAACATTGAAAAATAACATGATGTGAAAATAAACAATTTCCTGACTAAATAACCTTTTATTTGATGCTTAAAAGTAATCCAGGTTTGGTAAAGGTGATTGGACTCATTAAAATGTCATCACTTGGTGCGCCTCTAAGCTCAGTCCAAACAGGTTTAAGCTTTCAAAACATTCATAAATAAAAATGTAAAATTGCTCATAGCAAAGAACAAAAACCCTCAATCGGCAGCGAAGAAGCAAGACCAGTCTCAAGCTTCTGATATCTGGGGAGTGTTTCACAAAGATCCTAAGTTGAACTTATCTCTAAGTTGGACTTAACAATTATGAAAAGCCATTAGCATCCTTGAAAATACTTTGTAAAAGTTATTCTAAAAGGCATAAAATGTTGATTCAAATCATTCATATTTTCTATTATCACGGGAGATTTCATGTTCTTGATGTCTTGAACAGTCTAAAATACTTGAAAATTTGCTTTTGGATATATTTCATTATACGGCTACAAATGGCTCTCCATAATATTTAAGTCCAACTTAGAGTTAAGTTTGACTTAGAATCTTTGTGAAACATCCCCCCCCCCCCAGGTCTTGACCCCACAAACCGATTCATTTCCAAACACGTGCAATCAAAGCTTTCCTCCTTGTCTCAGTCTCATCAGAAGAAGGAATAAGAAGTTGGTATAAACAAAAACAAAAGGTGAAGTTTTGCCAGGGAAGCAACCTCTCATGCCCTATCTTGAATACAGCATTGCAATGGCTGGAAAAGCGGCATCTCGGAACAGTTTCGATGACGATGATGCGACTCACCTTGTACCTATCTGTGATGGGTAACCGTAGAGGTCCCTGAGAGTTCCTGGCAGGCAGTGGGGGTAGATCGTCTATGTACTTGATGAACGGTGCGCCGGTGTACCAGGGACACTGGTCGGACTCCGTCTTGAGGTTGGCCCCCGTGATCCCCGACACAGGAATGAAATGAATGTCTTTTTTGGGATTGAAGCCGACCTTGCGGAGGAACGGAAGCAACTTCTCCTTGCACTCTTCGTACCTGAAGCAGAAATGGAAATAAGTCATGTAACAGAAGGTTGTAATGTGAAGTATTAAAGCCGCACTGTCCTACTAGTAGCTACTTGTGCCCTCTATACAGCCAACAATGCCTAAGGGGTACCCATAGATCCCCCATGATGCCTTTTTCTATTGTTAATTGAGAGCTCGTTCGTTCGTTCGTAAAAAGAATATCAGGGAGTACATCATCTAGATAGGAAGATCCTTATTTAGCCATCTGATTGTCTCATCATCAAGGTCTCAAAGTCCAGAAGCACTGTGAGGGGATTTGTAGATAGGACAATCATCGATCACATGATCCATAGTTTGGATCTCTCCATTGAGAGCTGATTTTATGAGATAACCTCCTGCCAGTGACCTCACAGGGAGATCTAATCCCTGCCAAACTAGTGCAGAGGGGCTTTAAAAAGGAATCACTGGCATTTTCGGAGTTCAGTGGCTTTGAGGCATTTTACAGAGTGCTAGAGATATGAATGACTGCTCAGTTTGTATTTGAGCGGAGACATCTTAGCCAACTCGACAACTACATTCATATTTTCTGCAGTCAGGTTACTCTAAAGGAGGATTTCACACTTACGTTTCTTCACATCTAAAGTCTCGTTCAGAAGCGACTTGAAAAAACTTTTTTTTATATATAATGACAGAAATATAACACATTTTACATGTTTATATCTTATATCACATTTCATTTGACAGATCAACCTTGGAGATTCATCAGTGTTCTCTCATCCAAACGGAATGACTCAGCTCATTAAATACAGAAAGAACACCACACTACTTGTGTACACTCTGAAGAGAGAGAGAGAGAGCTAGAGGGGAGGATGCGAGAGGAAAAGAGAGAGAGAGAGGAAAAGAGAGTGAGAGAGAGAGTGGAAAAGAGAGAGACAGACAGATAGAGGTTTGGGGAGAGGGGGAAAGAGAAGAGACACTAGAGAGGGGAAGAGAAAGAAAAGAGGGGAAGAGAAGGCAAGGAGGGGAAGATAAAGAAAAGAAGGGAGAGAGAAAGTGAGAGAAAAGAGAGAGAAAAGAGAGAGAGAGAGTGGACTTTGGGTCCCTGGCTCTTAGGATGATAATTTTACCTTTTGACTGACCACTCTACTGTATGGTCATCCATTTTATTAACGAGAATGACTAGATGCTTGACTCCTGCCGTCTTCGCTAACATTGCATGTTCCCTTGTCTGACCTCCCCTTTCAAAACCTGTTTCAAATTCACCCTTTCGGGCAGATATTACCTATGGGGCAAAAAAGAAAGAAAAAGAACATTAGTACCCGTACAGAGTGCATTAGAGATAATACAAAACTTATAAATTAGCTACATTATATCAAAGACTGGTGATAAAATTTGCTTCAAACCTCATAAATTAAAAAAAAGAAAAATACAAATTTGAAATAAATGAAATGAATGTACAAAGGGCATTTTATCAACTGTGCTTCTCTTTACCCATGTGTACAAATGGGTACTGAAACATGGGGTTGAAAGGGGACCTCAGTCTATTTTGTTGCTCAATTGTTATGCTTTCAAAATTCTTGTTTTATTATATTTTATCTACAGTGAATGATAGAAATGGAAACAATTCTTATACCCTAGGGCACGAAAAGCTTAGAGACATCATTGATTTAGCTCATGCTGCAATCATACTTATAAATCTTTAGGTCAGTCAGGAATCACATGAGGTTTACAAGCCGATCACACGTCTGATTAACAAGATATTTTTGATTGGAATTAGAAATTTCAAAAACCATTTTCACAACAGTTTTTATTACACCTCAGTCTATTGGGGAAAATAAGTATGGTAAACCCAATCACTCAAAGACTTTTTTTTTTGTTGAGGCATATTAGATCATTTTGAAGTGCAATTTTTTAGGGCTTCAATATTACACCATATTACAGACGCTGATAAAACATAGGGCAACGCATCTCAAGTTCGGCATTGTTAAACAATGCCTTTAAGCACTATATAAACGCGGAATATTATTATTATTGATATTTGTCCCTGTTCACCATGCTTGGCGGGAGTACCATTGATCAAGGATTCAGTGACGCAAAGACGTAACTCCATATTTTGCCAAAAAGAGAATTTGATATCAAAATGTTCAGAAAAATGTGGGCTTTCCAGGAACCACAAAGACTTAACTTCACCCCAACACCCCATTGACACTATGAACATCTCGGACAATGAAAGCGGACAAAATATACAGTTCCTCAGGTATACAAAGGAACATCCCTTTACTGCTATTATGTAAAAATGTGTAGAACAGGTGAATATGCATGTGACACCTGTTCTACACATGTTTACATAATAGCAGTGAAGGGATGTTCCTTTGTCTACCTGAGGAACTGCATATTTTGTCCGCTTTCATTGTCCGTCATGTTCATAGTGTGAAGTCAATGACTAGTGAAACATAGGCCAAAGTGCTCAGTGGCACATGAACCACTTTTTCTCAAAATGGCCAAAATGGAGTTACGTCTTTGTGCCACCGACCCCTCGTAATCTCACTCACCAGTACAGCTAAATCAGCTTGGGCAGCACCACCGATCATGTTGGGTACGAAGCTTCTATGGCCCGGGGCATCCAGGATTGTGAAATGTTTCTTTTCCGTCTCAAAGTACGCTCGCCCGACCTCCACCGTCTTACCCTTATCGCGTTCCTCTTGGTTGGTATCTAATGCCCATGATAAGTACCTATGGATCAAAGAAGAAGATAAAACATGAATATTTGTAAATCATAAATAGTTTCAATAACTTTTTTTCTAAAATGTTGTGTATATCATCACACACAAAATATTTGGCAAGAAAGAAGATTATATATGTACAGTGAAACCTGTCTATTAAGTCCACCAAAGGGAGACAAAAAAGTGGTCTTTATAGACAGGTTGTCTGTATGTACAGGTTCCTTTAGAACAGGTTTCAATGAGAAACCATTTTCAAGGGAAACAAAAAATGTGGTCTTTGTAGGCAGGTGGTCTTTCTATACAGGTGGTCGCTAAAGCAGGTTTGACTGTAACCACATTTCTATTTTAAAACATGAGCCCTAGAATGAACTAGACAACTCAAAATATTGATTTTTCATTTTATAGTATTATACCCGAGGACCATTATGATCTGACCATTATCTAAAATCACAGAGAAGTTCAGCTGTCTCTTATATTTACAATAAAATAGAACCAATAATTACAGCTATCAAGGTAAAGACAGTGGTTAAACAAATGCCTTTTCCTTTGAATGCCTTCCAATTTGTGATATAATAAATGGAGTGCACCCAGATTCCTTTAAAAAAGTTGAGCTTATTTTTGTTTACAAGTATAATTCAAGTCATGCCCCGTTACTTGCCACATATGAACACCCTTCAAAGATATGTTTGGTCCTTTGGCACATCATCAATTGATGTCTTTTTGATGACGCTCATGAGTTATCCTTGTGTTTTTCTTCCTTTTGTGACATCATGAATCAACTTACCAACTCTCCCTGTTCTTTTCTTTAGCCTCTCTTTCATATTTTTCTAGTGTCCTCTTGTCTACACCTCCTGTAAGATACCTGTAGGTTTCACATGAAAACAAGATTTACAATGTGGTTAATCTTCATGCGCGATTGAAATGATATCACCAATAAATCAGTAAACAAATTCATTTTACTTTTAAACGGTCTTTCAGAACTATACAATTTGGAAACTCTGAAACTTAACAACACAGTTCCAAGCAATTACATAAAGAGTTATCCCAAAACTGATGCCAACCAATTTTGCGAACGAGTTATTTCAAATTAAATTTTAATTAAAAAAAAGAAACCTTTACCATTGAATTGCATCTCTCATATAAACCAAAAAACAAATAAAAAGGAATATCTCTACCTTATAGTATACTTATCAATCATCTAAAATTACATCAATTCAAAGTTTGAGATGTAAATTTTCTTCTCCATCAATGCCACCCCCATCTTCCTTATATATTTATACTTACATTATATGACCTCCAATGGTGGATTTTCCTGCATCTGTTTGTGTGTGTGGGGGGGGGGGGGGAGAAAAAGAGGGAAGATAAGAAGATAATGTTTTACAGTAAATACATGTATATAGAATAACTGTTAAGAGCTTGCATGAAATTGCTGATATGGACATGAAAATAGTGTATTTTATATCTAACACTGCATTACCAATTTAGAGACTTTATTGAATAATGACAATTAATTCACTCATATTCAAAGAGTGGCACAACGTACTGCATTGGAAAAAGACAACAAAAATTCTGCCTTTTCTGCACATGTATAATATCCTATAATTCCTAGCATTATGGGTCAAAAGATAATGCACAAAAAATGTTACTAAAAGGAGACACTGAACTGCATCATGCTATGGGATTAAAGAGGACATGGGAATGAATGTATGTATTCTTATAATAACAACATGATTCCTCCCATTTTGATGATATGTTCACCCTAAATAAATCCTCTCATACGTACGCAACTCGGCATTGTAATGACATGCAACTTGCCCCCTCACTTAATTCAGTTAAGAGGAAATTGAAATTGTTTCTTATACTTCCTTACAATACAATTAATATCAGTGCATTGTCAAATCATGTCTTGCCTTCATCAAATCCTTCCTGTCGTGTCTTTCTTTACGCTCTATATCTTACTTTAATTATGGTCAGTAACCCTGCTTTATGCACATCGTGTGCTCTCTCTCCTTTCTTCTCCTCTCACACCTCTCCTCTTTTTTGCTTTACTCTTCACATATGCTGCAAATCTTTCTATCCTTGCATTTCTCTTTCCTTGCTTTATTTTCTGTTGTCTTATGTTTTTTATTTTTAATATACGTTAATGTCTTATCTGTCAGTCTTCACTGTTCTGTTGGAAATGAAAAATGGGGAAAAAAATGGAAAAAAGGGAAACGCTCTCGGCGGTCTCGCCTGCATAACGCAATTCAATATGATAAACCAGAACGTCAATGACGTAGCGCTCATCTGCATCTCGCAACAACAAATATCGTAAATTTTATGTGGTACACTTTTAAACTGGTCAAGAAATAAAAATTTGATGCCCTGGAAGGGACATAATTTCATTTCATTTGCATAAAGTACCATAAACAATCAATGAAGCAAAATCTCACAATTCTGTGTAGAAGTTTAGTGTTCCAAGTATACTAAGCTCTACCAGATAAGGCAAACCAAATCAAAATCGGTCAAGAAATGAGGGAAAAGAAGCAATTTTTGTTATTTTTGGAATAAATTTGCATAAATTACCATAATTAATTAATGGAGAACAATTTAAAAATTCTGTGTAGAAGTTTAGTGTACCAAAGTTAGCTCTACGATAAAAAGCAAACCAAATCAAAATCGGTCGAGAAATGAAGGAGAAGCCTTTTTTGTGATTGCCAATAAATTTGCATAAATTAGCATAGATAATGAATTTCACGATTCTGTGTAGAAATTTTAAATCCCCCTCCTAGCCCTATCATATGAAACAATCAGAATCAAAATCGGTTGAAAAATAACGAAGAAGAAGCATTTTGAAAATCTTGATGTTGATGCCACAACAAAGTCTAAGTTTGTTGACCTTGAATGACCTTTGACCTTAACTTAGTGACCTGAAATTCTACTCACATGATTGGGAATACTTGATTACCCTATAGTCAAAGTTTCATTGACTAAGAACTTATACTTTAAAAATTATATCAAAAATTCGTCGTCGCTGTCGCCGTCACCGGAAAAGCGGCGCCTATGTCTCGCTTTTTGCTACGCAAGCGAGACAAAAATGAAACTGAACTGAATGTGCCTTACCAACGTGACCAATGAAAACAACATTAACATGCTCCTTCTTGGATTCTGGTTCTTCTTCTCTAACAGCTTGTTGCTTGGAAGGCTTGGGTGCGATAAAGGCTTTCATTGATCCATTATCTGTTGAAATTATTTTAAAAAATGCAAATCTATCAATCCATCGTATCAAAACATGTAACAATTGTTACTACTAAACATGCTACAATAAAAAGTCAGGCAAACTTAGGAAAAGCAGTAGAATATAACTATTCACCAATTTCAGTTGTTGTGACCGACATGTTGAAATGTTGATGAAATTTGGGCAAAGTCTGAATACGAGTACATGCAGACGACTGCTGGCTGCAGATGTTGGGCAAATGAGTTTGTAACTAGAGACTGTAATAACTAGAGAATACAAATAGTATCTTAATTATTAACTGGATAATCATTCTGATCTCTAAATAAGCCCAATACTGTTCCGTCCATCCCTTTTTCCTTCTTTTAGACAGGGATCGATTGTAGTAGACTTGACAAAAATACAGGGGCGCTCAGGGCAAATTAGCCCCCGAAATGCCAAAAAGAGCCCCCAAAATGTGCGTAGAGTTCAATGCAAAACAAATTAAAGAGTGTTATTTTCAAGCAAGCATATTTGAAAAGTAGCCCCTGAAATTTTTCAAATATTTTTTTTTCCTCTGCGTCTGTCTTGATATGATTTTTTTAATAATAGGGGCACCTATATTACCCTTGACAGAAGCTTCTGGTACAGGAACTTCATCCTCTTGCATGGCTTCCTCTTCCTCTTCCTCCTCCTCTATTTCCTCCTCTAGTTCCTCCTCCTCCTGTTCCTGCGCTTCCATGACGACTGCATCCTCGTTACCGAACCCTGCGCTGTTCTGAGCTGCATCTGTTGGTACTGAAAGGACACAAGAATATGGTACACTGTACTTCAGAGTTCTTACCAGTGTAGAGCGGCCTTGGGAGTTGGGGACTCGTACCAAGCATGGAGGACTTCAAAATAAATAAAAAAGGGCAATTTCTCCCTAACAAGAGTACGTACCTACAGTGTACATGCATAACAACCAGCACATCTGTTAATGCATACATTTGGGACAAACTCTTATCTTCAAAAACCATCCCTTCGGATGCCACCAAAGGTTCACTTTCAAGTTTTCAACCAAGGATAGATGCAAGTACTATTCTTGTTAGCAGCTGTTAGCTTACTTTTGGTCCAAGTTGAGGGGAAAATATATATATGCCTTGCACCAAATGAAGGCGGGGGGGGGGGGGGGGGGGGGGGGGGGGACCGTGGTGCTGGCCGGTGGGTGGTGGTAGGGGAGGGGGTACATATCTCCCTCCTAATCCCCCTACATTTGACATGACTGAGCAAAAGAGAACGTTGAGCACTGCTAAGAACAATAGTTTATTTTTCCACTCGTTTTTATTCCATCCTGATTTTGTTTTCATCTCAACTGTATTTCTAAAATTCAAATTTTAAGACTTTTAATCTAGATTTAATTTAGATTTTTTAATCAGATAGCTAGTGAATACTAAATTCTAACAATTTCTTTTTCTCAAAATACAGTCTTCTTTTGATGAAAGTTTTATCAATTTCATGGGCAAGTTTTGGAAATTATTTTTCATCAATGGATAATCAAACATGTCAACAGACATGGGGAGAAATTCATTCAATAACTATAGTAAAGACCTAATGCTTAAGTTCAAGAAATTATCAAACCTCATACACAGACATACAAGAGTAGGCAAGAGTCTTTTTCTTTTCGTAATCTCAAAGCTTTCAGTCTTTAAAAGTTTAAACAAAATTGATATTGTGACACTGTGGCTTTCAAAGAATAAAAGAAAAAGAAACAAAACAAAAAATGAGACAAAACAAAAATGAGACAAAACAAAATCTTGGTTCAAAAGTATAGAGGCACAATCAAGACCATCATGCTCATCCTTTAAAAAAAATTATGTAAATACTTACTACCGGTACTTGTTCGTGCCCCCCCCCCCCCCCTTCCTGAAAATATGATATCTTTAATTTTAATGAATAAACTGTTTTAAAATATAAACCATCAGGCTTCAGTAGGGGTCTACATGTCAGTACAAATCACCTTAAAGTTTCACATCAATGAATCTATCACTCATCATTAAGTCATCAAATCTCATCATGTAACTCCATTCATTTAATTTTCAACATTTTTCATCAGACACTGATTGGCAGTGACTCATTCATTCATTCATAAATTGCATTCATTCATTCATTCATTCATTCTCTTCCATCTCATTCTCAACTTTCACCAGCCATTTTTATGAACTTGCAATCAATATACAGAAGACAAAAAATGAGATGGATACAAAAGTACCCCCAAAATACGTCTCTATTCATGAAATATAGCAGCGTAACAAAGAAAGACAAAAATTATGATTTTAGTCAAGTTACCATTCCCTGTGGCATCTAAATCCGGTTTTGTGTTTGTGGCATTGCCATATGATGGCACAAATGCCGGTGCATTCATGTTCGGTATGAAGGGTTTTGCTGCCACATTTAGCGACGAAAACTGGTTAGCAAGACCGGGTCCGGGATCTTCTATATCGTCCCAGTTGTCCAGACCCGACGATTCATGAGGATCTGCGGCCATTTTTCGAAATATTTTATTCCTACAGTCAGTAATCGCACGGGCACTCGACGTCGAATGATGTGGTTTCGTTTCAATGAATTAGTCACACAGCGCCTCAAAATGAACCTCTATCACACGCGCACTAAGCTATCAAAGATGGCCTACTCACAGCTAGGTCGGTAACACACGTGCTCGATCATTTCATCACGGAATATCGAATTTTGATGAGTCGCTTTTCAGTTACATAAATTATTCTATGTAAGTACATTTTTTTAAAATAACGTCAAAGCAAAAAGCAAATTCATCTTTGAGAAGGTATTTTGCTTTTTAAAAGTTTTTTTGTAAGGTAAATATTTATTTTATTTAAGGGGGAAGGTGAAAGGGGGGCATGCACCCCCACGCCCCCGGATCTGCCCCTGCATATCTTCCTGTATATCTTGGTCCGGGATCTTGGCCTCATTTAATTCTCCACCTCTATTTGATTTGAATTGTTTTGTTTTTCTTCTGTAAACCAATGACGTATAATTAAATGGTGGGGCGGAGGGGGGTGGGGGTGGGGGTTGCCCACCCTATAAATGGGAGAGAGGGTGAGGGCTGATGGAGCGATGGATCATGGATGGGCAGTGATCGAACCACATGAGGTGGGGCAGGCTCAAAAAATTACTCTGAGGGTAACTATAAATTGCCCCCTTTCTTTGAGCATTACAACTGCATGGCCCTATAACTGGCTACTTGTTGGTCTTTAACCTTTAAAAATAAAAATTGAAACTTTAAATTATGAGCCATTCATAGTCTGCCAACATGTGCATCTTCAAAAAATTGTGTGACATATATAACTTACCATAGATCTATGAATAAAGCAAATGTTTTGTTTTGTTTTGTATAAAGGTACAGCTACAAATTCAGTTTCTAAGTCACACTTTACTTACCATTTGTATTAATATTTAGTTTTTGTATTATTTCAAAGAGTATTTAAACATCAAGGAATTTGTACATAAACATTTCTATTTTATTTCATTATGGAGTTCTTTAACAATTGTAAAATGTAGGCCTACTATTTTCACTGCAGTTTTCTCTTCCCCTTATAATCTACCCCGTATTGGCTACCGCATTGAAAAGCGATATATCACCGAGTAGGCTATCTTTGGCACCATAACTTCATGGATCCCATAGACGACGTGTATTATCGGAATCGTAGCGCTAGCACACAAAACGTATACAATCTAGCATGTGCAGTCTTTGCTCATTGTTGGTTTGACGTCATCACTGACAATGAGGGCAGTCGTCGTGTATTGCGCAATTTCTGGAAAACCACTGAACTTTAGTGTAAAGTTCAAATGGGAAAAATAGAGCGATGTCATATTCGTTTTCTAACCTTTTCTATGAAACCGCCTACACAATGATTTTAAACATCCGTCACTTACGGTCACTACGTGAGGAATAATTTCTCGGTTGTCCAGAGATAACAAACAGTGAGGGGGAGTTGAAAAAAGAGAGATCAATATTATCGGGGGGGGGGGGGGGTTGCGTATCCCCGATATTAGCATAATTAAACAGCCCTTCGAAAAAAAGAAAACAAATTGAGTTGTAGTTTTATCTTTGGTATGTGGATTTTCAAATTTTCAATATCGTCTTTTCGAATCAATCAAGACACAAGCATGTAGAAAAATAGCTAGAAAAAGGGGGGGAAATTATGAAGAGAATAATCTCAAGCCAATGAAAAAGTTGGGGCGGTGCAAAGTGAAAATTAGAATATCAAATCAGTACCCGTCGGAAGGGGATTAGTGGCTGATGGGGGCAGGTGTATGGCACATTGCAGGAGCGGTTGAGCGTCTTCGAAAGTGGGAGGGGGCACCAACAAAAAAGAGCACTTACTTGAAGAGCGAAGGGTTCATTGACTGGGGTTCCATTCAATGGCGTACGGATTGAGCAAAGGATGGACTGTTTACTTGTCTAAGTAGGCCTCGATTTGGAGGGAATTAAAGATCGATGCAAACATTACAGTTCCATGAATTGAGATCGAAGAATAAATTGTTTTCATGATAAGAGCCGTAGAAAATTAAAATCCCTTAGCGGCAGTGGCGGATCCGGGGGGGGGGGGGCGAAACGGCCGCGGGCCCCCCTATTGGCGGCGCAAAAAAAAAAGGAAGGAAAAAAAGAGGAAAAAAAGAAGAGAAAAAAAGAAAGGAGAAGAGAAGAAAATAAGGAAAAGAAAAAAGAAAAGAGAAGAGAAAAGAAAAGAAAGAAGAGAAAAGAAAGAGAGAGAGAGAGAGAGAGAGAGAGAGAGAAAGAGAGAGATTAAAGGAGAAAACAAAAAGAAGAAACCCCCCCCCCCCCCTCCCTCCCACTCTGAGGTCGGAGGGACCGAATTTGTGTTCCCAAAATCTCCGGTAAAGGGGTACTTTTCACGCAACAAAGTCCGGTCCGTAGATCACCCCCCCCCCCCCCACTTTGAGAACGGAAGGACCCGTGCGTGTTACCAAAATGTCCGATAAAGGGGTACTTTTCGTGCGACAAAGTCCAGCCCGAGAATTGTAAAAAAGGGGGTGTTTTTTTTTTTTTTTTCCTCTCATCTCTTTGGACTCCTGAGAAATTATTCCAAATTTAGGGGGGTACAGTGAGCATTTTTCATGATTTAGGGGGGTCTCCAAGGCAGGAAAAGCCCGTGAAAAGCCCGCGAAAGGGGGGTTCGGAAATGTTGCCAGTCCTCAGATAGGGGGTGCTTTCAAAAAGAGGGAACAAGCATAATTATGCGTACCCTAAATAACACTGAGTGGGGGGGGGGGGCGCGCAGATACACACAAATCCGGCCCGTACTGACTTTACACGCCGGAGATAGAGGGGTGCTTTCAAAGAGAGGGAACATGCATTCGCGTACCAACACTGAGTGGGTGGGGGGGGGGGGAGTCGGGTAAGAAAGGGGAAAGACAAGGAAATGACGCTAAGTGACAGTAACGACGAAAAAGGGAAAAACTGTAACCGGGGGATTTGGGGTCATTCCAGAAGGCTTTGGAAACGTTATTAAAGTGGGGCCGGCCGCATAAAATCTCGAGTCGCGGATTCAAAGTTAAACGTTAAAAACAGCCGCTGCGCTACAAAGGTCAACACTCTTTAGTGAAAAATTTGAAAAGGGCGCAATATTTGGGATGTCTTTTAAATAGAAGCTATATACTCAACAGTCAAATTTTAAATTAACGGTAAAGGGGCCGCTTCACAACTCTTGTTTTGCCCTTCATTTGGCTTCAGCTCACGTCCCCCAGGAAATTTAGAAATATAGCGGAAAGAACGTACATTATTGGGGTTAGGGATTTTCTAGAATGCATAATTTCAGCATTCAACATTGCAAAATCTCGCTTGGTCGCTACGCCCCCTCGCCCAATAACACAAAATTATGATATGATGTTCCAGGCCGTGATTTATCCATGGTTCGTGTAATAGATCTTTTTTTCATTTCATTTCTGCTAACCTAATATTATTGTGTGCTATCACAATCATGATTGTTTCATTTTCCCTGCAGGCGCGTAGACAAGGGCGGTAGGGGCAGTAAGATGACATAAGACAGAAGCGGATCTAGAGGGGGGGTTGGGGGGGTTGCAACCCCCCCCCAAAAAAAAAATCCGGGGACCATTTTTTAAATCTTATCTTTTTTTTTAAACTTGTAATTTTATTTTATTCTATTTCTATGTATTTATTTCATTTATTATTATTATTATTATTATTATTATTATTATTATTATTATTATTATTATTATTATTATTATTATTATTATTATTATTTCTTTTTGGGGGGTGTTTATTTAAACCCCGTAAGTGATGTTTTCCTGGCATCTATTAACGCAATGGAGACCATAAAAAGCAATGCGGAATAACGTCTTTTTAAATCAAGTAACAGTTTAATACACAGTTATATCCAGAGTTATCATGTGTTTGGTTAAGTTACCAGATGAGTTGAATATCTTCTCACAATATTTGCACTTGAAAGGGTTTCTCTCCAGCGTGCGTTCTTTTTTCTTTCTTTTTTTCTTTCTTTTTTTCTTTTTTTCCCCTTTTTTTTGTTTTTTTTTGTTTTTGGGGCCGCCCAAGAGGGGGGGGGGGGGGGTTTTAAACCCCCTAAACCCCCCCCCCCCCCCCCCGTAGATCCGCGCCTGGACTTGCAAGCAATACGGATCAATCGCAACTTTTTATAAATCAGAAACTGGGCCCTCTCAGTTGCGTAAAAAGTCGAGTTTCTACGCATATCAACAAGTATATACTTGTGTATTAAACTGTTACTTTATTTAAAAAGACGTTATTCCGCACTGCTTTTTATGGTCTCCATTGCGTTAATAGATGCCAGGAAAACATCACTTACAGGGTTCAAATAAACACCCCCCAAAAAAATCGGCTCGCCGCTTCGCGGCTCGTGGACGATGCTCCGCATCGTCATTATTTTGGTCAAACCCCCCCTTAGCAAAAAGCTAGATCCGCCCCTGTAAGAAGAAAAAGGAGCAGACAAAGAAACATTTTTGAAAATTCTGACAAGTCGAGAACGGTACAACGAATCGTCTTCTTTCTCTAAACATTTAATGAAATGTCAAAGCTTCCGCGCTTCGCTCGGGAGGGAGAAAACTGAATTCAGACAAGAAGAGTCGAGAATGGTACAACGAATCGTCTTCTTTCTATAATAATTTCATTAAAGTATGAAGGGTCAACGCTTCCGCGCTTTGCGCGGGAGGGGGGGGGGGATCTGAATTTAGACAAGGAATAAGAGTCGAGACTATATACAACAAATCATCTTCTTTCTCTAATAATTTCATTAAACTATGAAAGGTCAAAGCTTTCGCGCGGGAGGGGGAGAAAAAACTGAATTCAGACAAGGAATAAGATCAAGACGAGATTGGTACAACAAATCTTCTTCTTTAATTAATGAAAGGTCGAAGCTTCCGCACTTCGCGCGGGAGGGGGGGGGGGCTGAATTCAGACAAGGATTAAGAGTCGAGAATGGTACAACGAAAAGAAAAGATCGAAGAAAAGGAAAGTAAAGTAAAGAAGAAAAGAATGGAAAAGAAAAGGAAGGAACAGAAAAGAAAGGGAAAAGAGAAACGAAAAGGAAAAAGAAAAAGGAATGAAACGAAAAGAAAGCTAGAAAGGCAGATTTTCAATCAACAAAGTGACCGTCGATCGATGTTGTTGTTGTTGTTGGTAATAGTTTAATGGCGTTCATTCAGTATTGAATATATACGCCATATCTTCAATTTTGTAAGAAAAACAGTTATACATAAGAAAACTGAGAATAAAGATTTGTAATGATATAGTTAATTAATCAGTAACGCTCGATCAACCCTACCCCGTCTTTTGTTGTAGTCTAGCGCCATCTCTTGATAAGTTACATTTAGAGAACGATGGCGATGGCGGAGACAGCGTCCCGTTTCTATGGCTGTGTGTTATCAATTCTGATGTTTATGTTTTTTGGTAAGTAAAGTGTAATAGTTCTTTTGGTTACAAGCAGCAAAAAAGTGTTAACTTTAAAACCGTAGATCTAGAGTCCATGTACGTAATTGTAGTTCATGCAAGATGTTGGTCTAAATAACAAGGAGAAGTTTACACAACTCAGAGAGTCAGAAGGAGCTCGGCATGCATCGGCATCGGGAGGGAGTCGGGGGGGAACAGTCAGTCTCAGTGACAGTGTCTGTCATTTGTTGGACATCGCTCATAGATTCTTGAATTGAATGCATCTTCTTCTTAGTTGATCCCTCCACTGTTTTGGAGATTCCTAGAGTCCAAATAAAGTAAATGTTTAAAATCCGACCGGTTAGGAGCTTTGGAGAGTATAGAACGAGAAGCATCAATTTTGTGTAGGAAAAAGAGCGATAGTACTGGTAATAGTAGTATTAGTAGAAGTATCTAGATCTAGATCTCTATCTAGGCTATTAATGAATTTCGGAAGGCAGGCATGGATGGATGAAGGGGTAACAGAGTAGCTTGGGTAAATTTCTGTGGGTCATCATCGTCATATAGGTTTAAACAGATGGGATAATCCACGAGGCATTCCTTGACTTTGCTGATGAAATCCTGATGGAGATGGTCCAGTCATTCAATCAAAAATATATAGATCTAGATCTAGTAGGGTCTAACTTTTTTTAGATCTATTTTTTTTTATTTTCCTTTTGAATAATAGATCTAATAATAGATCTAGGTCTAGATCTATGTCCGACAATTATAATTTTGAATTTATTCAATTATCGAAAGTGTAAATAGGTCTAGGGTTAATTTAATGTTTGGGTGATCCTGAATGTGTTCTGTAAAATCAAGTCCATGGCATGACCACCATGTCCACTCCAAGATGTTGTGTGTCAAGATAATTGATTTAAAATAGTAATATGAAGAAGTTTACTTGAAACATTTAATAAATCTTTTAAGACATTTGTTGGACAATATCAGAATTGACAATTATTCTTGATGATGAGTGCTATTTCAGTATGTGATGAATATTTTTGCTAAAGGCAAGACAAAAACAAGGCTGTTGAGTGTTGTAAGAGTAAGACCGTGTCTTGTCACCCCCCCCCTCCCTCGCACCTCATCATTCATACTCGTAGTTCATAGTCATACAATGTGAACATTGTAAATGCAATTAATGCTCCAAGTTGTCAATTTTTAGTGGTCAATAATATTGATAATTTTCTTCTCACCTTAATTAAAATGATATGCATCTAATCTGGATTTAGTTAGCCTACATATTTTGAGTTTAATTAAAATATAATTTTGTTTTGCATCTTATCTTCCTCCCCTGCCCCCCCCCCCCCCCAGTCACTGGAAATGAGTGGCACTATCCCTCCTGTATAGTGGTAGATCCCGACAGCTATGAGTGCCTGAACAGTTTCTTCTATTATTATGGAGGGTACAACTCGGCAATAGGGGGAGGAGAGGAGGTGGAACATACATGGGTCCGTTACGTGGATGACATCTACGACTACAATGATGCAAGTGCGACTGCATGTAACATCAGTAAGTGAATGTTAGTAGAATATTGGACAATGTTAGTTTTCTTTGTTGAATGTTACCAAAAAGTGGCATAGCATTATGTTGGCTTTAGTGGGGGAGGGGGCGGAGTGGGGCTTAGGGAAGGGAACAGTACACAGGGGGTGTAGTCTTTTTCTCGACCATGATGCTCATCATCTGAAAAAATATCAGCTTTAAATTTCCAAAGTAAAACTTGCGCAAATAGGTTTAAAATGTGAAAATTGTTTTAACTCATTTTTATATTTGATGTCATTTGTGCAAGGACTCACATTCACTTTTTAGAGAAAAGGAGGTAATTTCAAGGATTGGTGGAAAAACAAGATTAAACACACGCCCTGATCTCTTTGTTGGATATACATTGTCTAGCGTAGAACCTCCCATTGTAACTCACACACACACATACTAACTCTTTGAGATTACTGAATTGTTAAGATATTTTAGAATTTGAGGCCATTTGCACCTTTTCAGAAGCTTTAGTATTATTATTACTATGATTATTATTAAAAGCTTGCTCCAAACTATGAAAAAAAACATTGCTTTTGGAAATTTAACAGTCTGCATCCACAGAATCCTTCACCATTTTTTGACGTATTTCAGAATTTGAGAAGGCAATTTGTACCTAAATTTCTGGAAGCTTTATTGTTATTATTACTATTACATAACTTTGCTAAAAAACACAATGCTTTTCTACTAACAGGAAGGCAGTCTGCATCTACAGAATCCTTCACCATTTTTTGACGTATTTCAGAATTTGTGAAGGCAATTTGCCACTAAATTTCTGGAAGATTTATTGTTATTATTATTATTATTACATAACTTTGCTCAAAATTGCGAAAAAAATGCTTTTCTACCAAGAGGAAAGCAGTCTGCATCCACGGAATCCTACCCCATTTTTTGACGTATTTTGAAATTTGAGAATGCAATTTGTCTCTAAATTTCTGGAAGCTTTACTGTTATTATTACTATTGCATAACTTTGCTCAAAACTGCAAAACCATTGCTTTTCTTCTAACAGGAAAGCAGTCTGCATCCACTGAATCCTTCACCAACGTGTCCTGGACACGGGACGGGTTCTCCACCTGTACCGTAGAGGAGGTGTCCACCTTCAATACCTGGTGGAGGGGTAAATGTGAAGGGATCTGCGTCGATGACAACAACTGCAGACGCTACGCCACCTTCCTGGGCTACCACCTCTGGAACAACTGCAGCTGGGACGCAGAGATAGAGAGGCCGAACTACGACCTGGTTGTTCCGTGATGGCGGGTTCTCGTGGTGGCGGTGGTGGTAAGGATCGGCTTTTCCGGGCAGACGAATAGATGGATAGCCTCTTCAAGATTTTTGTGCTTTCTTTTGCAGTGGGATCGATCTCATTAGAAAATCCAGGACCAGGGAAATACCTGGTGTTGTATTCTGAAAATTATGTTATTTGTTATGTTTAAAAGTAAAGCAATGTTTATTAATAATAATAATAATACTCAGGGTTTATATAGCACTTATTAGAATCACTAAGCGCTTCCAAACTTGGAGATTATTATCCTGGCTTTAGCTGTGCTGCCATTGCGGCGCTCTAGCATTTCAATGAAGTAATTCCTACCAGGTACCCATTTACATCACCTGGGTTGAGCGTGGCAAATGTAGATCAATGTCTTGCCAATTAAAGGACATTAATCATAACAAATCAAAATTAGGACCATGCAGTCATTTGTGAACGTCTGCACAAAGCTTGCTGCATTTGCATCAAAGTATAAGAGACATCTGTGCAAGCACCAATGATACTTACGTGTGTAAGTGTTTATCCTGTGCTATTTCAGGTTGTTATAACAATTAACATTGTCTTTCCCAAATTAAATGATTACATAGTTTTCAGAATGCCGCCCCTGGTTATTATAAAATGATGTCGTATCAGGGCTAACCTAAAACAGTAGAAACACAAGTAACTGGAACCGACAAAATTACCTCAATAACATGAAAATTTGTAATAGGTGTACTTTACAATGAGGTTTCACCTTACTATTCTTTACACTTTGACAAAAAGGGCCGACACACCGAGCTGACGTGTGGTGCATCAATTGCCACTTCCCATTTCTTTCTGTGCACTTTTGTTTAAAAAAGAAGAAAAAAAGAAGAAAAGACAATACAAATTTTGATTTCTGAATATGTCCAGAATGTATAGCCTGTTGGGATATGGTGTTCGCTACATTACTTTTTTTATACAACTCTTCCATTTTCAACACATATTCGAAATATGTATTTTAGTACACATTATAGATACCTGTACAGGCACACAGGAAGAAACCTTTTTCATTGATACATGTTTGCAGTGCTTCATTTTATATACACATTTTTTTCTTCTTAGAGAGAATTCTTGTATTTGAGTATGTACAGATTTAAATTTTTAATTTTTTATGTAGACTACATAACATCTTTAATACTGAATATCTTTAATTTATTAAAATATATCATGCACTCGATTTACACGTGGAAAAAAAAGACAAGTGTACACATCAAAGTTCAAAAGCAATAACAATATATTTAATGCCAAAGATAAATATTACAGGTATTTACAGAAGTAAATGTTTTCTCAAATTTAGACATTTTCTACTATGTACATATAATATATAGAAGTAAATGTAAGTGGCATATATCAGATTGCCCAAAATTTAAAACTTACAAGTTCACAGGTAGATTCTGACTATGTCTTCTAAATGCTGTTTGTTATTTTTAGCTGGCAAAAAAAAATCATGGTTGGTAAATTTTATGGCATTATACCAGCACTGTTAGATGCTCTTTTATTCACATTGGCAATTATCAATAACTTTAACATGTTTGAGACTTCCAAAGAACTGATATACAGTATATTTCGTTTTGACAATCATCAAAGTATTTGTTCCGTTATCAACTCAGTGAATGATTATACAATAACATTTGTGAACCAAGAGTCTGAGAAACATTTACATGGACACTGCACAACTATTTGGGCATTATTTCTGTGTTGCAAAGTTCAGTATTATGCATAAAAAACAAAAGTGTTTTGAATTGAATCAATTTCCTAATTCCTTTACAATTACCAGTATTTCAACATAAAACAAATTTGTATGAGAATTACTTCCAAACTTATTATTCAAAAGGCCCTAATTCAAATAGGTAATACAGTAAATGTACCAGTTGATAACAGTATTGTGAATGTTTTCTTACAAAGAAATGAAAAAAGCAGAAAACAGATATTTTTTCCAATCATCATTATGAACTATGTAGTCTTTTCAAGGATAAGGTCCCTGATTTGTGGATCAAGTGGCATTAATTTTCTATTTGCTGAGAGTATGTCTTAATTATACTGCACAACTATGTGAGGCTGTTATCTCGTTATACAGGGTATCACAATTTCTCTATTTTTATATGTACAGTATGAACAAAGGGCATCTGAAAGGGGGAAGTTCCCTGACTTTTCATAAAGTTAAAGAATTGTGTGAATATTTTTGCTACATCATTTTATACAGTAGAACATATACGGTGCATATTTTTGTTTTCGTTGACTTTTAACAATATATAGTGATGTCAAAGTTTCAATGAAAAAGAAAAATGCTTCTCTGGTCATTTCTTGTATTCAATCTATGCATTGCTAATAAAATTTGGTGTTTAAAGACTTGCCAGTAATTTTGTTAACCCTTTAGGACTATTCTACTAAAATTTAAACCTGATGCTCTGCTAAGCCTTGTCCAAAATCATGTTTAACAAAGAAATTTAAAGTCCGAGGTCTAAATTTTCATTTTTTAGACGTGATTTTAAATCAGGGGTCAGGTTTAGCAGCATTAGTAGAATACTGACCTAAAGGTCTTACATACACACACTATACAAGATATATCTTTTACCGATATATCATTATTTTTGTTATCCTCGGGCCTCGGCTCACCACTATAATAGTTTACTCTGTGAAATGAGATCGATTTGATTTCTTGAAAATGACTTCTTTCTTGGACCAGATATAAAGTACATGTACAGTTAACTCTGCATGAGTCAAATCTGTTGGAACCACACACACCAAATAATAGTGAAAATCTCGATTAAAGGCCTCATGTCAAAAGGCCTTCATAATTTGCCTTATCCCTATAGAAGGTGAATTTCGTTCACGTCATGAAACTACATGATATTGTTTTTTAAGAATTTTTAAGCAGTATCTCGCTTATTTTTGCTCTATTTTGTCTCAAATTTAAGTTGACCAGCCCACCTATACTTGTTCCAAACAAGTATTATATGTCTAGTTGTAAATATACAGTTTTGTCAAAAATGAATTCAACTTAAGAAAAATTTGACTTGTGCAAATTCAAGGTAGGCCTATGCTGTTAACTGTATCAGCAAATGAACCAAGATTCAAATTAGTTTGGTTTCAGGTTTCCATGTAAATAAAGAAATATCCTTTTTATATTATATGTACAAAATTATGAATGTGAATGGAAATTATATTGATATCAGATTTATATATCATTGATTGACGGATCATAATAAATTATTTCTTTTTAATGAAACAAAACTTGCTTGACTTCTTTAGTTCTATCTTTGTTCATCCTGCAATAACGCTGTATTCAAAATACATGTATTCTTAATATAGCTTTAATATACCATTCAATAGTATACTGAGTACCCATCATTTCAGAAGTGGATTTAGATGAATGGGTCATGCATTTGTTGGGAAGGGAATGTGGTGAACCTGTGAAAAGAGCGTGGGATCTGGAAGTGGTTGGCATAAGAGGGAAAGGGAGATCTAAAGAAATGGTGAAGAAAGAAAGAATTAAGGTTGGTCTACCTAATAAAGTGGATGCTCGAGACAAAAAGAGTGTAGGGTCATCATGGTGCGAAGGTCAGTAACCCCTCGTAAGAGGGAAAATGCTGACTTTAATAAATGATGATGGTGGACAAATACATGGATCACAATATACAGGTGCTGATAAAACGTTGCAGCAAATGGGAAAAACTTTATTTCCTTTGCACCATCAGGTCTGACCTCAAATGATTGACCTTTCAAGCAGAAAAGTTAGTACATCAGTAGCTTCTCCTGCAATACCCGAAGAGCATGAGCCTGGAGATTGGTCAACGTGTGTGCAAGCATGTCACTTCTGGCTCGGTGGCTCTGTACGCATCAGAAATCTAAGAGCTGTAAAGGCGAAAAAGGAAAAAGAAAGAAGTAGTATACATGTATGTATAGGAAAAACTATTAAGGAATAAAAGCCAAGAACATTCAGAATATGCTACATAAATGAAAACAAACAAATTTAATGCAAATTCAGCTGGAAAGCAAGAGGCTACAAGTACAATTTAATAAATACCAGTACGGTAATCATAAGTTGATTTTGGTATTCACCAACAATTTTTATAAGTTTGTGGTACTGATTCTGAAGGTTAATGAAGCTGGTTTATACATGGGCAATTTCAAGATATACCGGTAAGGTGCCCCCTCCATATTTATGAGCGATTTCCACCCGCAATATGTAGGAAAATTCCACCTCACAAACATAAGAATTAGAACGTACCAACTGCGGAAGAACCTTTTCTAAATGTCTTGGTTCGACGACCATTGCCTGCTCAGACTTGGCCTGCTGTGCTGACCTACATGCTCCTTCTGCAAATCAAAACATTATCAAATAAAGAAATAAAATAAAGAAATAAAGAAAATTCACTGAAAGGTTACATGAAGATAGTGTTTGGTGTCTGAATAAACCACTGTCGAACAAACAAAATTAATCAACAAAATTTCTCTTATGATTGTTGGTTATACTCCAAGTTTAAACCTGCTCCAACTGAACTTTACACATTGTAAATATGAAGTTTATCAGATTTATTTAGTTTTATGACATTTCATCAAAGTAATATTCCTAAAATAATATCCTAGATTTTTAGTTATAAAACTTATAATAACAAAATATGCTATCATTTGAGGGATGTATTACAATCAATGAATTAGTGAGTCCCTTACTTTGAATATAAAATTTTTACAAATAATATTTACAATAGTCATACAGCAATATCACAAACATGTCCCTTGAAGCTTAAAGAAATTATCCATCTCTTTACGATTTCCCAAAAGTGATGAAATCAAAGTTTAATGTTAAAACCTAAAAACCAAAGACAATTTATATTACATACCATTAACAAAGATGCGAGACAGTTCAACGATCAGCACCAATGCATCTTTGTTTACTGGATAAATGGAAGAAAAGAAAGAACATGCATATCATACAAGTTTGTTTGTTTTTCCATTGGTTATTCTCCCATCCTCACAACTGAAGGTTGGGGATCATGGATTCATACACCAATGCTACATAATTTACAAAATGTATCTTGTGCAGACAAATCGACCCCACAATTTCATGAGAATTTCCAGAAAAGTTCATGTTGAGCATTCAGTGCAAAACATTGTAAAGATATTAGAAATACTATCTAATTTTCAATGTTGTGACTTACTTTTCGTCTTCTCCTCTTTAAAGTTCTTCTGTAGTAATCGTTGGATCGTGCCCTGCAGAGGAGTGAAAAAAGAAAAAAAGAAAGAAATTAAGCCTATACATTTACAGCTACTGTAGACCAAATTTTCTGTCTCTTTCGTTCGTTAGCCTCTGATTTGGGTAGGGTCGGCTCCTCTCTTACATCTACTGTAGGTAATGGGACCAAACTTGAACCAAGCACAGTGCATAGGTTCCTGAAGTGTGAAAAACAAATGCTGAGTAATAAGAATGAGATTATGATCTACATGTAGGTCTACAGTGTAATAATCTTTATTTTTACCTCTTTTCAGGAAACGATTGTGACAATATAGTTTATTCTTGATAAGATAACATTTTATATCTTCACATAGACCGAAAACTTCAGTCTCTCTAGTCGTCGGTTGTTCCACTAAGACTACGTCTGGCTCCACTAGACGGTACTCCAATTATAGAATGTCAACAAATGTCAGTTTTATTAAAGGAATGACCCAAATCAGATGGTTATTTCTGTCTAATCTTCACAGTGCTTTATTAATTATTGATCAATCTCTAGATCTATGACTCTTTAAATGGATCAATAGAGTTCTGAATCTGAGAAGATTATAACCATTTAATATCAAGAATAAACCATATTGGCACAATCAATCACTTCATGAAAGTTGAGAAAATAATGCCAACTTTAAGTTTATGGGCAACAGTGTACTTGCAACATATTTAAGGAAGAATAGGTTAGTTAGAATGTCTGAGACTTTGTCAAGTTTATGAGAGCATGTTGCAAATTCATTTCACATGCATGAAAGTTTTTCTCATTGTGCTATTTGTGGCCTGTTTTGTGAGTCTTTTTTTACAAGTTCGTGCTAAGGTATCCTTGAGGCTTCATAAATAAGTGTCTGGTATGGGGAATTCTAGCTAAACCTCAATGCCATTAATAATAGTATTAATAGTCTATAGACTCTAACTGTTAGAACGAATAAATACCTGTTTAAATGTGATGTCTTCATGTGATGATGTCGATGTTGACGCCATAATCCTGATAATCCTGATCGATAGACTAAGTAATAAAGTTATCTTCAACGATCTAAAAGAAAAGGTTGCCGTTCATGCCAACAGACAGCTCGTCAATCACCACATTAGTACAAACAGGGCCAGTTTCTTGGTCTTACTTGATCAGAGAGCAGTCAAAAGTGTCTACAAAAATAATTATCCGAATGTATCGAGCCCGGTACGGTACGGTCGGTTGCGCTGTGCCCGATGATCTGTCAGGGTAACTTGATCATGCATGGTGTAAGATTGGTTGTTTACGTTTGGATTTCGCGCGGAATCTTTGCAAAGCGCGCGCCCCATTGATATTTTACCTTGAAAGATTCATAATTGAGTAGGGTTTATCTTTATTTGCACCAGAAAATAGAAGACATTACATTTTTTTAAAGCAGTAAAATGTTTGAAATAATCCGCATTTATGGTATTAATTCTTTTTTTAATAAATAAATTTGAACCTTGTATTCATATTATTGTGAATAGAGTCTAGAAGGCCTATTTTTTCTACCTCAAAATGTACAAACCCGTAATATAATGGAATTGCCCCAGTTGTTGTAGATCACCCGATGAATGACCTTTTATCATGACCTTTAATGTGGGCGTGTCGTAAATACGGTACAAGTACTACAGAGAGGCCTAGATCTAGACCCTACACGGATTTACATTGTGCAGAAAATTGCTTTTTGTTTGTTTCTGAAATTATTTTTAAATTGAAGAAATATTCAATCCGTCACCATGAGCGCGAATGGAAACGGGAACAATCGCCCTGCACCTGAGGGAGATGAAATGCCAACCAAGAGACAGCGACGAAACGTGAAGGTGTGGTGTGATGGATGGTAAGCATGCATGCAAGCGTTCGAGGCCGAGGCTGGTCGGCCAGGCCAGGCCTGGCCATAGAGCCAAGCAAGCTCTCGCTCCTCTCCAGCCCCGCGCCCCGCAGGGACGGGGATAGACCGAATTTTCCGTCTCTTTCGTTCGTTAGCCTCTTATTGGGGTAGGGTCGGCTCTCTCTTTAGAGACGGAAGCCGTTTATACACATGTCCTTGCTAACGCCACGGCCAGTTCTGGTCGTAGCGTTTTGCCCCCAAAATCCCCAAAATGTCATTTTACCTCGAGCATGTTATATTGTAAATTAGGCCTAGGCTATAATAAATCAGTTCCACTTACCAACTTGACTGAAATAATCAGTTTAATAGTCCCTTTTTAGGAAATTATGGGTCAAAATCGAAATCCATTTTGAAAATCTTTTTCAACATGGATTCCGATTTTGACCCATAGAGTCTAATTTCCTAAAAAGGGACTATTAAACTGATTATTTCAGTCAAGTTGGTAAGTGGAACTGATTTATTATAGCCTAGGCCTAATTTACAATAACATGCTCGAGGTAAAATGACATTTTGGGGGATTTTGGGGGCAAAACGCTACGACCAGAACTGGCCGTGGCGTTAGCAAGGACATGTGTATAAACGGCTTCCGTCTCTAAAGAGAGAGCCGACCCTACCCCAATAAGAGGCTAACGAACGAAAGAGACGGAAAATTCGGTCTAGGACGGGGACTGCTGCATATCGTTTTAAACGTACAGGAACCTTCTTTCATATTTCTCTCAATATCATGCTTAGTGTACAGTCAGGTCTAGACTAATCTCTATAATGTAAATTTAAATGTAGTCGACCAAAAATATCATGAAATTAAAAATGCGAGCAAGACAGACACCAAGACTATTCAATTGCCAAGAAAGAACCAGGCAAGAACAATGTCATTTTCACAAGAATTACAAAAGGGAGGCCATGTCATTTTGACATTGCAAAAAGAAAAGGTTCCTAGATCTATGTCTTTGCACTATCTTGCCTCTTTAAAGTTGGAGGGGGTAGTCTAGTCGTCTCTGTGCCATGTGGAAGATCTACACTACATGTACGTGTCGTTGAATTGAACAGGCGCAATCCTATTCCTAGTGCAACTGTATTTTGAGCACCTCAGTCTTAAATCTGGCTACTGAGGTACAGGCGATTGCACTTGCAAGTTGCAGGGAGAATTTTCCACAGTCTGATGGCATAAAAACACAGACATTTTGATATTTGATGTGAAAGATAACATTTGATGAAGCTTGTGACTAAAATTAAGAGTTTTCTCAATATTTTTGAATGTTTTTATTAATGATTTATATATTACCGCTATAGGCAAATAGGGACAACATTTGTGTGTTCTTTGCATGTTTTGTTTTACTGCACAGACTTGTGCTCTAGACTGTAACCATACATTTTTAATTTTTCAGACTTCCCCAAAGTGGCCATTTGTTTTCTCATGAAGTGTGCGGTTTAATAAATGTTTAATGTTAAAGATAAACTCCAGTTCTGGTATAAAAAAGAAAATTAATTCTCAAAGAATCAAACGAAACCTACACTGAATGTTCAAGATTACAAATAAATCACAACTCACTTACATGTACAAAAATGAAACTTATAATTTCTTTTTTAGTTAAGACAATAATGTATTTAAAAAAAAAAAAAAATTGTAAAATTATTTTTTGTTTTTATCTTTCTTTTTCTTTGTGTTTGTATTTAGATTGTTCATGTGGTATTTTCCACTTTTCATGTATGCTTGCCATATTGTATAATATTGTATTTATGTTTAGCATAGGCTAGGTTTAGATTAGACCGAATTTTCCGTCTCTTTCGTTCGTTAGCCTCTTATTGGGGTAGGGTCGGCCGGCTCTCTCTTTAGAGACGGAAACCGTCTATACACATTCCCTTGATAACGCCACGGCCATTTCAGGTCGTAGCGTTTTGCCCCCAAAATCCCCCAAAATGTCATTTTACCTCGTGCATATCCACATGTAAATTAGGCCTAGGCTATAATAAATCAGTTCCACTTACCAACTTGACTGAAATAATCAGTTTAATAGTCCCTTTTTAGGAATTTATGGGTCAAAATCGAAATCCATGTTGAAAAAGATTTTCAAAATGGATTTCGATTTTGACCCATAAATTCATAAAAAGGGACTATTAAACTGATTATTTCAGTCAAGTTGGTAAGTGGAACTGATTTATTATAGCCTAGGCCTAATTTACAATATAAAATGCACGAGGTAAAATGACATTTTGGGGGATTTTGAGGGCAAAACGCTACGACCTGAAATGGCCGTGGCGTTATCAAGGGAATGTGTATAGACGGTTTCCGTCTCTAAAGAGAGAGCCGACCCTACCCCAATAAGAGGCTAACGAACGAAAGAGACGGAAAATTCAGTCTAGGTTTAGATCATTCCTATTTATTGTTATACTTTTATATTGTTGTTTTGTTGTATTCTGTATTCTTTGTATTATTAAGCTATGTTTGTATTCTTTATTATGTATCATTATCATGACATGTACATGTACATGTGTTGTACTCTCATACCCCAGAAGGGGGTCGAATGAGTCAATAAATTCTATTCTATTCTATTCTATGTGCCGAACAATTTTGGAAGAAAATGTATACAGGCTGAGTAATGAGCATAGAAAGACAAGGAAATCAAGGTACATGTAGTACTAGCCCCGACACCATGTGTGTTGTCCCATATATAGCTTTCTGTGTACAGTGCTTGTTACTTTACCAAGACTCGGCCAAATTTATTATGATTTTGATGACTCCAGAACCTTGCAGTGCACACCAATACTTACATGCTACATGATCAACTGTTTCTGATCCATTCCACACCTTTTCTTTCACAATGCAATCACATTACCAGAACTCACCTTTATCTTTAACTCTGATATTGTTGTTAGAGCTCGAGAATCAACAGATTTATGTAGTCTGGCTTATTCAACAGCCTACATCAGCAAGCTTCCCATATGAAGTAACCAGACAACATTTTGCTTATATATTCTTTCTAGAACAAAATTCTCCCAATAAAAACAACTCAACAAAACAAAACAAATAAACAGAATTGGGTTTGATAAAGGGAGCTATTGGGGACAACATTTGATTTTGAGCTCAATTGAGCTGTCTTGATAAAAGTTGTTGAATGTAATTGGTGAATCGAAAACAGAATTTTGATTTAATTAAATTCAACAGAGAGTGCATCACTGTGGATAATAAATACATTTTAATTTTTAAAAAAAAAGGTTTTAGTGGAGAAAGTGGGAAAAGACGATTACATTTTGTTCTTCATATGTTGGAGCGGTAAATAGAAGATTGTTATAATTTCTTTTATCAAAACAATTGTATTAATCTTCCATACATGTACGATGTATGTAACCAGACATTTACTCACTTATTTCAACTACTTTTGGAATTCTACAACTTTAATATAAGGATTAATTGTGTTCTGTTGGCAAGACATTTATTTGACATGCCAAAAGAGCATCACAAAGGAAACACCAGTAGTGGTTGAATAGGTTAAAAGTCAAAACAAAATCACGCCATTTTCTTGCTCAGCTTACAGTGTTTAGTTTATCTCCAGCAATTTCTTGTTTTTTAATTGAAAGAAGATAGCGTGATCACAACAATCAACAAACTATGAGCTACCTTTGTGTTTTGTGTACATAAGGCACGTCTTCATCATCTCGAGATTGCCAAATAGCCCGCTATTTCTGATTTGGGAAATAATCCCGAAGTAACAAATCGCGTCTTCACTATCTCGAGATTCGACCTCGAAACTTGAAACTCGACCTTGAGAAATTAGCTTGAGATATTTTGCTCAGCGTTAGCGTGTATTGCGAATCTTCGGTCTAGTGAAGACGCACGGGACAAATAGCTGGATATTTTGCCAAATAGTGGGATATTTTGCAAACTATCCCTAGATATCTTGGGATGACAATCCTGACCAAATATCCTTCTGATTGCTACTTCGATCTGATGAAGACGCAAATTAGCTGGATAGTTTGCGATCGGGAGAGTTCAAATAGCTGGATATTTGGCAATCTCGAGATAGTTAAGACAGGCCTATAGATTCAAGGTAGCATAGCTAAGTCATTCCAAAGTTTCTTGACTGTTGATAAACTAGAAACCCCTGATAAGAATTAAACAGATATAACATCTTGAATGACACCTTCATATAGTGGATACTTATAATTTATTCCAGTTATTAATGGAAAATGATCATAACCATTAAAAGAAACCTTTTTAACTAGACAAGTCTATGAACTGGATAGCAATTATCAAATACAGCAAGTTTTGGTACAAATGGATTTTTCATTTATTTGTTTTCACTCCGTGTAATAAAATTACAATAATAATATGAAATTAAAAGTAAGATCACATACAGTGAAAATAAAGAGAATAAAGGGCTTGTTGGAGTGCATTCCTGGAGTATCATTTATAAAATTGAGATATCATTGTTTAATCAAGAATATTCTCATGAATAGCACTAACTTTTTATGACTAATTGTAAATAATGTCACCATCAAAGGGGCCTGTGTGATCAAGTTTAACTTTTCAAGCTATACATTATATGCAGCGTTCAATAAGTACTAGCAGTAGTTTCAAAATAATTATTCCATTGAGGAATGATGTACAACAAAACAATGTAGATGCTCATGTGGACCCTTGAATATTCCTTGCAAAAACTTCTCCGTAAAAGTGGAGCCTTTTGCTATTTGTACATTTCTGCCTTTCGTTATACATTGTAATATTACTGGTATACCTGGAACGTGATCTATTTTAATGAATTTAATTTATGCAAGGCCTTTTTTTTTTTAATTTAAAGAAGAGACTGGCCTTGTGTCTATAGCAGTGTAGGATTGCATGTTAAATAACAGTTTGCACCTACTCAGTATGTTGGTCAATTTTTTCTTCTTTTCAGCTATGATATGGTTCACTTCGGGCATGCCAACTCTTTGCGCCAAGCCAAATTGATGGGGGATCATCTTATTGTCGGTGTTCATTCAGACGGTAAGAAAATCTTGCTGCTTTAGTTTGATTTTATTGAGGAAGGTTACGTATTTAAGATGTTTTGTGAGAAAAATTTCAGGGACATTTCATCTGTAGCTTTTCATTATCCAGGGAGACATATTGCAAGATTGTTGGTGATTGAAACTAATGGGTCTGAAATTGCACTGAAGTACGTGCCTTCATTCATTTATTTTGGTTTATTGAAAACAAATTTCTTGTTAAAAAAACAGTCCAAAGACCAATACAAACAAGATTAGTTAAAATGTTCAACATTTATATAAAAGAATCCAATAAATTCACCAAATTGACAAGAAATGAAAAGTGAGATTAGATGTGACGAAGAACTGTTTAACACATTGCACGTTGATAATAATTGATAATAAACATAAACAAATTTTTGATTGGAAAGTAAAGAGAGAAGAGGAGAAATGAAAAGGGACAAGTTGGGGAAGATGACAGAAAAGAAGGAGAGGGAGAGGAGGGATCTGTTGAGAAAAGGAAAAGATATATTAAAGAGTGCCATTTCATTTGTTTGTAGCTTTTATTGCATTCTAGTACAAAGTGACATAATTATTCATGTCATTCCACAATTTTTGTAAAGCCTACTAGGAAATGGAAATCAACCATTATTGTGAGTCCATAGAAAATATTCAAAATGGTGGTGGAGGCACTATTCCTTTGTCTGCCTTTGAATGCCCGGGGAAAAAATGTGTTGTTTCTCTTTTGCAGCTGACATCATCAAGCACAAGGGTCCACCCGTGATGAACGAGAAGGAACGTTACAAGATGGTGCGTGCAATCAAATGGGTGGATGAAGTAGTAGAGGCTGCCCCCTATGTCACACATCTAGAGACGTTGGACGAGCACGACTGTGATTTCTGCGTTCACGGAGGTATACTTCTAATCTCTTTATTTCGTTTACCAGGCCTGATAATTACCGGATTTATATCAGTTTCCTGATTTTTTTGAATTTTTTCCCCTGATTTTTTTTTTCTTCCCGATTTCCCCCTGACTTTCCAGATTTTTTCCTATTTTTCCTATTTTTCCTATTTTTCCTATTTTCCCCAATGTTCTTACTCAAAAGGGGGGAATGTTGTTAGATGCCATTTTTTTCCCCCCTGAATCCTTGTTGTTTTTTTTTACTCAAGGGATGGGGGGGGGGGGGGGGTTAACTCACTACTAGCATTTGCCAAGGATGTGGTACATTTATGGCTCAGTGTCTAGTGTTATAGTTTTTCGAAATATAGGTTGATGATAAAGTTGTTACTTATATTTGAAATTTGAGAAATTTGAAATTTGAAATTTATTTGATTTCCAGGTACATGTATAAACAAAATAGAAATGACAACACAGAGCATATAACATTAAGAGTTACAAGACAGTGAAAAAGCCACCAGCGGACGCCTGAGGATTACCTAAAAGAATTTCCATTCTGTCATGAGGTTCTCCACATCCACTGGTGTTACATATAAATAGATTTAAGAAGTAACAGTAAAATAACAACATAATTCAAGTTCATCCATCAAGCATAATAACTAATAGAATGATTGCATGTATGTTGAACTTTGTGGCGTGAAGAAAATAACAATCATGTACGGCATGTAACGGTAAAATAAAATAACATAATTCAAGTTCATTCATCAAGCATGATAACTTATAGAATGATTGCATGTATGTTGAACTTTGTGGCATGAAGAAAATAACAATCAGGTACGGCATGTAACGGTAATATAAAATAACATAATTCAATTTAATGTAACTCATTTAATGTAATACCTGAAGGGAATCAGAGATCCTCGCGTAGAGACCTCCACACCACCCTGCTCGAATGCGCCAAAAAGTTCACTCCTCGAACAGCCCCCACCGAAAAGGCACTCCGACACAAGTGCCAAAACTCAACTCAATTCAATTCAACTAATTTACTTAATTTAAGCAAATCAGCTAAACCGAACTGAACCAAATTCCGACACCTACATCAGAACGCCCTCTCAATGGGAGACTGCTCAAAGAGCAAACCCCTCAGCGCACCCAAACAGGGCGATATACATGTAGAGGTGTCCACACACAGATCCCTGATCTCTTCAGGTAAAGTATCCCAGAACCTAGGAAAGGCATAAAAGCATGAAAATTTCAGAGCATTAGATCTTGCAAGTCGATGGTTGAAGAAAAGACTATGGGAGCGTCTTGAACTGGGAATGGGAAGAACATAATCGGGTACATCATGACAACTACGGATGCATTTTACAACAAATGACACTGTCAAGTGAATGAGACGATTATACAAGGGTGGCAAAGCTAGCTTCTCCAGTCGTTGCTCGTAAGTAAGAGTGTTGGAAATATGGTATGGGAAACAAGAACGAGTAAATCGTCTTTGAATAGCCTCAAGAGCTAAGATGTGGTTCTTTTGGTGTGGCAATCAAACTGGGATGTTGTATTCAATGACAGGTCTACATATGGTACAGTATAATCGTTTAAGGACGGTTGCATTTCTGGAGTTTACAATCCGACGCACAAAGCCACATAATCGTGCACATCGGGAAGTCACAGATTGGATGTGTTTACTCCAAGAAAGATCACTCGAGAATATCAATCCAAGATGTTTGTGTGAGGTAACTACATCAAGTTGACGACCCCCCAAATTGTACTCTATATCGATTCCTCTTTTGGAACGTGTAATATGCATTACTTTGCATTTGGATGCATTGAGTTCCATCTTATTGTGTGTACACCATTGAGATATTAGGTTTAAATCATTCTGAAGTACATTGCAATCATTTGGATTCTGAATCGGGCGGTACAGTACTGTATCATCTGCATACTGTGGGAGTGAGGAGGATATTATGGAAGGTAGATCAGAAACAAAGAAGTTAAAAAGGGTCGGACCCAACACTGACCCTTGAGGAACTCCAGATGTCACACTGGACCATTCAGAAAATGTTCCCTGAAACAAGACCTGTTGGTTGCGATCTGACAAGAATGATTGAATCCACCCAAGAGCTTTTTTACAAATACCAAAATCATGAAGTTTTCTTACAGATGTACAAGTAGTGCATGGTTTACCTTATCAAAGGCCTTAGCCCAATCCAAGAAAACAGTATCGACTCTAGACACTTTCGCGCTTTCTAAACATTTGGCAAGGTCATTGTACAAAATTGAGGTCTGAGTAGAACAAGAGCGTTTTTCCATAAAACCATGTTGAGATAAGGGTATAATACCATACATATTAGAATGTTTAAGTAGATGGGAAGCAACAATTCTTTCCAACATTTTGCAAGGCACTGAACATAAAGAAATCGGTCTGTAGTTGGATATAGATTCACGATCACCACTTTTCAGTAAAGGCACAACATTCGCTGATTTCCATTCACGGGGTACCGTACCTAAACTTAAACTTAAACTTAGATTAAACATGCGTGTGAGAATAGGGGCCAAAGAATTACCTGCTAACTTTAAAAAAACCCGGCAAGATGCCATCGGGTCCAGGGGGCTTTGACGCTTTTAGGTTGTTGATAGCGATTGAGACTTCCTCAGTTTGTACGCTTATTTGGTTCAGGGGTAACATGCCAGCACTGTGTCTATTACAGGCATCCAATATAATGTTAGACGTTGTATCAATTGTAGATTCTGAAAAATTCGAGCAGAAATATCGATTGAACACATTAGCAATATTTCCAGGATCATCATAATGATTGTTATCAAGTTTAAACGTTGAAAGCATTGAAGTTGCCTTCTTAGCTTTTACAAACGACCAAAATCGTTTGGGGTTAGAATTGAGGGAGATACTTGAGATATAATCATTATAGGAAATCCTTTTTTGTTTGTTCACAAGAGTACAGATTTCTACATTATTCCATAGATCTGTATTATCATTTCCAGTCCTTTTCTTTGCAATAGCCTTTTAAAAGGCTCTCTGTTTTTTCTTTGACAGTTTAATAATATCTTGTGTTATCCAAGGGGAGCGTCATCGACCTTTGGCTTGTGCGATTGGTACAGTATCCTTAATTGCAGCATGTATCAAGATACTACAATTCTCTCATGTTTCATCAACATCATATTCATCAATGAATAAATCCCACGGTATGCATTCAAGGGTTTTCCGTACATCGTATTGATCAGTTTTGTGAAACTGATGGAAGTAACGAGAAAATTCCTGATGATTATGATGGACGTCAAGATCAAAGAGTACTGAGAAATGGCCACTACTGGCAAGACCTGGACCACTGGGAAGGTTTTTGACGATATCCGGCTCATTGCAGAACACCAGATCCAGCATAGAATGCCTTCCATTGGATCCAATGCGAGTCGGGAAGGAGACCAATTGCGTTAGACCGAGACTGTTAGTAAGATCAAGTACATCTGACGTCTTCTTATCAGGGACATGGGCTATGAGCTCATCAATACTTGTGTATTGTAGATTTAAATTGAAATCTCCTAAGAGGAATATTGATTTAAAATGATGTATTACTGGAAGGATATGGTTGATGGATGTAGTAAGCTCTGTAGTAAAGTGATGATTTGACGAAGGAGGTCTGTAGCACGTGCCTACGAGAATCTTTCCTTCGTTATTAGGCAAATTGATCTGCACCCAAATGATTTCGCATCGTTTACATTCAGTTGCACCTTCAAGATCCAATCTTCGATTTGCATTAATGTTACATTTGCAAGCAAACAAGACCCCACCACCATTTCTGTTATGGTCCTTTCTGAAGACGTTGTAAAGGGACTGATCAAGAAGTTCACCATCAAAGATGGCATCACTGAGCCATGTTTCAGTAACACTTAAGATATCTATATTGTCAACAGACATCTTAGTTTGAAGTGCAAGTTGTTTATTACCAAGGCTTCATGCATTTAGTAGAGCACATCGTAGGTGTTTCTTGTTACTGACAGTGTCTGGTCCAGGATTTGGATGGATATCACCACATTGTGGTGTACAAATTTGAATTTGAAATGTACTAGTCGTGTTGCTGTTCCCAGGTAGTGCACTTTCACAAAAGATTGTGGATGAAAAGACTTTATTGTGCAGTCTTGAACTATAGTGGAGCTATCAAAATCTCTTCTATTCAGGATGAGGGCTATCAGCCCAAGAATAAAGAGCTGCTTAGTAAGTGCCTCCATTATGCTTCTTGCATACCATTCGATTGAAGAGCAGTGGTCAGTTCACAGATGGATGACTGCAAGACTGATGTGTATAACAATATATGGCTTCCACCTTGTTGAGCTTGGAACATTCCCACAAACAAGTGAACTCAAATTATTACTTACTGACAGAAGTAATCCAAATCAAATTTGTCCTCCAGAGTCAGTATAACTCAAATAACAGGTCTTAACAATTCATGAGGTAGTTAGTACATGTATAGTTCAATCACTGAAATCAAGCAAGTCATTATAGACAATTTGATGTCCCTTCCAGCTAGGAAGCTGTCCTTTGGAAATACATTCTTCTCGTAATACTAGCCCTGTATTTCTAAGGCTTTTTGGAAGGATCAAGGATACATTAAGGATAGTTAAACATGAATTAAACTTCCACGATTATCTACCGAGAACAAACACAAACAATTGCATACCGGTACCTTTGAGGCTCTGAGTGTTTGATAAAATTTCAATGATCATTTTTTAAACTTTTAATCAGAGTTTATAATGTCAATTGTAGTCAAACATTTTAAATCACATGGAGGTAAACAATCAACAATTGTATTTCATTTGTCAAGTGAATTGGAAGCGTCAAGGCCAAAGGGATAACATTGAATGGTAGTGATATCTTCAACATAATCACGTAGGTACTTCTTGATGTTTACTTTTAGTGTAAAGAAAAGTAACACTAAGATCCTGTCATTTTAAATTGCATATTTTGTTCTCACCTTTACCTGTATAGATGATATCACCCTGGACTCTGAGGGGCAAGACTGCTACAGGATAGTCAAGGAAGCAAAACGTTTCAAGTACGTGACTAAGATACTATTTGCAGGATGAAAAGATGATTGGTACTACAACATCAGAGAATAGCGTTGAAAAGAGCCATACTAAAGCTTTTGATTTGCACTCATCAGAGTGATACGCAAGAATGAAACAGAAAGCCAAAATCGAACAATAGTTTCCATTTGCAGGATAATAAACCAGTTTAAATCTAGGAATATCTATGAACCTCCATTGCTCAAAATATTTAATTCAGATCATCCTGCGTATATTTAGTTGTTGATATGAGGGGCAAGCCTCCGACAAGCTTTTCAGTGTCGAATACAACTTTTGTAGTAATAGATTTGCATAAGATTTGAAAGCATAGAAAATTAGGAGTAAAAGTCATGAGAGGTTTCTTTGATTACTACCAAATCCCTTGCCATTTTGTTACAGCGAAATTTGGGTTTCACAGATAATTGCTACTTTGCAACTGGTTTTCATACACAGAATTTGTTTAAACTTTGTACTGTATATGGATTCACAGTCCCCCTAATGATACTCTGTAGAATTCTATGAGAGAATGTCCATTTTGATCACCAATTTTTGTATGTTTATTGTTGTTGTCAGATATTTGAAATAGTGTAACAAAGATCTTTTCTCGTGCAGCAAAATATTTGTTAGTTTTCAAAGGTGTTATTTTAGGATATTTTGTTTCCTCTACACAGGGAGTGCAAGAGAACAGCAGGTGTATCAACGACAAACATCGTAGGCAGGTAAGAATAAGAAAAATGAGTTTTTGATGGAAAATCTTATTGAATGTAGATGAAATATATGGTCTCAACTCTCTAACACATGGAGGCGATAGAGGAGCATTTATAACCTGACTCGGTTGGTTGTAGTAAGATAAGAATAATGTTTGTAATAGTTTACATTTGGAGGAGGTGTAATTTAGCCCCTGGGCTGCATTTTGGCGTTCTTTAATTATAATTCATTGCTAATCAGCTGAATTAAATTCTGTGTAGGTCAGTTCAGATCAATTCAATTTGATTTACTTCCATTCTTTTCAAAGAACTTTGATCAAAATGAGAACTAGAGCAGATCACTGATATTGACCTGAAGGTCAAACAAAAGTTGGTAGCTCTATGATGTAACGTGTAAAGCAAGTTTCAATTCGGTTTTAAAATCTCATCAAATTTTTTCCCAGAATGCTGCTGATGACCAAGACGCATCACATGGGAGGTGATCTGGAAGAAGAATCAAACGGCAACGTCAGTCCCAGGTCCAAGACCCTTCAAGCATCAGTAAGTACATAGACCCCCCTCTCTCTCCACCCCTCCCCCTCACCCCTCTCCCAAAGAAGGTAGTGCAAATAGTTTGCTTGTGTTGTTTGATGCACACCGTTACCTTTTTTTTGCTTTTGTCTGCTTGAAAAGTCCACTTTGACCCGCATATAATTATAAGGTTTGTTTACAAATGGGGGTAGGTTAAAGGGAAAGTCCACCCCCAAAATAAGTTTGTTTCGATAGAGGCAGAATAATAAGAAAATCAGGTGAGTGAAAGTTTGAGCAAATTCTGAATGAAAATAAGAAAGTTATGAATTATTGAAGGTGTGATCAATCAAATACAAATTGGCAACTCTGTGACTTATTATACGAGCTCTCCTTCATTTGCTTTGTGCATAATATTCCATAAAATTATGTTTTCTTCGTTATTGATGACGGAATATATATTTGTTCCTTGCAGGGGGAGTATAGAAACATATTTGCAATTATTATATTTAGGGTGCATGTATGGTTGAAATTTTTCTTGAGGGAAAATGAAAATTTTAGATTTTTTTAGTACTGAGCAAATGGAAGTTGAGCTCGCATGATACGTCATAGAGTTGCCAATTTGTGTTTGATCGATCACAACTTCAAAAATCCTAACTTCCTTATTTTTAATCGGAATTTGCTCAAACTTTCACTGACTTGTTTCTCTCATTTTTCTACTCCTATTAAAACTAACTTAATTTCAGGGTGGACTTCCCCTTTAATAGTTGCAATGTTGTGTTCTCTATAAAAAATAAATTAAAAAGAGGAAGAACATTTTTGTTTGTTTTAAAGGCTCTATTTAGCATTTTATGTGGAAATCATACTTCTATTTGAAATATGAATCATGTGTCGATCTAATCCTTTCACATAGGAAATTTGAAAGTTTCAAGCACATTTTGTATTTAAAAGTGTGATTACGGACATTAATTCATATTTTCACGATGCTACACATCATGCCGATGCAGTGTCCCCGTCACAAGCACAGGATATAAATAGAAGGTGTAAATTTATGCAATGGTGCCAGTGCCTGTAATAGGTACATGTACAGTACATGCACGTACCTATGAAATAAAGTTATATTTTTAATTTCTTTTATTTTTTATTATTTGAGTTTGTTTTTATTATGCTATATTCCAGAATTCAGTGGAATCATTTGAGAAGAACCAGAACTTCAAGAATGGATTGGTAAATGGCACAAAACATGTGGAATCTTGGATTATAGCTTTTCTTGCCATACTAAAAACATGATATCTGTCTGTTTAGAGCAAGCAACACGAGTCTTGACTCATATATTTTAACACAGAGATAACACATGAATTCATTAATCAGCGCTTTACATTTTATTGCTACATATGAACATAGTGCAACTTTTTATATACCGATATGGATTTTTTTTTTTTGCAAGCCGAGAAAAGATGAAAATCAAACTCAACTTTATCATTTACCAATGTAACATAATAGACAAATTATATATATACCGGTATACATTTAATTTTTGTCATATGTTTCATCATCATGTATACACATGCATTATCATGTAAATCTCCAGTGCAATACTACATTTGGGGAATGCACATACAACAAAGAACTATAAAGCACTTGCCCTTTATACATTTTTGAGAAAACGTGTTATCCAAAAATTAAATCTACAGGGTATTAAGGCATTTCTTTATGTCTTGCACAAGTCTTTCTTATTGTGTTTGACATTTTATAGTTAACTACATTTACATACTTATACTTTCATTCACTATATCTCTATTCATTCCCATTCCATACCCCCCCCCCCCCTCCCCAAAAGAACCCCTCTATTGTTGGTGTCTGTTTTTCTGGGTCTACATGTCCGTCTTTCTGTACATCTGTTTTCTGGTTGCTGTAATCTGTTTTGTGGATTTCATAACCTACATGTTTTCTTACAAGATATTGTTTTTCACTTGCTTTCATTATCAGGACCTTGAAATATGCTGTTTTTAAAAAAAAAATATACACATTTGATTCATGGAACTTTGAAATATATTTGTTACACCCTTTACTAAGTAAGAATTCAGTCATTTTAATACTGTAAATGTGGGTGGTTAGTATACTAAATCTATCTACATGTATATCAAAGATTTGATTGCATTGCAAGATGGGGAGTCTCTTTTATCTTGTATATCGCCCTCTTATTAGTTTAATTAAGCTTGCGTAATATCTTGGGACTTGAGGTGTATAATCCATTTGTATCAACACTTAAAGGTGCTTAGAATTTTAATGCTTGCTCCTCTGTTTAATTGGCAATTTTTCTTAGTCTTAATCAGGAGAAAGGTTTGGGTAAGAGGTAATTCAGTTGATTGATACGTGAGGATTTAATAATAATAATAATAATAATAATAATAGCCTAATAGTCCACTCCAAATTTTATTAAACCGAAACGGAAATTCTTTTTGCCCATTTGATCGTGAGCCCGGCAGCCACTGAGCAGCGCCAGATCGACGTTGCTCTATCCCATTGACCATTTCTTACAATGTATTGGTCGACTATGAGGTGTATATCCCCCAGGTTACCATGTGCTAAACCTGATGTTTGTTGGTTTATGCATTTGAATTGAATATTGAATTTGAACACAAAGGACTTCTAATATAAAGATAATTTATCAAATTATGATATTTTTCCTCCTTTTACTATGATTGGATTTGTTGTTTCATATTATCGTGAATATTACTAGCTTTCAAACGTGTCAGAGACAGTTTTCAATTATTCTATGTGCAATACATTATTTCTTTATACTGGTACATTCTTTCATGTAAAGGCTACTGAACAGAAATATTTAGATATAAAAAGAACAAATACGATGTAATATTAATGTTTATAATTTCATACTGAGAAATCAGGGGTTAGAAATATATAAAAACAAAATATGAAAACCTCATTTTTGTAGTCTAAAAGAACCAAAAAAAATTACACATAATCCTACTCTCATTATTTGTATGTTTGTTTTCAATACTTTGTTATCCACAGACTCAAATTTATTGCTGCTGATATATCATTGTTTGTGTCGTATTATATTATCATATTGCCCACTCATACGGAAAATTGAAATTTCATGCAATTGAAATTTTTTGTTCAAGGTGAATTCTTTTATGATTGTTAATCATTATTGATAGCCCTTTTATTTGGCCATATGTCATTACCGGTACTAGAATGGTGTCAGATAGGAATGCCTAAATATAAATAGAGAAAAATGATTTGAGAATACAACATGAGGGTAGATTTGATAGCAATTGACATAGTAGTGTTGCATTGCTAATTTAACGGTCCTAGATGGTATTTTAACAATTATCTTTTTTTTTTAATGGGATTTACATGTAGTCGACCATCACAAATTTATATTATGACAAGTCATTGGTTAGCTCTATGCACGTATGGCTTCATACATGGATAGTTCACATAGGCATCTGCTTATTACCTGACTACCAGTTTAATACAATTCTGTTTCGACCTTTCACTACAAGAAAAGAAGAAATGGTTTTCAGTATTCTATTCTTGCTCATATCTTATTGGTTGTAGACCATTTTAAAGAAAATATATACAAGTACATAGATCATATTTTGTAAGAATTTCAGAACACAAGGCAAAAGATCATAATATTTGTTTACCTCTTGTAATTCATTTACCTACTGTATATTTATTTATTTAATGAATAAATTCTTTGTATATTTTATTGAAACAAATCATAAGAATCACATATTTACAAGATTTGATAAAGTGAAGAATTAAAAAAAAAAATTGTTTAAATGATTTTTTTAAAAATAAACAAAACGTTACAGATTCATGGTATATTGTTTTATAACAACATTTTTAAATCTGTATAGATCTTGTAGTCTACATGTACATAGCATTGGGAGTATAACCATTAACAATGCACTTTTTTAATTATTATGCTTTCACAAAACAATAGACTTACGTTACCAACATACATATGTTTCATATTAACAAATCAGTTTCATATTCTCTTTTTTCTTTGTTCTAGTGTTCAACAATGAGTAGTCCCTACACAGGAATCTCACAGTTCCTTCAGACCTCCAACAAGATCATCCAGTTTGCAGAAGGAAGAGAACCTTTGACTGGTGACCGCATCGTCTACTGTCCCGGTGCTTTTGACCTCTTCCGTATCCTTTGACCGACAATGTCAATGTAACATTTTCAAGTACAGTGAAACCTGTCTATAAAGACCACCCAAGGGAAACAAAAATGTGGTCTTTGTAGACAGGTGGTCTTTGTAGACAGGTGCCTGTCGTACATGTTTCAATGAGAAACTGCTTTTCAAGGGAAACAAAAATGTGGTCTTTGGAGACAGGTGGTCTTTGAAGACAGGTGGTCACTAAAGCAGGTTTGACTGTACTGGTAGAAAAGAAGGATTCACTGCTGTATTCTCAGTAGCAATATCCTTTCTGGGGAGTGTTTCACAAAGACTAAGATCAATTTAAGTTGGACCTAACTATGGCAGGCCATTCATGCCACTGTTTGCTCTCACTATTATGATCTTTAGATAATATTTTTTCCTTCAATAATGATGAATTATCAAAAAATGTAAATCCTGTAGATTTGTGACCATGATCTGTACGTCCCTTGAGAGACCAATTAATGCCAGTAAATGGTGAGAGATAACAGTTGCATGAACGGCCTGCCATAGTTAAGTCCAACTTAAAGTCGATCTTAGTCTTTGTGAAAGACCCTCCAGGCATGACTAGCAATTTTCTTAAAGTGGGTTTATCTTGTGCAATTTTCCTTCACTAAACTAAGGAATTGATGACATACAAGCTGTTCGTAACTTTCTTAATCTTGACTGTTTTTCACTCAACTCATAACTGTTTTCTTTATAAATGCACATATAAGATGTGATAGAAAGCTTCACAATTTAAAAGGCCAATCGACTGAAGAAGTGACCAAGGATTACAGGATCTACTTCTCCTCATATCATGATGATGATGATAGTGTATATATGATGCAATTATGTAGGAATTGTACAGTTTGGCCATTTCTTTCCTTGACCATTGATGTGTTTTCAGACGTTGGTCACATAGATTTCTTGGAGCAAGCAAGCAAACTGGGGAACTACATCATTGTCGGGCTGCATGGAGACCAGGTAAACATACCATTATTAATTGAAATAATCCTAGCATACCGAAAGATAGAAAACTTGTTATGCCTCTGCCTACCAAATGTGGTGCCAGAGGCATTATGTTGATGATAAAATGCAGTGTTATTTCTTTCAAATTGATAATGAAAACAGCAGAAAACATAGTGTCTTGTACAAAGGAGCACAATTGCAAGTTGTTAGGGTGAGAGCTGGGTAAAATAGTGACAGGGAAAACATTGTTTGATTGATTTAATGACAGCATAATGCACTGCAATGACATTGACTTCTGTTCATAATATTTTTATTTTATACTAATGATAAAAGAGGCATGGTCCCTGATATTTTTGTATTGCCTCTGAAAATCCTTTCTCTTTAAACTATCTTTAATTTTGTATTTCTATTGTTATCTTCTTCTGTGTTATAACCCTTTTAGGAGGTCAACCGTTACCATGGTAGCAACTATCCCATCATGAACTTACACGAAAGGACTCTCAGTGTACTGGCCTGCAGGGTAAGAGAACACTCTATTGACCCTTTTTTTATCAAACAATTTAATTTTTGTATTTATGTAGGAACAAAAAATTGATTAAAATTTCAGTGTTTTGGAACTAAAAACAGTAAAAGATGACTTAAAAGTTCAAGTGATTTGATTGTAATTGAGTGATCATTTTGTGTTTATCATTAGCATTTCTGATTTTGTTTCTTGTTCTTTAATAGCACATGTACCACCTATATTCCCTTTTCCTGGTTATTGATGAGAAAATTAATATGATCGGCTTTAATAGTAGTGTTCCTTTGTTGTTTTTGAATGTCCATAATAATAAATAGTGTGGATTTTAAAAGAGAAATAATTATTAGAGATGTCACAATCTGTGAAAATGTAATTACATATCATTGAGAACAAATGTCAGTTTTGTCAATGTAAACTTTACGTAAACCACAAGGTAAAAAATCAGAACTGCGCTGCAGACATCTTGCAACAAGCACATCTTTTCCATCAAATAAAAGTTTTCTCCTGACAAAGCTAATTGGTGCTCTTACATGATGCTGATTCATCAATCGTTGGAAAAGTATATTTGAATTGCAGTCTGTTGCAGCTCGTTTGCAAAGGAACTTTGGACGTATAGGGTGGTATTGTGTCCATATGTATATGTTTTTAAATAATTCAATCTGTCACTTTATCAAAATAAAATGTAATAACATAATTAATAAACAATGATATAATTATGTTATCATCGTAATTGAGGGACATTTCAAATTATTCAAAATTATATTCATATGGGCACTTGGCATTCCATACTTGTCGGTGGATTAAACCATGGACTAAAGTAAGTCCACTTTCGAGAATACCACCGAAAGAAATCCTAAGATATGTTTTTTTTTACGAGCTCAAGCATGATCTATTTCCATCCACAGTACGTTGATGAGGTTGTGATCGGCGCCCCTTACAAAGTGACGGCTGAGCTCCTAGACCATTTCAACGTGGATGTCGTCGTTCAGGGCAAGACTAAGATCTTCCAAGGGGCAGATGGCGCAGACCCATATGAGGTTTGTAGTGATTATACAATCTACCATCATCAAGAACACATATTACAGTAAAACCTGCTTTAGTGACCACCTGTCTACAAAGACCACATTTTGTGTTTCCCTTGAAAATGGTTTCTCATTGAAACATGTACTAAAGGAACCTGTATTAGAAGACCACCTGCCTATAAAGACCACTTTTCTTGTCTCCCTTTGGTGGTCTTTATAAACGTGTTTCACTGTACAATAGTATGATTACCAATCCAGGGCCTGATAAAATTAGCATAAACTTAATATAATCAGTCATAAATATGTACCATATTTCCAATTTTGCTGCAATGAATTATATCTTTAAACCGTGCATGGTATCTAGCTGTTATATATAAAATTAAGATTGTATTGTATGGTTACAATTGATTGGAGATGATTAATTTGATAGAAATATTCATAATGGTCAAAATATTCAAAGTATTCAAAATTGCTTTTGATGATAATAATAATAAAAACGATTAACTTACTCTGTTCACATTGATGTATATTGTAATTTGTAGGTTTATTTGCATTTTCTTTTTGTTTTGTTTAATATGTAATCATTTATCATTGTATTTTGTTTGTTATAGTGCTTAGAGACTTTAATAGGTGGTAAGCGCTTTATAATCACTGTTTTTATTATTATCATTTTTTTTAAACTACTTGTATTTGATGTTTTCTTGTCTACTAGGAACCCAAGAAGAGGGGTATCCTGCAGCTAGTGGATTCTGGGAATAACATGTCCGCCTCTAAGATTGTTGAGAGGATCATTACAAACAGGTATGGATAGAATCCTTGTGGCCTGATTACAGTATTGCAAACCACAATCAGGTGGGTGTTTCACAAAGACTAAGATCGACTATAAGTTGGAATTGGAAGTTGGTTTGCTCTCACATTTACTGGCATCGGTCTCTCAAGGGACGTACAAACTATGGTCACAAATCTACAGAATTTACATTTTTTGATAATTCATTAATGAAGGAAAAAATATGATCTAAAGATCATAACGGTGAGAGCAACCATTGGCATGAATGGCCTGCCATAGTCTTAGTCTTTGTGAAACACCCCCAGCTCTATGATATCGTGGTGAATAGTCTACAGTTCATAGAGAACTGGTTGGTCTTGCTGCCTCTTGTTTGTAAACATGGCAGAGAATTGACTCACACAAAATATTGAATAGGAATAAACTTTTGAAAATTAAAAAAATCTGTAAAAAATTGTAAACATGTACAACAATTTGAATCCATTTAATAAACAAAACCTTACTTGATCAGAACAACATTGTCTTTGTGTTTTACGTGAATTGTGGTACTTTCTATTTGCAGGTTTACCTGATATGATAGGGTCTGTTATACATAACCCAGCTAGCTCTGTTTACGGAAGAACTAGCCACTCTTGATTCAGAAAATATTGTATGGTTCTGAAATTCGAAAATTGGATTATCATTGCTTAAACCTTCCTTTGGCCTGTATTATACCAATTCAGTTGAAACTGACATTAGGACTAAAGTCATGTGAAGCAAAGGAAGAATGTCGACCAGACTAGACCTTGGACTAACTTTCTATGTTAAACTCAACTTTAGTCTGACCTATAAAACCCAGCATTGGGTTTAAGTTTGAGCAGAAATTGAGCCTACATACACACTTTTCAGCTTTATAATTGCTTCCATGTTTCAATTCTTGAAGAATCTCTCTCTTTGAATTTGACCAACGAACAGGATCAGGTTCCAGAAGAGGAACAAGGACAAGGAAGAGAAGGAGCTCAGGAACATCCATCTCATCGAGGAGAAGAGACGGGCATCCGCAAGGAGCTCCATCGAAGAGCCAAGCTCTCCCGTGTCCGGCCAGCTCTAAGCTCAGAAACATCCATCTCATCGAGGAGAAGAGACAGGCGTCGGCAAGGAGCTAAGCTCTAAGGCCTGGGGGGTGTTTCACAAAACTTGTCATCAGTGACAAATGACAATTCTTGTTATAAGCTACTGAAATCCTTGCTTCTGATTGGTTACCAGCAGATTTGTCACTGAAAAAAGGCTTTGTGAAACGGGTCCCAGATGATGAAGATACGAGAAAGGCGATGCAGAAGAAGAAGGAAGGTTTCCTGAACATAGTTGTGCACCTAAGTAATGAAGTAGGCCTGGCTGGACGTGCATAGAAAACAACAGCGAAAACTTCTTTCTACAGTCAAAAAGCAATGTACAGATAGCCAAATTGGCAATCAAATCTTTATTTGTACTAATAAGAATGAACATCTGGGGCCTGTTTCATAAAACTTGTTATCTTTCATAGATGCTAAATTTCTATGACAGATTTGCTCTCAGCCAATCAGATCCCATGATTTCAGTAGCTTATAACAGTAGCTTGTAACTTGTTATTGATATCAAGTTTGCTCTCAGCCAATCAGATGCCATGATTTCAGTAGCTTATAACAGTAGCTTGTAACTTGTTATTGATATCAAGTTTGCTCTCAGCCAATCAGATGCCATGATTTCAGTAGCTTGTAACAGTAGCTTGTAACTTGTTATTGGTATCAAGTTTCATGAAACAGGGTCCTGTGTGGCATTTTGCGGGGCGCCCTCTCCCGTCATCCTCATGAGGATGAGAAAGATCCATGAATGTTTTTATAAAGGTCTAACAGTATTTAAAGAACTGTATTAAGAGTGACCATCCTGGAGGTGTGATAGCACTCTCTGACATTTTCCTCATACGTACACATCTTCTGGATAGCTTAAAGTCCTCTCCAGGTACTCGGTAAATCATGATTAAGGGCACCAGCGCATCAAATTAGTTTTGAATCCTGAACCTCCTGGTTATTAGACCACTGCTCTATACCACAGAGCCACCGCGCCTCACTTTTATGGATTCATTCAATTATCTCATTCAGGGAGTGTGCAGTATCTTGTAAATAGTAGTATTGGTGAGCGCATCCCCCTTTAAGCTGATAGTGTATACTGTATAGAGACCAAATTTTAAGCTTTTACATGCATCATGAAAGCTGTATTTGATATGTAATAATATTTGTTTGTTTTTTGGTACTATATTGGTACTAAGTTATTAACTCTCTGTGTGGATGTATTATTGTAATATATATATATATATATGTATATACATAAGACAGGGTGCCTCTGTGTCACATATGATGTATTCAAGAAAAAAAAAGTATTGTTGAGCTGCTCAAAAGTACTTTTTTATCGGCAGAATTTGGATAAATGCATATTTAATTGTGTAGAATAAAGGTGAATTCGGTAGATTGTCTATTATGTGTTCATCGGGACTGAAAACACCAGAATACATTCTCGTAACTCATGCAGGTAATGATGGATACCCACTTGCGCATTGAAATTGTGCAATTAATACAATAGTAATATGCTTCATGAAATACCAAAGTCAAAATATACAGACATAACCTCATGTACTGAATTTTATCTCCTTAAAGGTAAAACAGTGAATTATGGGAGGAAACAATATCAAAATCAGGTTTTGACTAACACAATTTTTCTTCATTATAGGAAGGCATTGAATGATTGATTGATTGATTGATTTTAACAAAAGCAGTTTTATTCCACAGTTGTGATAACTATGCAGCCATTTTGCTTGCTGACACAATACTTTCAACTATATTGTAGAAAAGAAAAGAAATTTTGTAGAATTGAGCTACAGAAGAGGAGTATTTAATTTGCAATATGAAGGTTATTCCTGGAAAGTTTTCAAGTGTATATATTTATGATGTACATGTACTTCATGTAAATAGTTGAATATATATTAAAAAATTAGAAGCAATATTTGCACTCCATCTCACAATGTGAGGTGTATTAGAAAGTCTGTTCTGAGCCAGAAGGGCATTAATTCTTTAGTTAAGTATATGAGTTAAAGATAAAGGTGAGTTCTGGTAATGCGATTGCATTGTGAAAGAAAAGGTGTGGAATCGATCAAAAAAGTTGATCATGTAGCATGTAAGTATCGGTGTGTACTGCAAGGTTCTGTCATCAAAATCATAATAAATTTAGCCCAGTCTTGGTAAAGTAACACTATACTATACCTTGATTTCCTTATCTTTCTATGCTCACTTCTCAGCCAGTATACATTTTCTTCCAAAATTGTTTGGCGCATGACATTTGTTAAAATCTTGAACATTAAGTGTAAGTTTCGTTTGATTCTGTGAGAATTCATTTCCTTTTTTTACCAGAACTCAAGTTTACCTTTATAAGCTCTTTTGGCTCCAAACAGCCCAAAACATGAAGAAGAAGAAGAAGAAAAGACAACACATTGGCAGCATTTCACGACACCGTCCTGAGCTCTAGTTAACGGACAACCCATTGAAACGAGAAATAATAAAACATTACACACATTTCAATGGGTTCTTGACAAACCTGTCCTTGCAACGGTTCTGTGAAACATAGCCCTGTCGTGTTGCCCTGCTATGGTTGTGTCAGGAAGCTGTAATGAATGGAGATCCCGTCCAAGAGGCCCCTTTGAAGTCATCCGTGGCACCGCGCGTCTTTTGTTTCCCCTACCGTAATCCCCTTAATCCCCTCCAAAACCTTACAGCTCCCTAGTAGCACTAAGTCCTCCCTTTCCACACGCAGCCAAGCCCAGCGAGCACGGCGGCTTTTGCTTTGCCGGCCCGTACTTTGGGTGAATAGTGGTGCTAACTTGACAACTTCTAGTCCTAAATCAATAAATGCGCAAACATATAACACAATTTCATTTAGTTCTTTAGGAAGATAAACCTTTGGACTACCTTCCTAGCTATGTACAAATTTCGGAAATTTTCGGAAAATGTCAATAATTAGATGAGAAAATCATGATTATGAAAATCTTTCATTCGCTCTAACTCATGATTTCCTTAGTCGATTTCGCTGGTTAAAATGGCCATGTCTTCAGTAGAGCTATCCGAGAACGAAAAACGCATTTGATGACTAATAGAAAGTTGCGTTGGTCATAATGTTGTGAATTCTGCATTTTATATGTTATAGCTAAATACATCTTCCATGAACATGACTTAATTTGTCGGTGCCACGCATGGCTTCAAAGCCCGATGCTTGCATATTTTTGCAAACGAGTGAATAGAGAACTTAGGGAAGCAGATGGCGTTGCGTAACATTTCGTACTATTTGGAATGCCAGAGAGGGACTGTGCATTGATATGGACAGCTGTTGATGGAAATGATGGCTGGAGAGGGTTACATTTCTTTTTGTTAAGCCAGGTTAATCTTGAATAATTTTCCCTCGGAAAATTCTTTCGAGACGGTATCTCCATTCATTACAGCTTCCTGGTTGTGTGTAGTAAACATGTTTATTACAGCAACTTTATTATGCATTGTACCAGTGTATTTAGAATATAGAAGCCAAAAAGAGTTGTCAAAATGTGATTTTTCCAGTGCCAACATTTTTATTTTGTGTTCACAGTGCTTGGCATGATGAAATAGAAAACCGTTGTACAGATATATGTGTGAATGATTGCCTAGTTTTCTAACAATCTTATGTAACAGTGGCATGGAATTTTAATAGAATGTACTGGGGAAAGAACGAGTCACAAACATTTGCTTCTCTTGTCTACAAATATCTAATTGCTAGATTGATTTATCATAGGATGTATTTAAATAAATTGGTTATTGAATAGAGGGCAATTCAAGTGATAGTTTAATCTTGGGTGGTATTGATTACATGCACGAGGGGCGCAGCCAGGAAGGAAATTGGTCATGTTCACGTCACTGAGGGCACTATATTTGGTTTAAATTTGTAATCTTTTGGCTTTATAATGCCTAGATATTCTAATGATCTCATGCATTGTATGGTTAAAGTAAACTTAGAAATTACTTGATGCCATTCGTTAACAATAAACAATTGATTAATTTGTTTACAGGTGTATTATACTATATTAAAAACAATATTCAGTTATATAATATGTGACAGTTTATTGTAATAGCTGTATCAGCTGTTATTTTATCTTTCAGTATGGAAGGTTAAGAACAATATCAACAATTATACATAGCCTAGAATTGATTTGGAATTATGATTTGGAATTAAGGATTAGCTAATTCATAACCAATACAATTGGAAGAAAACAAAAAATGTTGTGTCTCTACTTTTTTGTTTACTATTTGATTGCTGAGAAAACTGAAAGAGATGTGATGTGTGTGTGTGTGTGTGTGTGTGTGTGCCTGCGCATGTGTTTTATACTACTTGGGGATCCTCAAATCAGTTTGAATAGGCCATTTTTGTAATGAAATGAAATTTAATGCACAAATCTTTTTTAAGTGCCTTGTTACAAAATTATATCATTTACCTGTTACTAATTATTGTATTTCAATAGTCCGAATGCATATTGCTTACATTTTTTCCTGTGTTTTTAGGTAAGACAAAAACAATGTTTGTCCTACCTAGCAACAGTTAACTTACTAGTATTCAATTCTGGCTATTGAAATACAATTATTCAATTACATTCAGTTTGATTACAGTAAGAAAAATGGTCTATTGGGAGGATGGGATCATACAAACATCGCTGACAAGTTCGCCAAAAGTCTTTTCATTGAGCCCATCCCACATAATTAAAGAATTCAAATTTTCCACCAATCAAAAAGATCCATGCATTTGATATGGTTAAAAGGCACAAATTGCTGACCAGATTTACTGAAAGAAATTTGAACGAGGGGTGTCACACCTATAATGATAACCTAGGCTATGGTCTTTGGATGAAATAATTGTAAAGGGAGGGAGACGGACAGACAGACAGAAACGCTAAGGTTTTCATAGAAAATTAAAAAGAACTTTATATTCTGCATAACAGACACATGTTTATCTAGACAAAGAAAAGCATAGAGCTCATAAAAAAGATGAATTATCAAATTGATATGAAGGTTTGAGAATAAGATATACCCATTGTACATGAACATGTATGTATCAAAATCTATTTCATATCAAATGAAGCATACGGCTGTAGGCCATGAATATCATTTTGCTATATTTATACAGTCACAAAATGATTATAAAAAAATATAAAAATGTGAATTATCTTGTTTAAACACTATCAATATACATCTATAGCTATGACAGGTAGCTATATAATAAACTACATATAAATTTGTAGGCCGAGTACTTAGGCCGACAGATATAAAAACAGCTGTACATTTGGATAAAGAAAACAATCACTTCATACATGACAATCAGACTAGAATAGTATGAAATTACTTATAATATAGCTATACAGCTTTTCGTATAATAAAAATAAAATGAATTTACCAAGAAATTCCAATTCTCCTGATTGTACACATATACATGTGAGTTCAACTACTGTTGCTACTAACCCGAGTAAAAAATAGATATCTTTTCTAAAAATAAACCCTCTATTAAAAGAGAAAAATAAGTACTGTTAACTTTGATAAAATCACGAACATCTTCTCCTCTGCAGCACTTCTGTACAAACAAAATACAACCGATCAATAAAATGAACAACAGTACTTGAAATTTTCAAATTGAAACAAAAATAGTCTGTAGATTAGCTACCATATTTCAAATATATAATATAAGATATAACATTTATCATTGTATAGACTCATTCCTGGAACTGACCACTACATTTCAGTTTTAATGCATATACCTTCAACTTTCAAATATATTTCAGTTTAAATATTTAATTTTTCTCCCCAAATTACCACGTCTGCCATTACTGGTAGATGTAATTAATAATGGCCACTTTATATAGCACTTACATGTATATCTGCCATGCAGAGCGCTCATGGCACTTAGACATTATTACCCTGGTTACAATTATTATATTATAATTATGGAAGCTGCTAAAGTAATTAGCACTCAAGCATATCAGGTACCCATTTATACCTAGATGGAGAGTAATGAATGTAGGTTAACGTCTTGCTAAAGGACGTTAGTGCTGGGCTGGGATTTGAACCCCGTACCTTGTGATCTATATTCCGGTCAATTATCCACTAGACCACAACACCTATAATTATTTTTTAAAACAAAAACAGAATGATAAATATATTTTTCTTTGATACATAATATGAAATATAGAAGCTGTGTGCAATTGATTTATATTCTCATTATAAGAGAGCACAAGATTTTCACAGACTACACAAGAATAATAGGGAAATGTTAGGGAGAATCAAGTGTGATCTGAAAATTCATTTTCAACTCAATTCAATCTCAGCTTCAACTGCAAATCGATTCGCATGTCCATTTGCTTTCTCATTTCGATCCTTTCCTATTATTGGAGAGGGTGTTAAACTTCCGATAGGCTCTTCATATGCAGAGTAATCCCGGGTCTCGACAGTTCTTAGAGAGGTCATCTCGATTTGTTCCCCACTCTGTTCTGCAGCGGTATTCACACGGCCTTTTCCTTTGCCCATCCTGCGCTGCTCGGTGTCCGACAACGGTATCACCGTCGGGTCAAAGTTCTGCCGCGTGAGGGTGCTGTTCCTCTGCGTGTTGTCCAGGAACTGCTTGGGGGCGTCCACCGGGACGATGTCCGGGTTAGGGTGCCAGTGCGACGCGGAGAAGTACGGCTTGAAGGACCTTGACGTACTGCTCTTCTTTCCTTTCCCAAACACTGCCATCGTGGCAAGTTTCACTTCCTCGTCCAGAATGCAGAGGACGACAGGGAAGGCTAGACCTTGCAAGATGGCGAACACACCAAACAAATTTTGGAGTATCGGTACCAAGTTGTACACGACAAAAAACAGGAGGAACCACGTCGCATAGCACATGATGAATATGAACATCATCCGAATCATGCAACCGCTTGTAAGCCACGCCCAGGGTTTCCTGGCGCCCTCTTGGCTGACCGTCGTGTCAGGTTTCCTTATGTTTCGTTCCGTTTGGATGATGATAACAAATACTCCTATCAAGCACGCCACCATGGGTAGGACGAGAGCAAAGATGAGGGGATAGGGGTTGCTTCTATTCAGGAAGCATCTAGAAACACATAGAATTAATTGATTGATTAATTGATTGATTAATTGATTGATTGATTGATTGATTGAAGGATTTTATCAAACATTATCCATCCTCGCAGTCCAAAGACTGAATTCTCGCTACCCTAAATAGGTACGAAAATCTCGAAATTCGCGAGACGAGGTAATTTTCACTCTCTCGGGTCGTCACTACAACTTCCGGTATAGAGTCCCATCCCGCTGGCGCTAGCGCCTGTGTTCGCTGTGCAGAGTTTTCACGCACGCTAAAATCGATGCCAATTAGTGTAATTGGTACAGATTATAATATGCAATGGAAAGCTTCGGGCAGAATTAGTGACTTTAGCACAAAAGGCCGTTAAACTCTACCGTGAAAGAGAGGGTTGTGATCACGAACGCCTGCACAGGAAGCTGTAATGTCGAAAAGCTATCCCATAATGCAATGCGGATTTCAGGATTTTCCCCGGATCTCGGCAGAATCGCTATTTGGGGTAGCGAGAATTGCAATGGGTACAACAAGTTTACAATGTATATACATGATAAAAGCAATTATACAATAATTATTAAATTATGAATAATTACAAAATAATAATATTATGGTGTAATTCGCGAAGGGTAACCCAATCGGTATTAACATTTTTTCTCTCTGCAAAGGGCCCTGCAATTACTGTTACCGAAGTACTGCAAGATATCCATGAATGATTCAAGTGGGTAAAACACCTTGTCCAAGAATGTAAGCATCATGTAAGGTTTAACAAAAGGTCATACTACAGTGCTCCCATACTAATGGTCTTGTTTTTAGTAAAATGGTTAAAAGACTTGATTAAGTAGTGTATGGATTTATCAGGGTTTTGTAATTTCTTTTGGTTTTATATGAACATCTTAAATAGGGTTTTATGTATTTCAATATCTTTTTTTTAAAACATCTAATATAAAGCCATATTCTATTTATCTCACCTTGCTGGACAGAAATTGAAATAAAGTGTAATTTGGCCAGGAGGGATTAGACCTCCCTGCATGGTCACTGACAGGTGGTTATCTCATCAAATCAGCTCTCAACTAACATAAGAAAAAGGGGACCATGGGGGATCAATGGGCACCGATTAGGCATTGTTTGCTATATAGAGGGCGCAACAAGCTAAACGTAGTGCAGTGGGGCTTTTAAGTAACTAGATTTCTAATAAATTCTGTTCAAAAGAAGTATTACGTTTTTTTGAAAATTATTAGACTAATTGCGATTACCGGAAGGTCATGAGCATGAAGTCCTAATTCAAATAAAACTTCTAGGAAGCTACAAGGTGTACAATAGAGTGGTGAAGTGTGACGTCACAAAAAAATCTAATTTTAGAATTTCGAATTTTTTCCTTCATTTTCCGAAAGAGCATCAAAAATAATGTCCAAATGTAAAAAAAACCAATTGAATATGTTACGTATTGGCTGAGATATGACCACTTGAATAAATATATGCCCTATGGGAACTCAGTGTTATATGCTCTGGTTCCTAATGGCTAGGAGCCACAGCATATAACACTGAGTTCCTATTGGAAATATATTTATTCAGATGGTCATATCTCAGCCAATACTTAACATATTCAATTGTTTTTCAACATTTGGACATTATTTCTGATGCTCTTTCGGAAAATGAAGAAAAAATTGAGAAATTCTAAAATTAGATTTTTTGTGACGTCACAGCTTCGGTACTCTATACCAAATTGTGTAGACTTACTGAGGAGCCGAATTCTTGTAGACTATCTGTGTCGAAGCTACCGTCACACACACAATAACTGTTGGTGCTCCTGGCATGGTCAAAGAGAAAGAACATCAGTTGTATTGGAGAGGACGTAAATGATTGTAAATATTTCATATAGAGATAAGAGTACACTATAAAAACTTGTCCGGTATTATTCTCATCCTTATGTGAAGCATTCATTCATTCTTCATGTGTATAAGGAAAGGTATGTAGTGTATATGCTGATTGCAGGATGCTACAAAGATATATGCATTTATATCCTGCATCAAAAATTTGTTGGCTTTTGATTGGTTGAGAGCTCGTCACGTGACCAAAAATATTTGACCTATTTTTAGAAACTACTATATGAGAGTACTATTTTGGTTTACTATTTGGGAGTTGAAAAAAAAATGTGAATTTTTTTTTTGAATTTAATCAATTTTTTTTTCAAATCTTAATTTAATGAAAACAAAATATTTTAAATCTTTTTAGATAAAAATTGAATTTTTTTTGTTCTAAATATTTTTTTTCCCAAAAATGTTTTTTTTTTTTTCTTCTTTTTTTGATAATTTTTTTATGCAGGATATAAAACAAATATACCATGCCTTCTATTCGAGGTACTGGTTAAACTATAGGCCTCGGTGACTCCAAAAGTACCATTTGCTTTGGGGCTGAGTCACCTCTTGTGCATAGTTTTAACCAGAACCTCTCAAGGCAGTGTATATTTGTATATTACCTGGTAACCAGGGCAACTACATTACTGTTGCAGACAGGCAAAGTGTTTCAGCAACAACATAATGCCTCCGGCTACTTTGCAGCAGAGGCATAAAAACAGACCCAGATTCCCATTTGGGCAAAATACATTAAAGGGAGTGTAGCTTGGCAAATACTGGTTAACACCATTTACGTCTTCTTTTGGACAACGTCTGCACGTAAACGAATGGACTTGATTAACGGTAGTCAGCGACTAAATCTCTACTACATGGTCAGCGTTCGCGAAACAGACCAAAGTTCTCCTCACGCTTCGGTTTCGTGAAGTCTGTAGTCCGTAGTCGTATTATACCTGATTGGCCCCCCGAGTCAGGCCACGGGAAAGACACGTAGTCTCGTCAGGCTACACTCCCTTTAAGATATTCTTGTAACATCCTTTCAACAATTCTTCTTAATTACCCCATGCCGCCGCTAACGTGTACAACGCAAACCGCTTGGAGGCCACTGCCTTCCGCCGGGACGTGTCGTAGAATTTAGCTGTAATGGCTACCGTAGAGCAGGTGCAGATCAATATGAAGCAGTGAAGGATCCCCGCTACGACTGTGCATCCCGTTGTCGAAGAGGGCGCACTTTGCCCAGCAGCGAAGGCCAGGTAGAAGATGGCCACTGGAAGACACAAGGCAGCCTCCATCCTGTAGAGCTGCCTTTTACGAAGTTTTCTTCGGAAAAGAAGTGAAATAATAATAATAATAATAATAATCTTTTTAAAGTCCACTCCAAATTTTATTTAAACCGAAAATGGAAATTCTTTTTGCCCGATTGATTGTGAGCCCGGCAGCCACTGAGCAGCGCCAGATCGACGTTGCTCTATCCCTTATTGTTGAACGCCAAACAAGGTAGCAGCAACTCCCATTTGTTAACGTCTTTTGGTACGACGCGGCCGGGGTTCGAACCCACGACCTCCCGGTTGTGATGCGGACGCTCTACTGACTGAGCCAACACACAGGTAGTGATTAATTAAAATAGGATTGAAAAAAATACATGGGAGCCAATTAGCTGTGAGCTCCAAAAGAGCTCTGTTTAACAAAAATTAAGAAAGTCAACAAAATAGAAGACATTACAATTGCTCTGAGAAAATCACACTTGTCTATCAACAGATCCCAAAAGATCTCCTGTAAACAAAAAAGTACATTTTAAACTGATAAAAAGGAACAATAATATTCCATTTCCCATTCTTATGTTTGAAAACCAATCACAGCAAAAAAAAGTCTTAAATTCACAACTTTATTGTAGGGTTCATCAGGAGTTGTATCTTCTTCGTATTTAATCATTTCATAGTTTTTGCCTCCTACATCTCCTTACGACTGTCATCCCTGCCATATATGGGTATATCTCTCGCTCATTCTCTCTCTGTCTCTCTCCCTCTCTCTCTCTCTTTCTCTCTTGCTCATTCTCTCTCTCTCCTTCTATCTTTTTCTCTTTACCTTTACTGAAACTGCTCTTCTCTTTCGCTTCTAGCCACCTTCTTTTTCCTTCTTCTATTTTTCTCTCTCTCTCTCTCTCTCTCTCTCTCTCTCTCTCTCTCTCTCTCCTTAATTCCTCTTTAATTTTGTCTGTACTTTTCCTCTGCCTCTAGCAGACAGAAGAAACTCCTGGGTTTTTACTCCTTAAACTCACTTGATACAGATGAGCACTAAGAAGCTCAGCAGAGCACCAAGAAACGCCACGATTATTCCAACAAAGACCAGAGCATTAAGTCGAGGATAAACGAGGGGTTCAGCTATTACACCCTATACAGGAGTATAACATTTATCCATCATTGATAAAAAATAAATATTACAACTACATGTACTACTGTAAATGTTTACTGTGCAATTTTCAAACAGATTATAAACAGATTTGCATGAATCCATAAACATAATATTGATCCACAGGAATTTGTATTCAAATAATTTCAAAAACATAAAAAAGGAGAATGTTCCTATAGATAAAGAGGTCTGAATTTTACTTTGCCTTATTTAAACAAGAAAACTTTCGTGTATGCAGCTTTTTGCTTTCTTTCTAAAAATGCTATCCAATACTAAATGGACATGTTACTTCAAGAAACACATTAAACTGAAATTTAGTATTGGTTTTTTTAAATCTTTTTTTATCTGAATGCTAAAAAATGTGTGTGTGTTGCTTGTAAGTGAGTAATTAAGGGGACCAATGTTTTTAAAGTCTTCTCCAAAGGACTTGGTAATGAGGACTTATAACTTACCAAAGGGCACTAACGCAATGACCTGGTGTTGAACCCATGACCTCCTGGTTACGAGACCACTGCTCTACCACTGAGCCATCACGCCTCCCCATTGCCATTGGATTTTTTCTTCATAAAACCTTGAATACTTCTTTTCTTCCATGCATGCAATTCTGCAGTATTTTAAAACTAAAACTGCAAAGAACTGGGCATGGTGGCTTATAACAATGGGACCTTCTGCCTTCTAGATAGGCGCTCAGCATATTAGATTGGAGAAGGGTAGCAATAACATATTATATTATGCAGGGCCCGCTGGAAGAGCAGTTTCATAACTGAATTTGCTACCCTGGGTAAATAAAACGTTATTATTATTATTTATTATTATTTAAAACGTTAATGATTTTTACCTTGATCAGTGCAAACGTGCCTCTGGTTTCACACTGACACACTACAAGGTCCCCATCGAGAATCTCAGCCAGCTGGCAGCCATCTTGGATCCAGTCGCCATGGCCACCATTCATCGTAGCATTCCAGGTGCCACACACAGGAAGTTCCACAGTCTGAATGATCTGGGATGAATCAATAGATAAGAATATTTTTTGTTATTACAGTAACATTGACTTCATTCAGAGAATGCATTTCTGACCATTCAAACCTTAACCCCAAACAAATTACTTTGTAATTTCTATTTTATATATATATTACTTAATAGCTTTGAGTGCTCAAGTAGATAAAGTGTCAGCACAATTGATTTGATATACAAATTTGTTGGCTGTATTCTCAACACTTAAATCAATTTGAAAGAATGCATATTTGCATACTTATTTCATTACTTCCATGTACAGTATGTACATATATATTGTTTTCATGTATCTTTCACATTTAACATGTACATTGTGCAATTCTTTTATGTTTATACTATCTTCCTTTATCGAAGATTGACAATAAAGTGATACAAAATCATTAAGCATTAATTGTTAAACAAAATATACATGTACCATGTGAATTAAATTCTTCTAATGAATACAAAATACAAACATAATGGAATGGAACGGGCAGGATGGAGAAGGGGATAGTTTCATGAAGATTACGATTCATCCAGTTACATTGACAGTACCTGATAGCAATGTTTTCATATACATGTATCAATTACTAGAGGTGCCTAAGAATTACGACCGTTGATCCATGATGTTTCATCAGTTCCTACAGGCTTGATTTATATCACTTCTTACAGCCTCAAATTTATTACATCAAGTCATCAAAAGCAATGAAATAAATTTACTTTCAATTGTGTGTCAAGCAATGGGCTGTTTGAACCAGAAAAAAATATAAAAAAGCTAATGAAATGCTGTGTCAGGAGAAATAGCGAGATTTTTTGTTATTGTTGCTTATTACTCAGTTACATGTATTGTCTACCAAAATCAATTGGTAGATTAAACTGAAGTTATTTTTTTAATTCTGTGAGCACTTTATTATTTCCACTATGACCGCCCTTTAAATCAATATTGGCATATACAGTACTAGAAACTATTTCGATTTTTGAACAAACTGAAATCAAAATTATTTGCAGGTTGAATCCTTGATAAAGTGGATGAAAAACAATTTCTAACCAGACACAAACCCGTATTACATAACCCCCTTTAAAAAATGAACCCCTGCATAACAAGCCTTTTTGTCAGGTCAATGTCTTTTCTGGATTCACCATTTAAAGATAAAGACTAGTTATGGTCAAGCGATTGCATTGTGAAAGAAACGTTGTGGAATCGATCAGAAAAGGTTCATCATCTAGCATACATGTATATGTACTGGTGTGTACAGTACTGCAAGGTTCTGGAATCATCAAAATGATCAGAAATTTGGCCCAGTCTTGGTAAAGTTACAAGCACTGTACACAGAAAGATGTATATGGGACTACGCGACATGTGCGTAATATCTATCAGGTTCAAATAGATATAATAATTTACCAAATATATCAATTAGTAGGCGGTTTCTTGGCAAAATTTGTATGATCACGTATTAGTCAAAACATAATCTTTCACATGATTGGTAATAAGAGCTTCCTTTTCATTTTTTCAGAGAGAGGCGTTTCCAAAACATGTCTTTACCTTTAAATAGTCCTAAATGCCTTGCATCAATGACTTGGCTCTACACTTATCCATTCACCAGTCCCCATTCACTATCATACATTCCATTCCAAAGAGACAATACTGTTTGTGCACACACATGAATAGAGGGCGCACCCATTTGTTGTTGCTCGGCAAGGACGTTTTTGTGTAATGAACTTTCCAAGGTCGCGGCTAAAAAGTGGGCCATCTACCTTTTCTCTCCGTTAATGAAGCATGTCTGACTTTATACGCATGCAGAGAAGCGCATTGTCCATCGTTGATTTGGACATAATACATAATCTTTTGAACAACTGTAATCTGTTGACAATCTAATATTATTTTGTATATTTGGTTCTACATAGTGTCATATTCAAAAATGTTGATTGAGAAACCTACATGTATAAATATGATTAAAAGATGAATAAATATGACAGGTACATTTGATATTGCATATTCTGCAGTGTTGATTTAAACACACACCTTTAAACAAATATTATCTGAAGATGATTAAATATATATGACATTGAATAACATATATTCTGAAGTGGTGATTAGGACACCATACATGTACATGTCTGAACAAATATAATCTGTGAATGAATCAAAATACAACATAGACCTGACTGTTTAAATATTCTGCAGCATGTTTTGGTTTAGACAAAGCATAATTTGAGTATGATTGAGTATGACATGCAGATCATTAATTCTACATAATATTATGTAGTTTTTTTTTATTTGGACACCATAAATATATAAGGCCAGGGACCCGTTTCACAAAGCCTTTTTAGAATGACAAATGACAAAAAACAGTGACAAATCGGCTGATAACCAATCAGAAGCAAGGATTTCAGTAGCTCATAACAAAAACTGTCATTTGTCACTGATGACAAGTTTTGTGAAATGGGGCCCAGGTGGTCGCCGAAGCAACTAGACTGTACATCCTTGGGGGAAAAGAGAATGTAGGTTATAAACAAGTGAAAAAACACACGGGGGGCTCAGGACGAAATAGCCCCTGAAATGCCCAAAAGAGCCCCCCAAAATCAGAAAAGAGCCCCAAAAAATTTGCATAGAGTTCAGTGCAAAACAAATTTTAGAATGTTATTTTCATGCAGGCAAGGTTGAAAAGAAGCCCCCGAAAAATAAATATTATTTTTTTCCCTGTAATATAAACATAACTTTGAGTAATAGTTATATCATAAAGAGATAAATTTGCTCCATTAAATCATTTTTTTCTGAATCAGCAATCTTCCAACTCACCGGTCTACTCGTAGTTGTGACTGTACTCCTAATTTGACCTCCGACCCCTGCCAGGTGAAGTGACATGACCCAGCCATCGGCACCGCCCTGGTTACCTGACTCAGAGGTCGGGGTAATCACAGGCTGAAAGAGTTTGTCCATTGGGTACATGACATACGTGAGACGTACATCAGCCTGGCCTGCAAATGATATGAAATCAAATTTATTACAAAATAAAGTATTGTCATTAATAAAGCGTGCTACATAAATAGGAGCTGTAGGTCAAATTATACTTTTTAACATCTATTTAAGAGAACATTCATCAACTAATAAAGTAGTGCACACACCTCAGGGGTGAAATTTTACAGACATTGAATTGTTATTGTTGTTAAATTCATTTTAACTGTACATGATCAAATACTGAATAACTATTTATACCTACCGGTAATATTTTTGAAAATCAAGTTTTTTTCTTATATGTAATTCAGCATGTGTATTTTATTTTCTATATAACTTAACAAAATTCACCGTAAACTTTCAATCAATATACATTGCATCTTCAATTGTGAATAATTTTGTTAAATGTTCTCTACCTTAAAGTGATTGATGCTCTCAATGTTAAGGAAATTCATATGGCACGGAGAAGAATAAAATACCTATCCTTTAAAAAATTCAACACACCAAATGAGGCTGAGGAGAAAATATATGCCTCAATAATAACCTATTCAACAAAGTACAGCATACTCTTTATATACATGTAAGAAAAGAAAGAAGCTGAAAGTTTAATAACATTGCTTTTACACTGCATGTGCGGGAGACTTGGGTAAAAAGTTTGTGAATGATTACCTGGAGTTGGCAGATCACCAAACTGAAAATGCACGGAAGCAGTTAAATCCTCATCGTACGCCAACAATTGGTTATCGTAAAAATTTAAGCTGCTTCCACTCCCAGAGTTAAGTTGGTCCGATTCGACGCTCAACCCGTACCAGCTAAAATCGATAGTGCCCTCGACCAGTCTCCTGATACCCAGGTTGACGTTGGCCGAGGTGGTCGTGACGTTGAGGCGGTCGCTGAAGTGGGTGATGGAGAGGATCGTCACGAGGGCGCTATTGATGCGAGAGGATGAGAAGTAGAGGGTTTCGGCTTCGATGATGATGGAGGTGTCGACGGCTAGGGCTAGGCTGAGCAACGTGGTCACTTCTTGCAGGACCTACCATAAAATTAGGACCAGGAGGGTGTTTCACAAAGATTATAAGTCGAACTTAACTAAAGTTGGACTTAAAAATTATGGAGAGCCATTCGTAGCCTTATAATGAAATATATTCAAAAGCAAAAATTCAAGTATTTTATACTTTTCATAAATTCCACATCAAGAACATGAAATTCCTCATGATAATAGAAAATATGAATGATTCGCATCAACATTTTATGCCTTCTTAAATAACTTTTACAAAAAATTGCCAAAGATGCTAATGGCTTTCCATAATTGTTAATTCCAACTTAGAGATAAGTTCAACTTAGGATCTCTGTGAAACACCCCCCAGGAATACAATTGATTGTTCAGACAGTCACTAAAAAGGATATCACACACAAAAATAATTTTTACAGTACAGAGAAACCTGTCTATAAAGACCACCCATGGGAGACAAGAAAGGTGGTCTTCATAGGCAGGTGGTCTTTATGTAAAGGTTCCTATGGTACATGTTTCAATGAGAAACCAGTTTCAAGGGAAACAAATAAAGAGGTCTTTGTAGGCAGGTGGTCACTAAACAAGGCTTGACTGTATTTGTTCTTCTTTTTACGATTATTTCTCATATTAGTACATGTTAATACCAATGATAAATCATTGTGAGATAAAAGCGGAATTTTTTCAAGGGTCTGCACTTCATCATATAAAATCGGGTATAATTTTTATTTTTTTTAAATCAAGAAAAAAATATATATATATATATTTTTTGGGGAAAAAAAAATCTAAAAAAGATCGGGAAACCGATTTAAATCGGGTAATGATCAAGCCTGTATTCACAAACGTTACAAGGTTTGCATAATCAAGTATAACCTAATATCTTTATCAGAAACAATTTAATTTTGAATCAACACATTCCCAGTTTATCTTGAGCAAAATATTCATAAGGTCAAAAGATATTTTACAAATATTGAAACCATCTGATTTCCCAAAATGAATGGTGGGGGTAGGGTTTTTCACCCCCCCCCCCCCCTTGTTTCACAGACTCTATGGTAGCCTTTCTTACCTCAGTAGAAACATTTCCTGTTCTTGCTAGTGCTTCCAGTATTTCAGCAACAGCAAGTATGCTGACACTGGTGATCTCATCAGTGTCTCTCAATAAATCAATGGCATTTCTGATGATGATCAGGTTTGGATCATTCTCCCCTCTTTTGGTTATCTGTTTAATAGATCAAAGTGGTAAAGGACATAAGGTAGGGGGGGGGGAATCTAGTTATATTACAGGTACTGTCATTGATTTGAGTGGAGAGGTAGAGGTTGTGGGTTTAAGCCCATTAATAGCCACGGTGCCCTTTGGCAAGATATTAATTTATTATTGCATTCTCAAAACAGGTGTAGAAAGTGGGTAGCTAGTAGATACAATGCACTAGGGGGCTAGTCATGGCTGCCTCTTTGTCATGAAATTGTAGACTCTTAAAATTAAAAAAAAAATATAATGATACATCTCAGGTTATCAACATGTTAAAATGTAGTATACAAATAATGCACTGTTGCAAGTGTGTTAGCGAAAGGCCAGTGCACATTGGTGATAACGCACTGACTAAACTGAGTGCACTGGAACTGCGCTAACACACAAGCGAAACAGTGCATTATTTGTTTTGTAAGACGGGTCGGCAATACTTTCTTACAATATACTCTAGATCTAGAGTATAGATAGAAAGTAGATGTAGATCTAAGTTGGATCTAACTAGCTCTAGGTCTAGAATATTCTAAATCTAGGTCTAGATCTTGAAAATTATGCACAAATTAAATTTGGCTGAATTACACGGGATTACGCGAAAGCGATATCGGCAGGTATTGAGCGAGGGTTATCAATTTTTGATGGGAGATGTTTTGCATGATGGGAAGAACTAATACACGCCCACATGATGTCAATTGACCAATCGGATGGCTTACATTCTAGAATCCATCTTACAATAACCTCTATTGAGACTGGTAACCAACCTGTTCACCAAGCTCAAGCAGCCCTCCTTCCTGTGTGACCGATCCACAGTCAGTACAAGTAAACTGAGCCCAGGCTGCATGGCCAGCCGCATCTCTACTGCAGGTACGGACTGAGACAGAAAGCTCACCAGCTGGATGAGAGAGGGGAGGGAGATGGAGGGAGGGAGGGAGGGAGGGAGGGAGGGAGGGAGAGGGAGGGAGGGAGAGGGAGAGAGGAAGAGAAAGAGATATAGAGAGGGGAGAGAGAATGAGAGAGAGAGAGAGAGAGAGAGAGAGAGAGAGGAGGTACAAGAGTACAAGAAGGGATGGGGAAAGAGAAAGAAAGTGCAGAAGATGACGGAAACAAGAGCAAGCAAGAGAGGGAAAGAGAGAGGGAGAGATCAGTGGAGGGGGAGAGGGGGAGACAGCACGGGAAGTACAAGGTTGCAGAGCAAAGAAAAAAAGATGAGGAAGTACACAAGAATGAAATTTAATATTGGTGTGGAGAAAAATAATATAAAAACAGAAGGAAAGGGGAAAAGGGTTATAAATCATATTTATGTTTTGTGAAACTCAACTTGTATCAGATGAAAAAAAGTGTTGACATTTTCTGTTGAACTGTGTACTTGATTGTACACTAATAACACACCATCCAATTGAATTGCCCATGTTTGGTAATTATAAAGTTGTACAATAAATTACACCAATAAAATTGGTGTACTATACAATTAATAAGGAACATTATATTCAAGATAAATATTTGTCAACAAGTCTTAAGTTTTGTCCCAGTTAAAAACATAATTTGGATTTTTACTTTGGATAATACTTTAAATTTATAATAATATGTTATAGAAATATTAAGTTTCGTTATTATATGTACATATGTAAAAAAACAAAAATTGTTCATATCCTTACGTTTATATGTTCTTTGTTATTCTGTTATTATATTTGGAAAATTGCAGAAATAAACTAATCAAATCAAATCAAATAATCATTAGAGTTAAGAAAAGTTATTTCATTCTGAAATGCTCGCCCCGATGTATTTGTGTCCTGAATGCATGAGGAAGTATACTGGTATATTAACGCTAGGCAATAATCGTGTTAAATTTACCTCTTTCAAAACCAACTGGGCACTTCTCTGTTGTTCCTTGATTGATGCCTACTTCAGTAACATGCCAGGTCAACAGACCTTGGGATGTGTGTATAACTTCTCTCAAGCATACATCCACTGAAAAAAATAAGAAGAAATAAAGATTAGGATAAATAGCTGAATTAATCATCATGGAAATAGATAGTTTCTACAGCTAATCTTGAGCTCTAGTATTTAGATGAGCTCTGGTATGGAAACTTTATTTTGAGAGAAAATTGCTAAGTTTTATTCTGGATTGTTTATGCTGCAGTAGATTGGTTGTTTGAACCAGTGAAATCAAAACAACAAACGCACATCATCTTTGACATAAACCACAACTCCCAATGTTTTCTAAATGTTTTCTATACAATATAATTTTTGTCCTTCACAAAAGTCTAACCTAGCTTTATGTCCCCAAAGTAATTTTAGCAATGATTGTTGCTCCGTACAACCGTGACATGTAATAGCAATTAACCCTTTAGGGACTCGTGATTGATAGTTAATTTTACAGATGATTTCACTTGGTCAATTCCACTGTTTGCACAAATTAGCAGAGAAATACAGAAGGTGAACATTCCCACAATTAATGATGATGTATTATTATTATTATTATTTATTTGTTCATCGTCTCTCCAATGCTATTTAAATGAACATTAGCTTTTATTGTTAGGCTTCCTGAAATAAGTTTCAATCGTTGTTTTTCTGGTTACACCCAGTAGATCCTGCTGGTTTCAAGAATATTTTCTGACTTGGCTTCAATAACAAGCTTGAACACATGATTTTAATCTACTGGATGCAAGCCAACAATAAACAACATTGTGGTACTATTTTACGTAGCATTACATGGCAGTCACATAGCAGATAAATTCATTAGTACCAGGGTATATAACTTCAAAGAAAACTGAATTTGAATCCCGGACCCTGCTCTCTCTTTCTCTCTCTTGCAATATGATTGGGGAAATGCTTGTGCCCTTTTGCATATCGTTCTAATATGATTGCATTTCTAATTTTCTTTGTCTCTTTACATATTTTGAACTATCACTAATAACCTTCAAATAATTTGATGCATAATAACTTCAGGAAGTAGCTGTCATACTTGCACATTAATAACTCCAGCAAACTGTAAATATACCTTCAAAAAGAAATTGCATGGGCTATAACAATCACATTTCAATTGGTCAATGACACAAAGATGTAACTCCATTTTGAGAAAAAGTGGTTTAAAGATAGGGGTCCACTTGAGTTAAGTCTATGTTTCACTAGCCATTGACTTCAATGGGGTGTCGGGTGGAGTTAAGTATTTGTGTTTCCTGGAAAGCCAACATTTTTCTGAACATTTTGATATTAAACACTCATTTAGGCAAAATATGGAGTTACCTCTCTGTGTCACTGAACCCTCGATTTCATGTCTTATGTATCCCACAAAATCAGAATATCACTCACCAGTACTAGGTGTGGTGATGACATAGAAGAGCCTGGAAGTGTCTGCTAGCATGGCAGCCAGCAGGAGGGTGGTCTCCAGGTTATCCACGCCCACTTCATCATTGCTCGTACTGATGATGATATCGGCCAGGAGGGTGATGTCAGCCGGGAGGTTGGATGTCGAGAACGACGGGGACGAGGCGATGGAAGTGAAGCGGACGACCACCACGTCGTAAAGGGTGGGAGAGTCACCACTTGTGGTCACAAAGCGACTCTCGATCTTTAAGAAAAGGAGAAGGAAAAGAGCCGATCATTAACTGGAAATAAAAAATGTGTATTTACTAATATATATGTCAAAAACTATTATTGAGAACACTTGTACATGACCATTGCAATGAGAATAGAATTATAATTTACTTGTATATAAAGCACTTCTTGGTCAAGCTCCCACATATATCAAAGAACTGTTGAATATCAAACTTAATCAATAAAATTGTAACGTGTAGTTCCCGAGACACTTTGTTGCTGCAGATCCAATCTATCAAAACAAAAATAACGCTAGGTGATCAAGCATTTGCTTGTGCAGCCCCAAAACTCTAGAATAACTTGCCATTTGAAGTCAGGAAATCACCATCTGTAAATATCTTTAAATCAAAACTGAAAACACATCTTTTTAATTAACTGTAAATCTAATCTGAGGAGTTTGAACGCAGCATATGTTTGTGGAAGATTTTCACATTTCCAAAATTTAGGAATTATAACCCTACTACCTAAAGGTAACAAACCTCGCAATCTACTTAAAAACTGGCGTCCTATATCTTTGCTCAATGTCCAATATAAGATTCTTTCTAGTTGCATTGTAAACAGAATAAAACCATTGTTAGACGAAAACATACATAAAGATCAGAAAGGCTTTCTGTCCGGTAGATACATCGGAGAAAATATCAGAATAATTTATGACATAATTTCTTATGCAGATCATAAAAATATTCCTGGGATATTACTTTTTATTGACTTTGAAAAGGCGTTCGATTGTGTTTCACATGATTTTCTATGGAATGTATTACATTTCTTTAATTACGGGGATAAAATTATCCAATGGATCAAATTACTATATTCAAATTCTGCTTCAAATGTGTTAATTAACGGTTGTTTAACCTCGCGTTTTAATATTAAAAGGGGTTGCCGACAAGGAGATCCGCTTTCTCCATATTTGTTTCTATTATGTGCAGAAATTTTAGGCATGTTGGTCAGAAAATCCCACAAGATAAAAGGTTTAGTTATAGAAAACAAGGAATATAGAATATTACAATACGCTGATGATACAGTGTTGTGTCTCGATAGTACAGAAAGTTTACATTATGCTCTGGAGCTATTGGAGTTCTTTTCTCAGTATTCAGGTTTAAATCTTAATATAAATAAGACACAGATATTGTGTATCTGTTCCTTGAAAAAAACTGTAAATATTGATTTACATCAGGTTCATGGGACTGACATATCGTTGGTTAACGGGGGATTCATAAGGTATTTTGGAATAGACTTTGGTATTGATTTAGAAAAGCTTCCGGATTTCAACTACGACAGAATATTTGATAAACTAAAAAGGCAAATGATATCTTGGTCGAAACGTAACATTTCTGTTTTTGGTCGCGTGGTCTTGGTGAAATCACTGCTAGTCTCGCAATTTAACCATTTATTTATGTCCATTCCTAACCCTTCTGAACATCTTTTAAAAGCAATAAATGTCTCTTTTTTTAAATTTATTTGGAAAGGGAAACCTGATAAGATTAGCAGAAAACAGATGGTTTGTTCTTACGAAAATGGTGGATTGAAAATGGTTGATGTTGTACAATTTTCTAGAGCTTTGAAACTGACCTGGATTAGAAGAATATTGTTGAACTCATGTGAAGACGTTACCCATTTAATGTACGCTTTCTTACGTCCACTATCATCATTGGAATGGGGTAAAGGTGATATATATTTCACTAAATTATCATTTATGCTAAGAAACTGTTTTTGGAAAGAACTTTTCCAAATACTAGCTTATTTTGTCCGCCAGGTTCAATGTACTACTACTCCTTTTTGGAAAGCTATTTCTATTTGGTATAATTCTGAGATTAAAATTGGAGGAAAGGGTATATTTTTAAAAGAATGGTGTGATAAAGGTATTCGATTTTTAAACTATTTACTAGATGATCAAGGACACATCTTAGCAAGAGAAGAGTGTGAAAAAAAGTTTTCAATCAAAATACAGTTTCTTCATTATTATGCACTCTGTCAAATAATTAAATGCAAATACAAGTCCCAATTGGAAAGTTGTAATATGAAGGTAAATGGACCATTGTGCCCTGCATATATTTCATGCTTGTTGAAAGATGAAAAAGGATGTAGACATATTTATCAAATTATGTTAAAAGAAAAGGATGAACATTTGAATAAATTATGTAATAAATGGCATGCAGATGGTGTATTATTTGATGATAAATATATGCAATATTATTTCAGGGTTATGTTTCGCTGTACAACGCATACAACAGTTCGGTACTTTCAGTACAGACTTTTGAATAAGATACTATATTTGAATAAAGATCTTGTGAAAATTAACATAATTTTAAATAAGAACTGTTCCCTTTGTGGAAGAGAAGAAGAAGATATGGTACACTTTTTTTACTCCTGTAACGTGACCAAATTGATTTGGAGTCGTTTGACTGACTGGTTAACTATTGTAACACGCTGTAGAATAAAACTGTCCTTAATACATGTTTTGTTAGGTTTCATTGAAAAAAGAAATGATGCTTTAAACTGTATAATAATTTGGACTAAACAACAATTATATTTTTCTCGAATACAAAAGTCTGTACCGTCCTTTCGGACAATAAAACAATATATCAAGAATAGTTACACAAATGAGAGGCAAGTTAGTATATTTGCTAACAAAACTGACAAATTCGATAAAAAATGGATAAATTTTGAGAGGATTTTGATCCTTTAATAGGAGTATATTGAATTTCCCATATCATTTTCAGTCATGATGTTGCATTATTATTTAATATTTGTTTTTCTTTCCCTTATCTACATGTATGTTCTGTATATACAGTATTATGGTTGATATTCGTTATGTATATCTTATTATGAAATATTGTATGATATTCATTGGAACATGTGTTCAAATATGTTATCTTGAGATTGATTTTCAATAAATGGCCTGTTGGAGGGTCCAAAAAATGGAAAAAAAAAAAAAAAAAAACTGTAAATCTAAGCATATCAATTAATGTTGGATAGTTTCTGCACTCTATAAATGTATTATTATTATTATTATTATTACTTGGATAAAATCTATCTTTACCTGACTGCAGCTAAGATACAAAGAGCACACACACACACAAATAAGAACAACAAGGTTTATTCACATCTGATCATAAAATGCTATATTGCACACATGCTCTTCTTAGCAATGTATTTTTTTTTTTCTCTCTATTTTTCTAGTAGATTTTCAACTATAAATCCAACATTCAGTTGAATATTCACTGAATACAGTTTGTCTACTCACAAGTGTTTCTTTGAAAATGAAAAAAAAAATATTCACAAAGATTTTAAATCTATTGCATTCCTATTATATACCAAATTTAGTTCCTACATGTACATGCAAGCTAAACTAATGAAAAGAATTTAACCACTTCAAAATCTTTCAAAAGTTTTGTTTATGACTTGTTAATTATCTTACCTCATCTTTGACATCAATGGCAGTGGTTCTATAGAGACTGGTGGATGCATCTTCTAAACTTGACTGGTACTCATATTTACTGGCTAAGGCGATCCTTGTGTAGAACTTGTGGTTATATCGAATTTGGGTCACCGTGACAGTGGTGTTCTTGTCCGTGACATGTGCGCAGGCTGTATCCTGGATTTGATGTTATGAGGAAAAAGGAAAAAAATAAACAATTTTCTATTTTTATATGGTTACAGAAATGTAAATAAAATCCACCTTTCAATGGTGATTGTCACTTGTTAGAGGTGTTGTGATCGAGTGGATACGTCACTGGACTGTCAATCACAAGGTCTGCGGTTCGAGTCCCGCCGCTGCACTAATGTCCTTTGGCAAGACATTGATCTACTGGTACATTTGCCACACTCAACCCAGGTGAGGTAAATGGGTACCTGGTAGGATTATTCCTTGAAATGCACCGTTCGCTGATAACAGCTGCTAAAGCTAAGGCTAGGGTAATAATTTCCAAAGCTCTTTGAAAGCTCATCCTCCTCGCTTGGTTCCTTACGGAACGTTGAGGAGTATCCCAGAAGAAGAAGAGATGTTATTTCATAGCGTATTATGCGCTAGGCCTATACAAGAACTGAATATTATTCTTATTATTAGATGCTTTTCACCAGATTATTGAGACTGAGACGACTGAGAGCGCATTGATTTCTACTCTCTAATTATGTTTTCATTTCCCGCATTGAATTGCACTCTTGCTATGTACAGGTTGATCCGGACTAACTCGGACCCGGGGACAACTCAGCCCGCTGCAAAAACGGTCATGCATAAGCATAAACCTTCAATCACAAGATCAAGAATTTGAAGAAATCTTGTTTGAAATTCAATCAGACTTGTTATGAATTACTTATTCACTTAGTCTTGTCACTTTAGGCTTAATGTCAATGGTTTAGTCGACTAGTACTAGTCTATAGTAAATAATTACAAATTAGCCTCTACAAAAGTAAAATAACTAATAAAATGAATCTAGAGAAGTCTAGACAATTTTTAAAATTTAATAGACTACTTACCAATGAATGAACAGACAATGGAAGGAATAGTAAACAATTCAAGTGAATCAGTAGTCCTAAAATTTTAATCCAATTCATGATTGCCAGGTTGCAAAATTACATTCAGCGTAATTATTCAAGTTCAACAACTCTCATAACTCTGTCGATGTCTCATCAACATTCACATCACTGCACACAAAGGCCCGAATTCACAAAGGAGGTTTAGATTTAACCCAGGCTAAATCTAACCCTGGGTTATTTAGCCCAGGCTAAATCTAACCCACGGTTTAAACCTCGCTCGGTATTCACAAAGCGTGGGTTAGATAACCCATGGTCTAAATCTAACCCACGGTTTAACCCACGGTTTAAGCATGCCTAAGAGAGCAAAAAAATAAACTGAGCATGCGCAGAATTGAAGCATTGAACTGAGCATGCGCGCTCAGTACACTTGGTTACTCCACCTAGTTCACCGTCGTCTGCTAAGTCCAGATTCAGTTGTATTTGGGCTATTACTCTTCGCCTACAAGTAGAGACTGAAAACCGACCGATTCTAAGTTGAGATAAGACTTTAAACCACTATTCACATACTAAAACAGTTCTCTGACAGATGTCCTCAAAATATTACCGAATTTCGCATAAATTACCTCAATAATTCCTCACTATCGTTGTTAATTTATGGCCTATAATCGTCCGACATAATTATGATCAGCTGGGCATCACAACACACTAAACATCGACAGTTTTCGTGGAAGAGTCCACAAAAAACTTCTGTAAACGACCCTTATACCAGAGTGAAAATGTTCTATGATGTAGTGTTCATTTTAGAGCTATATGATCACATTTTCGTTGATTGTTATGATTATTTTAGAGCGTAGGTCACACTTTAGTTTAGCAATTAATCAATCCGAAGTAAGAGTAGACTCGTGTTATATATAGCGTAGACTCCGTAGAGGCAGCGAAAGCGATCGATGACGTTTAGTCCAGAATGTGTTGATGATGTAGAAAGAAAGGGCCGAAAGGTTACGATAAATACTATCTGATAGAAAATACTGGCATTAATGCATAAAATGCATAGATGTATTGAGAAAAAAACCTGGGCTTACTGGTCATATAAAATAGGAGGACAGCAAAAACAAGGCAGTCTTGACATGTGATAAAGAATTATTAGGCCTAATTCGGGGGGGGGGGGGGGGGGAGGGGACATCAATTGTTTTCTTAGGAGATGGGGTTTTTTTTTTTGAGGGGGGGGGGGGGTTAATTTTGTTCTTAATTTTTCATAGGGGGAGGGGGCATTAATTGTTTTCTTAGGGGGTGGGGCTTTCCTGGGGGTGGGGGTAATTTTGTTTTTAATTTTTCTTAGGGGGGAGGGGGCATTAATTGTTTTCTTAGGGGGGGCATTAATTTTTTCTGAATTTGTTTATTTGCTGTATTAATTCTTTTCTTAGGGGGGGGGGGCGTTCATTTTTTTTCTTAATTTTTCTGCTTTATAGAATTTCTCAAGGGAATAGTGATTTAAACAAAAAGAAAAGAACTTTTTTGTAAATTTCGTCTCTACTTCTCACTCTTTCACCTTTCTTGTTTTTGTTCGTTGTCTCTCTTTTTTCACCAGCTCTCCACCCCACCTCTCTCAAATATCTTTTTATTTCGTTAGAACTCCATTTTTTAAATCCCTCTCGTACCCCTTTTCTTTCTCTTTTTTCTCCACCTCTCTCTCTCACACATACCCTTTCTCCTTCTTTCTTCATCTCTCTCTTTATCTTTTGCTCTCTCTCTGTGGGTGTTTGGATTTAGCGAAACATAACGAATCCATTTTAATTCATGGTGTGTACTGGGTAATTATAAGTAATAGATAACAGCAAATGGTATATTAATAATTAAACAAGATAAACAAAGTAGGTCATTCACTTGTAAAACGTTTACCTCCTAACTTAATGATTTCACGAGAAAAACCACACCATCAAACAAGAGAAATTTATATTTAAATATTGACGATTTAATATGGATAATCAAAACAAGTATTCAAGGTTATTGACGAAGACAATGTTGAAGTCGATGATGATGTCAGTGATGATAATGATGACAGCAATGTTGTCGGTGGTGATGGTGATGAAGCAGTCAAATAACGATTTCAGTGATGATGTTGATGATGATGAAGATGATGACTATTTCCCTTTCAAAGTGGTTGGTACCTTTTGCAAAAATGTTTTTGGGAGGAACTATATCAACCATTAGATTTCGATATACGGTCTAATTGTTTCAGACCACAGTACTGCATGGGTGTACGTTTCGTTCAGAGAAACTAAAGGGGGAACCAATTCCATATCGGTCATTTAATTAATTGGATTAAAAGTAAATGGGGAGCATCTCCAAAAAAAGGGAAAATTTTCATTTCATTAATAGAGTATATGTTCTTCCTATTAATAAAATACAGGGCTTGATCTCCACCAGGACTCCTGATGTAGACATGAATCCTAACAATTGCACCTAGAAAACCTGGCAAACTGCAGTATTGGTAGAACTGCTGCTGTGTTGCTTCTACTTCTTCTCTTGATGTTGGGAACTTCATGAATTGTTTCCTTCTTCTTGCAAACGCTTCTGACACGTCTCTGATGACTCTGCATACAGAAGACTGTGAAAGTTGTGCCTCATCACCATGCATCTTTTGGAATGACCCTGTACAAAAAAAAATCCTTTTAGTGAAATATCAACTAGTACAATTTCTTACAAGTTACATGGCCAGACCAAATTCTCAAACTGAGAAATGTTTAAAGTCCTTAAAATTGTAGAATAGATTTTTTATTAAATCAGGGCTGTCAACCCTCTTGCATTTAGAGGGAGTCTTACGCCACCACGCCCTTCCTCCTGCTTTGATGTAGAATCTCCCGGTTTATGAAAAAAACTCCCGCAAAACAGGTTAACCGCAATTTTACCCTTTTACTTTTTCGCTCAGCCCAGATTAAATAGAAATTTACTAAATACTAAATAAGGTAAATCACCAACAGCATATAATCAAAGTGCTGTCGCTACCTGTATAGGTATTGGGTCGTTTCTGTCTGTCGTCCTCCTCAGCTCTTCATCCACCAAGTTGATGAGGTAGAGCGCTGTCTCTTTGGAAAACCAGTACCTGGTCCGAAATGACTCATCATCATACACTTCAAAAGGGTTCATGGGTCACGAAGGCCTCTCTGAGGTCTGCCTATCAACTCTCTGTTCCGATCAAGCTGGCGGAGATGGTGAATATATTCAGCCATGCTGTCTCTGTCACAACAAAATAGAAAAAAAGTGAATTAAAATTAGAACATGAAATGAAAAAAATATCATTCATTGTTTATCAAATAAATCCTATGATATTACATGTTTTGCATTCTTTGTATTGTAGACAATCTGATTTTGAATAGCTTTTGCAAACTCTAAAAAAAATATTAACGATACTTTGATTGCATTAAAGAAATGAGTGCTATTGATTCATACTATTGGGTAATTAGGAAAGATGATGTCACTGAACCTCCATAAGAACGTAGGGGCTAATTCCTGTCGTGTTTTGTTAAAAATCTACTCATGCTTGATAAAATGTGAAATTAGATACATGTACATGTAAATTAGCATTAGATGTCCCATGTGAAAGGTTGAATTTGACTAAGATTACATGTAGATTAGGAAAAACACACATTGATTTATTGGCTATTTGCTTGCACAGATTTTAAACTTGCTTCAAAATTCAAGTACAACAATGTATTGATGTAGACTCTAGGCCTAGACATGTCATGATCATGATGTAGATCTAGTATAAATTTGTAGGAGTTGAGTGTAGAGACATTCAACAGTCAGTACTAGAGTCTAGTCTAGCTAGATCTAGATCTAGATGGGCCTAAAGACAAAGTACCTCTCATTCAGCTCAGACTTGTGCTCGAACTCAGTGACGGTGAGACACACAAACACTCAACTTCTCATGACACAACACAACAAACCATCGGCGCGGGCTTGGCATGAATTTATGAAAAGTAGATCTAGGTTTAGAAAGGTCTAGATCTAGACCACATAGACTAGATTCTAGATCTAGAGCCTGAGGTCTATACCGGTAGACCCTACGGCCTAGGTCTACTACTAGTTCTAGATCTAGAAAGTCTAGAGTACTAGACTAGACCTAGACTAGACCTAGACTAGATCTAGGTCTAGACCCTAGGTCTATTTTGAAAAATATTTTATTCCATTTCAATTTCTAAATCTAGAATAGACTAGATCTAAGTTAGGTCTAGATTCTAGACCTCTAGATCTAGATCTGCATCTTTTAAAATAATTTACAAAATACTTTTAATAAATTCATGCCATGGTTTGGCGTGCTTTGACTAATTTCTTGAGACTGAGGACTAGATCTAGATAGATCTAGACCTACGTCCCTAGGGCAGGCCTACATCTATCATCTAGCCTAGGCCCACGTCGTGTTTGCGTGTCTCACTGCCACCGACTTCGAGCTCAAGCTCAGGTCTTATTTAGTCAGTACTGAGTGTCAGTGTAGGCCTGGTAGTACTAGAGACTAGTCTAGATCTAGGTCTAGACCAGGCCTCTGTATATAGTAGGCCTAGACTAGACTAGTAAAATCCATCAGCGTGGAAGAATTTTCATTTTCATTTCGGCATTTTTCGTTCTCCTCCGTTACGTTAGTCAGATGAGAAGCAGCATCAGCAGAGCAGAAAATACAAATGGAACTGTCGCTACCCCCCCCCCCCCCCCACCGAGGCCAGGAATGTCTCAAATGTCATGATTAACATATTTTTCTTCCCAAATCACACAATTGTGTGATGTTATAACTAATTTCGTATTGTTAGCTGGCACATTCGCAGTTATTGCGAAATTGCCTTGCCTCGCAGGATTACATAAACAACACAACACAAATACACACGCATGGGTCCGAGCTGCGTTAGGTTCTGCGACAATGTTCGCAAAGGCTGTGCAACTTACGATGAAGATTATTATTCGTGCACTTTTTACGCACATAAATCATGTTCAATTGGGCTTCCATTTTAGCAGAACTGAGAATATGGTACAAATATGTTGTGAATAACTAAAAATACTTACAATGTAGGCTATCAAAGATGAAAAAACAGCAACTTTGTGAAGGTCTCTTCACTTTGTTTTACCACAAATTTGTCAACAAAATTTGTTCGTTCGTCGGCGCTAAAAAGCCAAAGCTCGCT